CAAGAAATTGAAAACATATAGTGTGGAGGGGAAGCTTTAAAACCACCCAGGAAGCTGTGGTGTTAATGACTGTTACCTGCTTCAAGATAGATGGATGAAAATCATTCACTGATGTGCTGTAAAATGTGTCATTTTTATTAGATAACCCACCTATTATTATTATGAACATGTGGCAATATTTGAAAGAAAAGATGAATAAAAATAATTTTAGACATGTCCACCAGCTACATTAAATATGTAGAAATGAAGTTGTGATGCAATTTATCTTTGTCTGTCACTATTTGTTTTATGTGACTTTGTTGTACTAAAAATTCATGGCGTAATTTAGGCTAAAGAAGTATCAATGCAAAAGCTTATTTAGGCTGATAAGTCTAAATATTTATGGTATGGAAAATTCTTCAGAAGAGAGAGAGGGGTGGGGGTGGTTGACATTGACATGATAAAGTTGTAGCAAAGTTACTTTTCTATGGTTATATAGCCTAGGTAATAGAACCTCTTTTTTTTGTAAGGAATGATAGTAAATATTACCATAATTTAGTGATTATAGGTGTGCACCTTAAATTACAGGGAGACTTAGCCCAAAGGTGCACAATTTTTTTACCCTTTCTCAATAGTAAGGAGATAATAGCTAAGGTTTGGTGTGGATAATAAAAACCACAATTCACCTGAAGGAGATTTTTGTGCTTTTTTTTTTGTATTTGTTGTATAGAATAGTTCAGGTGAAATAAATGATCTGGTTCATAAAATTTGTAATAAAGTTGCTGGTGATGAATTATTTGCTAATGATAGACATATGAGCAATATAAGCAAATTTGGAAGAGTGGTTAAAATATTTTATAGAATTCCACTTGATTATTTACTTAAGATTACACAACTAACTGTTAGATTAAATTTGTTGACCACTCTTTAGCAAGAAATTGCTGACATAGACTGATGTTGAGAATTTAAATGAAATAACACCTAGTTCAAGGGTTTAGAAAGTGCAAGATATAGTTGAGCAGGTACACATAGTTGATCATGATCAGTAAGCTGTGAAAACTGCTGTAAAATAAAGGGCACAACAAGTTCAAATAATGTGCATATAATAACTGAACTATGAACCAGGGGTGAAGTATGTGCCCTTTGGGTTGGAGAGTTCGTGCAATTTGTCTGTGTTTTCTTGATCCCTGAAATATGAAATTTTGATGAGGAAGATAACAGCAGAATAGGCCGGATTTCTTGATAAAGTCAAGCATGAAAATTGACACTGCCTCTATTCAGGTAGAGATTTATGAAAACACCATGCTATCATTATCTTTAATTTATATCAGTAGGCCAATGAGTCATAAATTGGCTGGTTTGAATGGAAAATATGATAGTTTGAGGTTAAAATACCCTATTATAAAGGATTGAGTGTTGTATTTTCTAGAAATTATGACAATTTGGAGTAGAAATTTATCAAAACAGACAATATGCTTTTTTATAAATTGAACCAATTTGGCATAATGCTTTTCTAAAAGATGTCTGTTTTTTTGCAAGGAAAAGTGATACAACAAAAGTCTTCCCCACATTGATTTTCCCTTTGTTATCTGGGCACTATTATCTCACTTCAGAATGGGCCTTAAGTTTAAGCAGTAAAAGTCCGCTTTTATCCGGAGTCCACTATAGAATATTGTCCATGTAAATATGAGGAGAATGCCTGTTAATTAGCAGCATTGAAGAGATATTGATCAGAAATAGAAGAATTCTGTTTGCCATCTCTCAAGAAAGTAAACAAAATGTTGAGATGTTAAAAGAAAAATGAGTCAACACCATTCCCTTTTCCATAGTCTCCTAAGGGTGAGAGGTAAACTTTGGGGTCTAATCGATTTTAGTTGTTACGTCAACACTCTCAAAGCCAACCCAACACCTAACTGTCTGATGATGGGATTAAAACTTAGATGTGATTGCTTGTTTATTTCTGATATTATATACAGTATACATTGCACCATAACTTTTTCAAACTTTTCAAAAGCCCTAGGTGCGAATTAAGTGTCAGCTCGGAATTTTCAAAGGGTTATGGAGCTAGTTTAAGTGTGGAGTGTTTAATATATCTTACAGTGTTTATGTGCCAAGCCTCCTGTATACACTAGTTCTGTGTATTATGGGGGTGGGTCCCACTTCTCTGGTAATTCTGCTGTATATATCACCATCAAGGAGAGAGTTCTCACTCTGTGTATGTCCTCATTAATGGGATACCTGCAGGGTTTGACAGAGTTTGTATGAAATGAAAAAACAGTGGGAGAAGTGGGCCTGTAATAGTAAAATTAGAAATTTACAAGAAAGATGTGAGCAGTGAGATGAGAAAAAAAACTAAAAGACATAGTAGGCAAAATATGCAGCAAGGTTTTGATTTGCCAAATTTCTCAAAATCTTACACAAAAAATCAGATTCCTTGAAATATAGAGCCTTTAGAGATTTAGTAAATCTGCAGTTGTAGCATATAAAAGACCAACACGGGTAAGTTTTATCAAGTACTAGCCTGCCAAGGGTAGATACAGCCTTCCATCCGGGCTATCTGACAGTTAAAAGTGATTCAAAAATTGAAATCACCTTTTTAACTTTATTTAGAGTGTCTCTCAAGAGATCTCTGACCAGTTTAAGAAGACCTTTAGGGTGGATCCAACCATACTGGTCTGTCTCCATATTTCAGGCTGGCACTCTTCTGATGTCTCAGAACAAATTATTTTAAATCCACTCTGCAAAGGGATTGATGTTTAAGCTTGTCACAGACAGTAGACTATAATGAAAATGTGAAGCCTGGGGAATCATGTTGTAATTTGTGGATTATTAAGAAGTTAACATTGACGTGAAATTAGAGGGTTGCTGGCCAGGTCCTATACAGGTTGACAAGGGCAGCATTGTCCTGTCAGGGTACTTAAAAGGGATGTCCATATGCTGTCACCCACCATACTGTGAAGAACAAGGTGACATCTTTCTCCTGTCATTGAGAGTTAGTGACAGTTTTCTCTTTTTGATGACTTTATCCACCTAGATTTAAAGTGAAATCATGCTGTTGTTGGAACGCAACTAATATGTAAGGGGGGACATTTTTTTCATGTGCTGTGATTAAAAAGATGCCTCCAGCTAGTGAAATAGTTTCACGTGCTGAAAAAGGAGAAAAATTTGTAACATTCTAGTACTCTAATAATGGAACACTTAGTTGAAAACACATCTCTTTATCACTGCTGTACAAACTGACAAGAAAAATAGTTTGTTTACCAGAAGGTAAATATAGCTTTTTTCTTGCTTTGACAAATGAGGAAGGTAATTTCCGGTATGTAAGAAATGAGAATTGAAAATAAGTCCATGCTTTGAAAAGTGAGAAGAACACGTCTTGCATTCATGCTGTAAAAGATAGCAATAAAATATTCTTTTTGCTGACTGTGAAAATTGAGAATGAAAAAAATCTCTTTCCTTGTTTTGAAATATGAGCAGAAAATGATCTTTTCATTCATGTGCTCCCAAGTACCAAACACTCATGCCCGTGCTATCTCTCTATTATTCCACGTTATTGTATCACATCATGCAAGCTCTCCACCATGTTCTAAGCTTCACATTTTATTCCTTTTTATGTCACATTTGCCACTCAGTTTGTGCCATCAATGTTATCTTGATGCCCTAAATTACTGGGCCCTGAGTCATACACTCTACTATAGGAACCAGGGGGTTATGTCAGCATTTCTCTCCCTGTCTGGTCTGGTCTGGGGATTTATGAATGAATTGGAATAACTTCATAGATAGACTGAAGTATTGTAATGTGTTACAGAGCCAAGTAAAGAGAGGAAGCTTGACATTGAAGGAATTTAGAAATTGGAGGTTGCTGAGTCACATATATCTTTTTTCCCTACATTTTAAATGGGTTACATTTAGCCATGTGTGATATTAATTATGGGGGATAACTGTTTTCTTTCATTTAAATAAATCGCATTTAATTTTCTGACTTAAATTAAGAATAATTTTAATATTCTTGTGTCTTTTACACAAGGAAAATGAATCCTGACTGAGCAAAAGAAAATTAATGTGTCAAATAATCATACGTGATAACAGAACCTACTATTCTCATGAGTCTCATTAGTCTGCTTAGCAGCAGTATCAGACAGAGGTTGTTAAGAAGATAGTGTGTATCTCTTATTATCTCTAAACCTTGTGTTAAGTGTGTGTCAAGCATCCACAGCCTTGGTATTAGAATATTGCGTGCGGGCATTTCTTATTATCTGGACACTAAGAGCAGCTATTATATCACCCATTATCACTGATATTGGCTGTTTTAGAATAACGTGTGTGGTAATTGACATCCATTAAAGGAAAATGGAGACGCATGTGCAGTGTTCATGTCATGCATGTCACGATTAACATGCAAGAGACTTTAATTAAGATCTGGGTGTGAGAAATAGATGTTAATTCCAATGCGAGTAAAAGGCTAAACATGTCTGTTTAATTTAAGCATTCTAAAATTGATGCCTTAGACTGTGCATTAAATAAACCTTCTTGATATTCAGATTCCCATATTGTTTCTTAGGCACATGTTTTTCAAAATGTCAAGTGTTGACATTCATTGCCTTGGCCACTCTGGCTCATATGCATTTTATTGAGATTTCTGTTTTTTTAATGGTGCATTATGGCATTATTAGCATACTTCTAATGGCCTCCAGTAATTCAGTTTTAATTACCTAAATGCTATTCATAGGTAGTATTACACTGGATTATGGCACAAGCAATGATAGTTAGCTTTTCGATTTAATGTTTTAGGCATTGATGCTGATCAATAAAGTCATGAATGCAATCATGAGATCAAACACACTTTGAAGTACATTTTGATATATAATGTTTTTTATGAATTTTTATATTTGGTTATATTTTTTTAATTTCACATGGTTTCATAATTAAGTAAAAGTGAAATCTTGACTGTTTTTCAACCAAATTATTGAGCTCCAAGCATAATATCAAGTATTAAAAGATAATCTTTTTTTTATTTCTAGCTGAAAGTGATTTGAAAACGGTGAATGGAATAATCGAACATTTTCATCTCCACAATGGCTACGACTGTGACCTATTTGTCCGGGATACAAGGCCAGCATGCATTCGTAACTTATATGATAGTGCTAACCTCAACCCCGAGATCACCATTCGTAAGCTGGACCATGTGCGTCAAGATGGGAAGACTGCACGAGGATTGTTCTTCCTCTCTCCTGTGTTCACCAAGGAGGACTACCCTCAGAGAGATCCTCATATTGACTTGGAGGAACTTAAGGTAGAGCTATCATACCCAGCACATAGAGTTTATTACACCCAACACACTTTGTTATCACACCCACCACATTGAATCATCACACACCCCACTTTGAATTATCACACCTGGTACATTGTATTATTCCACCTGATTCTCTTAAACAAATGCTTTGGCACCACAACCAGGTTTAAAACCTGTTATACCTCTACGTTTCATTTACTGTCATATTGTTATGGTATTGGGTTTAAGACTGGCACACACTTTCCAACACAGCACTTCTTCACTAGGTGGTTTCTATAATTTCTGCTCTTGAAATTGATGTTAGTTAGGTATTACACAAGAGAAATAACACTCAGGTTTTGATAGTTGAAAGGACTTGAGAAACATATTGTCACACAGTACTTACATAAAAGTGTAGTTTTAACACAGAACTGTACATAATGATTAAAAGAGTAGTTTTCACACAGAATGTAAATATGAACAAGAAAAGAGTATTTTGCTTATTAGCTATGTACAGCATGTGTATATATTTTTTTTCCTGTACTTATTGCCCTACTTGCTAAGCATGTAGTATCGCTCTGTTTCTAGCCTCCCAAGCACAAGTTCCACAAAGTCACCAGAAAGTTACTGCGGCTGCGCAACAATCGTCCCAAGTCAATGGAAGTTATGGACGCTTTGGACTACCAGCCTCTTACTGATGAAATCCCTCTCCCTACTCCAGAAGAGGCGCTGAGGCGAATGTGCAAGTCACAGCCTTCACTCTGCATTGTCGAAGTTGACACTGCAGGGACAAGCTTCAATCGCATGTGCGCTTTCAGGCAGTCTCTGCACCATATAGACTTTGAGAGCCTTGACACAGAGGCAACTGTAGAACAGTTTGATCCTGATGTCAAACCTATGGAACAGAAACGTAAGAGAAGACAGACTCTAACGGGAATTCCAGGACATATTGCCAAAGAACTTAGTCTCTTCAGAACAAAGAATCATGAAAAACTGAGGAACAATGCTCGTGACAGACCAAAGACAACTGACTTTGAAACTCATCGTCATCTGCACCAAAGCCCATGGATATTCCTTGAAGCTGAGACTGCAGAATTTGTTGGTGCAGTGGATCGGCGTTTCAGGTTGAGAAGACATGATAATGCATTATATGCCTCTATAAGACGTTGCAACTCTCTGCCTCGGATGTCAAGGAAAAAGGCAGTTGCTCCAGAGGAGAAACCTCCATATAAGGTTGCCATGCCACTTGTGCGAACACTGTCTGACAGTAGACTGAATGTTAAAAAGACAAAAGCTGAACACAGCAGTTTTTCCTCGCTCACGAGGTCTGTCTCATTTGCAGGCCGTGGAAAAGCATGGCTTGCTTCCTCAAGAGTCCGTCCCAAATCAGAAGAAGTCCTGGATGAACTTGACCCTATTCGTAGCCCAGAACCAAGTGACCTTGACATGAGGACAATGTCAAGTGTGGGATCTGGGTCAAAATCAACGGAAGATCTCAAGTGCTCCTTGCAGAGTTTGGCTGCAGTGTACAGTAGGCGTGGTTACCCCATGCCCCCAGCAGAGAGCCTGGCATCTGTGCAGCTTAGGGAGAACAGAAATAAGAAGAACAAAGAGGACCGACAGTCTTCATCAGGTGGGTATCAGTCAGCTGTAACAGCTGCACCAGGAAGTTTTTGACCATGGACTTATACTGTTATACAGCTAAGTCCCTTTAGAACATAGTAGTAGTTTTACATTAATAAGTTGAACTTAAAGTTGAAGTTAAGAGCAAAAAAGAACTGTTGAACTACCATGCAATCATCCCCAATACATACATACATAGATAAATATTTCTCAGTGGATTGGATATTGGTCATTACATNTTGTTTGCTTAGCAGGTGGAACGATTTATTACTCATATTACTGTTATGTATGTCACTACTGCTGTAGCAGATTTTATATGAAATTTGTACATGGTAAGCTTAAATGCTGAAAATGCCTCTCATAGTTAAGCTGATAATTATGACCACCAGACAATACCTGAACCACCTCAATGTTTCATTGCAATGGGCAGAAATGACATTAAGGTTCTATAATGAAAATGTTGTCAGCGTAAACAGTTGAGTGAAAATCTCCCATAAATACAGGGTATGTTAGTATAATTATTATTTTGCTTTAGAATGCTGTTTACATGTTATTAAAGGCGAAGACCTGCAGCCCCTCAATATCAGGTCCAATGTGATCAGTGTTAACAACTAGTAATGTTTGTTAACTGGTTATTGATGATGCATTATGCAAACTTTTAATGGTGGTTTTGGCTGATCAGTCTGGTAACTTACCCAGGTGCAAATGCCATAAAGTTGTAACATGTTGTAACCTATAGGCTGTTAAGCTTGATTTCTTTCTAATTACTTGTCACTGAAAAAGTGTTGTGACCCAACATTCTCCTGTGAAGCACAATATTTGTTTTTAAATTTTAAAATTCCTTTTAAAAAGATAGCTATTTTATATATACCTAATCAAATGTTTCCTGATACCAACTTTAAGTTAGAGTGACATAAGGAAAGTTCACTTTTGGTTTGGAAGATGTACACTTAAAGGTGTGCCATGCGGTAGTTAATGACTGCCTGTATTAGGCAGTAGGAATGACAACAGACCTTTAACAGATGGTGCACATAGTTTATGGTCTTCTCTCTTCTCGCCAAATGACATTATGTGATTTTATTTTGACAGTGACAAATCTAACTAGATGCAGTTGCTCAGTTTTGCTCAGTATGTTTTAGGTTCTAGGGAAATATAGTTCCATGACTGGGGCTTATTAATGTATGAGGGAGCTTGTGTGTTGTGCTTGCCCTGGCTTGGTTACAGGTCAATTGTACCAGTTTTGGATTTGTCAAATTTTATTGAACTAAATAGTACTGTGATTATTTGATTGAATGAGCACTATTTTTGTACATGTATACATCCAAACCTCGTGTAAGTTTATGTCTCATTTCAAATCTTTTTTTTTTCCTAGGTAACTGGAGTGGTAGCAGTAACAGTGCCCGCCATTCCCTGGACTCAGACTATGCTAGGCCCTTCCACCACAGTACTGAGAGAGATTCCGCTGTGTCACTGACTGTAGACCATCTTCCCACAGCACAAGAAACTGACGGGTGAGTGGTGAGAGCAGAAAAAAAGCCATTGTTACATGTATTTGATTATATAAAGTCTGCCAGAAAGACGTAACCACATTAAGATAAGCTAATGGTAAACTGAATGGGAAGAAAATATCAGATAAGAAGGATATTATTTGTTTTTTAATTTTATTTATTCATGACCATTAATTAATTCATTTATTTATGAATAATTTCAAGAAGTCTTTAAGCTACTTAAGATGTCGCATTTAGTATTTAAAAACTATGGACTGAATGGTTTAATGATGTTTTGCTTTCTTTTACAGAGAGGAAAAAGCAGCAGAGGAAGAAGAAAAAGAGGAAAAGCGAAAACAAGAAGAAGAGAACTCAAATCAGTGTACAACAGACAATACACCTGAAGTACTTGTTACTCCAGCAGAGGAAATACCTAAACCAAGCACTGATGAAAACAATGAGAATGAGGAAAATATTGTTAAACCAGAGGACGAAAACGATGGTTCAGACTTCACCTATATGGACACAGATGCTTGGCTTGCTAGTCTGGAGAGAAAGAAATCCAAAATGAAAAGTGAACCAAACTCTCCATTCAAACCAACAGTAGCAGCAGCAGACTCTGCTGAGCTAAAACCAGATGAAAAGGGTTATGTACATCCTGACTATCGTCGATTGATGCAGCCAGACTTTCGCCGCCTGTCTCAGGCCAGCACTGGGTCTTCACTGAGCTCTGACCCTAGGAGGTTATCCTACACTGATTCCTCATCTGTAAGCTCAGAGGGACTCAGTATTTCGCAGCTGACTAGAGAAAATGTTAACATGCACGATGCATTGGACAACGTACTAGAAAACCTAGGTACAAACTTCGACGATGAGTTGGGATCAGTGCACTCTATGGATGATGATGGTTTTTACACGTCTTTCCACACAGACTGTGGGCTCACTAGAAGCCTCAGTTCCTACTTAAATAACTCAAAGTTTGAATCTCTCATAGATGAAGAGGACCTTTCTGAAAAAGAGAGGAAAGAATTGAACAGACTGTCTACTTACAGCAACTGGAGTATCACAAGTTTTAGAAGTATTGACAGTGTGATTTATGTACCTCCTCCTGCTGAGAAACAAATCGAATCAGCAGATAAGAAAGGTAGCATTAGCACAAAAGAAGCCATAGAAAAAGTGGCCATGTGGCAAAAGGCACATGCTTCTCCAGTTCCAACCCCTCCTGTTGAAGATGATGGTGGTGATCTAAATAGAAAAGAACCTGTACAACAGCAACCTAAGCAGCAAAAGAAAACGCCACCACCTCCGCCAACAAGAACCACAACTTTACAGACTCAGAAACCAGATAAAATGGATCCTCCTTATCTATCCAAGCCACACATTCCACACAGTGCCTCAGAGCCTGTCATGCTCAACCCTGACCTCCATCCAAATGCATTACCAGTCCAGCGCCAAGTTTCCTTGGATAACACAGACTCTGAAAAGAGGCGAGCCAGCCTTCAGAGCACTACCAGCAATGCCAGTGGCGCCACCACAACAAGTCGTGTGGAGGCAAAGCTGAGAGAGGTCAAGGATAAAATTGCTGATCTTGTCAGTGGTAATAAGAAGGAAACTTCTGCCAAGATGATCAACTCTATGAGATTGACAGCAGACAGTGAGACTGACTCCAGTGAGGGTGACCCTGCAGATGTCCAGGACTTCGACAAATCCATGAAGCTGGGAGAGGTGGACACTTATGTCAAGTTTGATGTCACAGAACAAGACTGGAGTGAGGTGTCCAGCATGTCCTCTTTCTCTTTCAATGAAGACATTGATAATGATTCTACCCACAACAGACTTGTGAACAAGACCTCATTTAGTTCATCCTTGTACCCATCCTGGTGCTCTGTCACCCCAGTCCCTAGTGACGATGAGTCCATGGGACATGGCGACAGTCCTGACATAAGCATGGCACACACACAGCCAGATTTTCGACCATTCAATTCAGTTTCTGTTAATGCTAATGGAGGGGTTTCTGCTAGTGCTGGTATTAAGGAGAAATACAGTGTAGTTACTGAGCCAGAGAGCAGCGTCCATGTACTTCAACGTGTCCCAGCAACACCAGACACAAGCTGTGACAGCCTGGATGTCACTGTGCTCCCAAACACCACAAGTGGGACTACACCTGCCACAACAGCACCACCTGTGGCTAAAACAGCACCGCTCTCTGTCACCACAGCACCATCACCAGTGTGGGAAAGAAGATTTCCAGAACCAGAGAAACCCAGCATCCAGGGCATACTGAAACAGACAAAGACCACAGCTACAGCACCAACAACCAGCACTAACAATGCTGAACAGCCTCCAAAGCCTATGAAAGTCATCAACTTTGCTCCTGGAACCAGCATTTATGAAGCCGAGATTCAAATTACACCCAACAAAAATAAGGCCCCTCCAAGGCCACCAAAGACATTTTTGAAACAAGGGAGCACCTTTGATGATGATTCAGACAGGACCAAGAAGCCCTTGCCTCCCTTACCTCAAGAGGGAAACAGAAACAGTAATATAAATTGTCTTCCATGGCCTTTAGAGCTTCCATATCAAGAGTCACCAGCAGGAAGTGCTACAGTGATTGAGAATCACCATGTTTATAACTCTTTTCAGAAACAGGTTGTTGTCAGTCCTGATCAGACCCCTACAGGTTCACCAGTTAAGATTCGTACCACAAGTAATGGTTCCTATTCCACAATAGTATCACCAGATAGGACACCCACAGCTTCACCAGTGCAGCAATATCAGGATTCCTTTGAAAGCCCAGATTCTGTAGTCTCAGCAAGACAAGTGCCTAGTCCATCAGCAAATTATGTGGTGATGTCACCAACTGTTGTTTCATCCAATCGAAGCTCAACGTATTCATCCACTGGGTCATTGTCAAGGTATTCATATACTAGTAATGCTAGTTCCCACTCCAGTGGCTTGTTCAGTGGGTCCATGAGTCCTTTAAGCACACCCAGTAATAGTAACCCAAGCACCCCATATGGAACTCTAACAAGAGAGGGGCGTCCTGCCAGTGGACTGAGTTCTTACAGCATGTCCCCAGCTACTACACCCACGGGGAGTGGTCAGGTCACTCCAACTGGATCTCTTGACCGTAGGATCATTGCGCAAAGGGGTTCCACTGGCCGGCTGGTCAGCCCAGGGGTGTCAGCTGGAAGACTGGTTTCCCCAGGAGGTTCCTCTGGGTCTCTCACCAGGTCAAATTCTACAGGTTCACGGACAAGTGCTTATGGGACTGCTTCTACAGGGAGATCACCAGGTGACACACCCACCACTTCTGTCACCCCTGGGGAAGAAGTCCCACCCCCTCTGCCGCCAAAGTACATGCCTACAATTGTAGTGAAGCCAAGAGTAAGAGGAGATGGAAATGGAACATCCAGTAGAACAGGATCTAGATCAAGTTGGGAAGGGTATGGATATGAGATTTGTTTACAATGTATTTCTTGCGGAATTTTGAATCTCAAAGGAAGAGTTATTATTGCTNATATGTTGGTACAGGCAGCACCCCTACTAATTCTTTAGACAGAAAACAAGCCAGGGTAAGCCTAATCCAGGCCCCTAGTAACAATGCAGGACAGGTGGCTGAAAGTGGCAACATGCAAAGAAACTCCAACTATGCAACTCTGCCCACTTCTTCAACTGCCATCAGGGAGCCTATATATGCCAACTTTACTGGTGCACAATCAAGCAGTAGAACTTCCCCAAGCACTGCAGCCCCTGCCTCTATTAAACTGATCAGGGAACCAATCTATGCAAACATCAGGCGCGCACAGCAACCTGTTGGTGTGCATGCTACTGTAGCTAGCGGGGTTGTTCCTGTTAAGTCCATTAACACAACTGCAGTCAGGCGAAGCAACCCTGATTATGAATATATGAGTGGCACTGAGAGTTGGCCAAGGATGTCTCCCAAAGTGACAGACAATCCTGGTCAAATGCAGAGGATTTCCCCTCATAATGGTCCTCAAAATCAGATTACAGCCAGAAAAGACAATCTTGGACAAAACTTTCCACATGCACCTGGTCAAATTTTACCAAATAACACTAGGAATTTACATGTTTCTCCAAAGGAGCCACAAAACCAGAGAGTATCCAGTGCATCTCAGAACAGAGCTAGGGCCAGTTTCCATGGAGAGTCTTCCACATTCCCACGTGAAGAAAATAAAGCACAGAGACCAGTTAGTCTTGTTATGCCGGGGCGGTTGAAACCAGCACCACCTATGAGAAGTGTCTCCAGTCCATCTGGCAACAATAAACCAGCTTTCCCTGTGAGAACAACCCCTAGTCCATCCCAACATAATAGTAGACCCCCTCCACCAGTGAGGGCAACCCCTAGCCCATCTGGGTCTTCAAGTCAGAGTCAACAAAATACCAGGTCATCTTCTGTGCCAAGTACTCCCCAGTATGAACAGCAAGACTCAAAGTCTGTGGAAAGCTTTAAGCAGTTGTTGTCTCAGCAGCTACAGAGAGGTAGTCACATTTCTGCTGCCCAGGCTCTTCATGTTCATCAAGAAGACATGTCTGATGGAGAATCCAGTGTCAGCAGTCATGTTTCGACTAATTCTTCACAAAGGCACATGGTGTCCATCAAGGAGATTAGGCAGGCAGTAGGGAGGCCAGTTCAACTTAATGGCCCAGGACATGTAACTCAACTGTCCCCACAACAACCCTCACAGCAGAATGCCAATAATTTAGGAAGACCTGCATCAGTGAATGGTCCTACCACTATCCACAATTCACAATATGGTGCATGGCAAAATACCAGCCATGTAGGAAGGCCAGCTCAACTAAATGGTCCTACCTCTACCTCTATGCAGTATCAATCACAGAATGGACCGCAGCAAAATGTTATGCTCAATAGATCTGTGAACCAACAAGATAGCAGACTGCAAGGTGCAGCTTCTGCACACCCTAGTCATTATGGAAGTGTGGACAGAAAATCTTCTGCGGGGTTTGTAAAGGATTCATCACAAGTAATCGTAAGGCCTCAGTCAAATTATTCTTCTGCTACTTTGCCAGCATCCATACCAACACATGCCACACAAGTTTCTGGCAATCAACGTCCTGTACAAAATCATCTGACACATGTCTCCAAAGATCATGGTCAAATGCAGAGTCATTTCCAAGGTCAAGGCTGTGTTCAGAATCAGGTGACACATCCAACCCAAGGTCAAGGTGATGCTCATAACCATGTGAAGCAAGCACCCCCGAGTCCAAGGAGGAATCAGATAAGTTATGTTCAGCCTACAGAACAAAACTCTCCTACTATAATATCGAATCAGCTGCAAAAACAGCAACCCAAATTGTCACCAAAGGAAAAGCTACACTATCCCGATGTCATCCAGTCACACACAACTCAGAAAACCAACAGTGCTGGGGTGCCCTTGAGGGGGGCTGCAAAACTAATGGCCAAACAGAGTGGGCAGTTGGTGCAAATGAGGAGACAAACCTGGGCAAAGAGCAGTGAGAGACTTCCCATGGAAACCCGCAGTGAATTCCGCAAGTCGTCCGGCTCTCTGAATGAACTAGCTGTATTGTCTCTTATTGATGACATTAACTGGAAAATTGGAACAGATGGGATTGAGGTTGCACAAGATGAGAGAGGGGTGATACACACTTGTGTATGAGGTTTCTAAATAATGTTTTAAAGTTTTAATGGCGATTGTCTCCCCAGCAATTTGACAGAAAAAAATGTTGCTGGCGTCATTAAAAAAAAAAAAATTATGCAGTGTTGTGCCTAAGATGGACACCATTTTGTCTCATTCATTACCTTGAAAATTTGATCCAAGCACACATGTACCTCACATATCAATTTTAAGTTATTTTGAAGTTATTTTATTACTCTTAGCCAAAAGTAGTTACTATGTGAATTAATATTTTAAGAGATTTCAGAGTCATTGTCAGTATTTCATTTAGTGTTATACTATATTTTATAGGTAAAATTTGTATAAAATGGTTGCAAGCTGTTAGAGTGCAATAGAGCTAGGTTTTTTAAAACAAATGGTGATTTGCAAAGTGCTTGTTAGACAAGACCAGTTGAAATTTTCAACAGACTCATGCTAAAAAATTTAATTTACCTTCATTTTATCTGAGAAAATATTTCCAATGGAAATATATAATTTAACTACTGATCATACTTATAAGTGTTGATATTTGCTTTATCATGCATTGTTTAGCATTTTCATTTGTTTATTTACCTGTATAACAATACATGGATAAGGAATTAAATTACCTTTCAAGTTTTATTTGTAAATATTTTGTTTGTACTATGTATGTAAACATATCTCTACCACTCTTTAACTGATCTCACTTTTGTGTCACCAAAGGTTAAACTGTAAGACATTTATAGTTAGACAAATTAATATTATTATAAAATCAGTGTGAATAACAATTTACAAGATTTTAGTGGTTAGCTGTTTTTATCTCAAGATAAAAATGACCTTGTATACGTGTACAGGTAGTGTTTATATACCATGGTTGTTTGTTCATTTAGGCATGCCACTCTAGTGCCTTGAACTGCTGGACTTCATACGGTAGTTTTCTGTATATACAGAGCCTTAATAAGGTAGTTGTTACTGAATGCTGATACTGTACATTACCACTGATCACAAACAATAAAGAAAAATACTGTCACACATGTTATCTTATGTTGTTCAGTATTTACATAGACTTTCTTTAGAATGGTAATAATATGTTGGTAAAAACATTTACCACCAACATGAAGTTTATAAAAATTCTTATCAATTTAGTACAAGTCAAAGTCAAAAATTGTATTTTTTTCTTTCAAGGGAAATTAACTTACTGTGGTCATTTTTAATTTGGATAATTTGAAAACTGTCTCTTTTGCATTTTACTTCAGAGTCCTAGCCAATTGCTTTGCTTGAAGGGACCTTTCTTACATATTTATAGAGAATAAAATTGCTACAATTAGTTTCATTAGCACAATGCAAAGTAAAAAGACAAAGAAAGTAAACCCTCAAGTGAATGCTAGCAAAGTGTAGCGTATTTCAGAATTTGGAACTTTAAAGTTATGGTAAAAAAAAAAAAAATTTGCATTTTGAGCAGTTCCCTTATTAGGAACATATTCCTAGTCGAGCAAAATTCCTAAACCATGAAACTGATAACCTGCAAGTCCAGTAAAAGATCACTTCACCTTGAACTTTCAACAGTACATTGGAATAACTCTCCGTCATTTAGAAAACTGCTGGAAATGAATTTGAACTGTGCAACGTAAGAAAAAATTCTAAAACATATTCATTTTTATTCAAATTATAAAAGTTACTGTAGCTTTAAAAGTGCTTCTATTACAAGGAATAATTGCCACCATTATGGTCCCCATATTTTCACAATATCCCATTAACATGGTTGCACAAATTAGGCCAAACAATATTAACCTTTAATGTCTGACTGGGATCCAGTTCCAATACTTTCATGCAATTTAGATAAGTTAACTAAAGATAGAACCTTTGAAGAGGGTAGAGCAAACATATGCTGGTCCACCATCTTCCATTTAAAAATTGTTTTAAGTATCCCTGTGAGAAGGTAAGATACATGACTCTGTTGAACACAGTTAATATACTTAAGTAATTTAGACTGCCAGGTAGTCCAAGTTCCAGCTTGTTGGTATTTTTTTAAAATTAAAAACAATTCACACATGCCTGCTATTTGGATAATGCTCAGTATGCTGTCAGGATGAGTAGCCTAATATTAATCATCTTTCAAAATACTCCAGAAATAATGTTGGGTCTACTTTTACTATGAACATTTGGAATGTCTTCAACCTGACTTAAATACACCTGGCATTTGTGAAATATTTGAAATGTTACACTTGTTTTGTTCTTTCTACTTTATATGTAAAATAATCTTCATTTTGAAAAGGCCATTAAGAACCATATATATACAACATTCAAGATTAATGTCTTCATTTCTCTGCCACCTCTATGACACCAAAGTTTAACATAACTTACTTTAAATGTACATACACCCATTTTAAGCATTCTGGTCATAACAATAATTTCCTAAAACTATTACAACATTCTAACAGCTGACATGATTGTTCATATCCACATTTGTACATAAAAAGAATGCTAGAAACAACACTGCAGTGAAAAAATTCAACTCAGCCATCAAGTCAGTACTGTTGTTTTCAAGTTTTACACAGTGGGAGCCTCATGCTCCACAACTGCTAAATCTAGACTAGAAGGCTGATAATGACAGGCAGTCGGGCTTTATGTTACATGGTAAACAGAATCTTTTTAAATGAGTAAGGAATGAGAAATGTTAATGTTTGAAAAAATGCTTAAAATGCCATTTGATTGGCAGAAGGCAGTTTCCACACTCAAAGGTTATAAATGTCACATTAACAGCTCAACAGACTGATTAGTTAATAATTAAAAAGCAATGAAATTATAACACTTACTGTGGTAACACACACATGGCATTGCTTACTTATTACAAATTATTTTACAAATTGCACGTCAGTCAGCAGAGAAGTACCACTTTTCAATCATATAATTTTCTATTCAACTCACTTTGTATAATTTGTAATTAACTTCTTTTCCTGTGAGAAAAACACTCACAATTGACTTGTAATAATTTTAGTTAAATCCCATCTACCTGTTCATGCTGTTGACCCAAGGTTCATCCGCCTAACTGCAGCAGAGAGAGTTTGTACTCATGAAAATCTGTTGAATTATTTTTCTTTTGTGTGAACTTAGCCAAAACAGAGTCACATATTGCAATTACCACTTTGGCTTTTCCATGATTACAAATTTATTATAAAAATTTCAGGATTACAAAAACTAAGTTGCAAACAATGTCCACATTGCAATCACAATGTTAGCTGTCAATAACAGAGTCCCAAAAAGAATTATCACAGAGTAGATTAGCCCACGTATGTCACTATCTGGTATGGTAGACCTCAGTGTGTACTCAATAAATGCCAGTAATATCCACTGTCCATCTAACGCATAACATGGAACCACATTCAATATTGCTAGAGCCCCGGATAATGATATTAAATATCTGGGCTATAGTAAAGGCAAAAACTATAAGTTGCTAATGAATCATCAATGCATGAGTAAATACAAATTTGGGGATTAAATGTAGAGCAATATACTAATGAACAATACAAAAACATTTACTGTGATTGTAAAACAGATTGAAACCTTGATGCTTTATGATCTGGTGAAATATAATATTCGCAAGAGCTTCATAATGATAATATATGTAGCAAAGGATACTGACAAAAGGTTTCAATCACATATGGCATGTTCAATGGTATGAAGACCCCCACAGGAACATAGTTGCTGATATGAACTGAAATGAATAAGTTTAAAAACACTGTAATTTTTATAATATGGTAAATAAAGCTAGTATTTACAGAGTATGCAGATATGCTCCAGGTTTCATCACTTAAGATCACATTTGAGGTGATACAATATGTATTTAAGAAAACTGGACCAGAGCAAACAATAATAAATCCAAACAGTCCATTCCACAACAGTTTTACCTCTTCCACAAGTTACCTTCCAGGATTTTTTCACTTCTGTTCCTACCATTTTAGTTTAAAAGACTTCCAAGTTATAGAAGTTTACATCTGATTTCTATTTTCATAAATGAAGATGGGACCAATTATGAATAGGAAAAGACTTGATTTAAAATACTTTGGAAAGGCACTCTACAAGAATTCCCAATCCACCAACCTGAATAATGCAAGTCCAGTGGATGACCCAGAAAAAGCAAAGGTGCCTTTCCATATCTGTACACTTTGAGGAATGTGGTGCTGTTATCCAGTGAGGGGTAGACACATGCTGTCTCGACTTTGGGGTTTCTGCAATCACTCTGCAGTCTGCACGGAGGACGATCAGATGTACTGCGTGCAGGCAGGCAGGCATGTTTTAACTGAAATATTAAGTACCATGAATTTTTATGCCTTTACCATATCATGATTTAAATATAAAAAAGGCATTCATGCAAAATATTTAGCATGTGCAGAAGCTGGTTGGTAATACAAAATCAGATTCCCATTTGATTCATAATTCTTTGAGCATAAAAAAGAATTTTTTTAACCAAGGACATTTTAGAACTGAACAAAATGCACAGGACAAAAGACATTATCATTGTAATATAACACCTCTCACCTGGATAATGTTAAACAGTATATTATAAAATATTACCTTATTGGGACTAGCTTTGGTATGATACAAGAAACAAAGGTGAGTGCTGCTTGTACTGTTACAGCACTCTATATTTCCCATGACAGTCACATAATCTGTAACAGTAAAAAGAATAGAATATAGTGGTACAAATCATACTAATGTAGTATTTTTTTAATGAAATCTTTACTGTGTATTCTTAAATTAATAAGCTCAAAGAGATCTTGCCCCCAAAAAAGGCAACATGTTTCATACTTTGAACTTGATGTTCATAAATTAACTGGAAATGTTCCAATAATGATGCATAACTTACATTAAAGATCAAAGATTTCTGAAATAAAATGTGTGGTCCTAATAAACAAATATCAGTCGTGAGCCCATAGATATTTGGTACTCATAAGTACTGTTTAGGAATTAAGATACCAACTTTGGTTATATGACACATCCTGTACTCCAATCTCTCCTACTGGCATACAGTAGCCACTGGATGGGTCCTTCATACTCTGCCCAATACACTGCATCCAGTCCTCCACATTGGTCACTCTACAGTGATTTATACTGGTTACATGGTCTCCAGTGACCAGTCCCCTTGGACCTGACACTGCTGACCCCTTCAATAAAAATGATTTTAAAAAATCATTTATGTTATCTAAACCAGGTATACAGTCATCTGAAGTGTTTAGTAATTCATTTATTTATTTAATGATTTAAAGTGCCATATGAAGAGGCGTCAAATGAAAAGCTTATTGTGGCATAAAAATATTCATTTGATACAGGTTAAACTAATGACAGAGAACATATTTCACAGGTACTTATAAAGACTAAAAACAAAACCTAAATTAACACACAGCTAACAGCAATTCATATCTGTCCTTAGTCATCTCCTTACCTGTAATACATATGTTATAGCAACTCCAGTACCGGAGGAGTAAAACAACATCAGCATCCAGGGTAAAAGGAACCATACTAGCAGTGCAACAATAACAATAATGAAGTTGTGCCATACTCCGGCACAGTATATTCTGAGCTGTCTGATTGGTGAGATCACTTGCAAATGTTCTGTATACAGATCTACAAATGCACCTGGGTATACAGCCAGTATGAATATCCCAAATCCATTTACTCTCACTTGCTCCCTTGAAAAGAACAGCAGCAAGTTAAGAACAGACATTATAAGGCATTAGCTTTCTTTCTTTCTTTATTATTGTTATTTTACTAATTGTTTGTCAGTTATTAATTCGATGCTTATTGTTTTAGAACACAAAAAGGATGCAGCTTCCAGGTAATGTTTTATACCTTTACATTTTGTTGCTTACATATGTGGTTATATATATATTAAGTACTACAATAATAAAATAACCATCATATTAAAAATATGAATTAGGAACAAAGATGTCAACTTACAGAAATTGTAAACATTTATAGTAATTAAAACGAAAATGCCACTAAATGCTCTAAAAGTAGAATTGCTTACATATTTAACTTACAAATAAATGGTTACTTTTAAACTGAATAATAAATAAACACAGCGGGCACACCAAGAGACAAATACTCTACCTGACTGCAGCCACTGCATGGCCTACTTCATGTAAAATTCCACATACAAGAAGAGTCAGCAGATAGTAGAAGATTTGGTTCATAGGAAGATTCACACCAGGCATCTATTAACACATGATATCAACTAGTTAGGAAGCAAAATTCAAATAAATATAAACAATTTATAATAGAGAAAATGAATAAGCTCTATAAACAAAGCTTTTCCTTTCTTGATGGTTAGCTTTTGATTTTGTTTTTGTTTTTTTTTTTGTCTTTTTTAGATAATGATTCTTTACATCAGAGTTTTGATCTTATATACACAATAACTGCTTTCATCAAGAGAGATAAAGCTTTGATAAGTACTACACAAAAACATAAATCTGTACAAAAAAGGTTACAAATTCTGTTTTGCACCTTTCTGCAGCAACTGCATGCCCCATTTCATGGATCAGAGCACACAGAAGTAAAGTGAGTAAGTAATACAGCATTTGACTTAATGGGATATTCACTCCTAACATCTGAAAATCAAATGTCATGCACACAAAGTTATTCAAAACCAAATAAATCTGCAACACTGAACGAGTTAATACATTTCCATTATATTTTATCACAAATGTTAAATAAAATTAAGCATATGGTTTGTCTTTATTGCACAATTGTACCATTTTCCTATATACATAAATATATTTTAATAATAATAACTGGCTTTTCATAATCAAGTATGAAACATTACATTTAGAAACATTTCAAATGCTTCATCTTATAAAATACAACTGAAAGCATTATCTTTGTTTTCTTTACTTCAACCTACCACAGGAGTTAACACTTGTTGCTCTATGTGCTGTCTTGTTAGGGTATTGTATACCATGAGTGTCAACAGGCATACAGACAGCAACATGGCGACCATTCCAAAGACGACTCCTGCAGTAAACCAAGTCCGAAGATATCTTGGTTTCCACTGCCCCATCCTTAGAAACACCCGGTTCAGACATTTTGTATACCATCTTATTTGTCCAACTGATAATGAGATTCCTGTCCTCTCTAAAAACTCAATGTATGGTCTAGCTGTTGACTTGTTTGACTAGAAAAAATAATACAAATTATCAAAACAAACCAAAAAAGACCACAGTTCACAGTTTAAGCTAATTAACCAATGTATGATGTGGTATAAATAATTTCTAAAGTCTATTTTATCTATTAAAGAAAATACAATGATGTAATTTTTTAATGAAAATAAAGTATACCTGTTATAGGCCTATAATAAACTGCCTGATATAACTGAGTGATACATGCATTTGGGTATCTTTCACAAGGAACTGGCATAAAATCATTAATAAAAGAATAGGCATGGCTGCATGCAATACAAAGTATGTATTTTTTCATAATTCATAACCAGGGAATGTTGCACAATCTGGGAAAAAATGAAGTTTTTACTTTTACATTTTAGACAGTCCCTTTTACTGGTAGGTACTCTAGTTTGTAATCAAGACATGCACTGCACCTCTGCCTCACACCAAAATATACATTAACAATAATTTAACTATCATTTGTAGTTACCTTTAAGAATGCATCAAGAAGATAAACAGATGACCAGGTCCCCAGGATCACTGCAATCCCAGCAGGTTGCATTATTTCTTTGAAATAAAAGTGGTTGCCCCGTTCTCGGGTGAGTCATTGCTTACTTCCAACTTCAAGATATCATGTTTTTATTTCTGCAACAAAGGATTGACGTTCAAATACGATCAAATACACATATCACGATTGATCTCTTTCGGTTTTTGCGGCTTCTGAATTTCAAGATAACATTGTGGTTATATTCATACTTGCCTGACTGCGAAAAGGGTGGTTAAAAATCTGACAAAAAATCTGTGTAGTCTTAATGTTTTTCTTTCACGAACCACATGTTGAAAGCGAGCAAATTTAGTAGGTCATTACTAGCAACGGACAAGCGTGAAGTTGAGCTTTTTATTGGACAAGTTAACAGGAAACTCAAAGGACTGTGGGTAACCTTGCATCAGAACACCATGGCTGGGAACCAAGATATCAAAAATCTTCAACCTCATTTATCCAAACAGGACCTCAAAACATTAGTAAGTATTGGGTGTATTTGTTTCTATAGACATTTTTCTTTATAATAGTGTAAAACTTACCAAAATCACTGGTCTACTGGAGGTCCTGTCGATGGCCTTATTTTGCCGGCTGTGAGTTACACGTGTGTTTTACTCATTGGTTTGATTGGTTTCGACCTCGGGAAAACACCTTGCGATTTAACCATAGATTTTATGTAAATAAGCATGAACTAGCCCTTGAACCCCTGGGGAAATTTGCATATTTACGTCCTTCGGAATTCATTGGGATCCAAACCCTAACCTAGCTTTATAGCGACTGCAGTAATCCATCAATATGGACTGTTGATTATGTTTGTTTCTAGTTTTGGTTTGATAGAGGGCTTGCTCCTGCCCTGGTAGGCTGGTAGGTTGAATAATCAGCATCTAACGAACACTACCAGGTACAAATGGTCTTCACTTTCCACTCCCTCTCCAATTTTGGCCTTCTCAGCCGATTATTTAGCCCAATAATTCCAGCAGTTGAGCTTATCCCACGCTCATTTCAAACAGCTCTTCTTGCTCTGTGTTAGTATCTGGTCATAGTATTTATTTCTTAGCCAAGCAAATTTCCCTTTGAGGCAACAGTGACAGGTTGAAATAAGCTTAGTCATTGGTTTGTTTCATTTTTGTTCAATTTTAGGATATTACAAAGTTAGACCCATTGACACCAGATGTCATCAGCAGGCAAGCAACAATCAATATAGGTGAGTGAAATCTGAGGTGGACAAAAATTCAAGAAGTTTTTCTTTAGCCTCTAGAAAATTCACAAAAAAGAAATGTTACTATTTACAGTGTATGTTTAAATTTTACAAGCTGAAAAATCCATTTGTACGGCTGAAAGAATGAGATTGCAGGTTGCCAGCACAATACTTTGTTAACAGATGGTCTGTACTTTAGTGGATTGGTAATTTTTATCTAAATTTCTTAATATATATAGTTGAACTGATTTGCAATCTTAGTATCATGTCCTTATTTTATATGTAAATGTATTGATATACTGAAGAACATAAACGTTGATCTGAAGTCACTGAATCCAATATTTCCTTATTATTTCAGGCACAATTGGCCATGTGGCCCATGGGAAGTCCACAGTTGTAAAAGCTATTTCAGGAGTACAGGTATGGAAAACCAGAAGAAAACCTTTTTTAAAAAATGGATACTACTGTAAATATTAATGATTGTCTGAAAGAGTGGTTTTATTAAAATCAAGCATCAGTTGCAAGGGTTTTATTTTTGCATTAAAGCAAACTACTGGCTTTCACTTTTTATTTCTTTTGTTCATTTCAGACTGTCAGATTTAAAAATGAAAAAGCTAGAAATATTACTATCAAATTAGGCTATGCAAATACAAAGGTAGGTTGATCTTTATATTCTCTGTGTTTTCCAATGTAAAATCCATTTCATGTCATTAAGGAACTTACCAGATTAATCTTTAGAAAGTAAAATATATTGGGCTGCTGCGTTTCTTCGCTTAAGCCAAAGGACTTAAATATGACATGCTGTTGAGAAGAATTTTTTCAAAAAGTTGGAAACCCTACCAAAAGTTGTTGATATGTGGCCAACAGTTTAGAGTCAATTTCAAAATATACTGGAGTGCACGTGTTAAACTTGCTGGTATATTTTCATGGTAAGACTTTTGTGGTCTGGCTGACAGAAAAGACATACACCAAATGGAAATGAATATGACCCTTGGTTTCATCTTGCTGATGTTTTCAGATCTACAAATGTGACTCAAACAGCTGTCCCAGACCAGCGTGCTACAGGTCCTGCAGCAGTAATAAAGAAGATGTCTTCCCCTGTGACAGGCCTGGCTGTGGGGGAAAGTTTAGACTAATAAGGTACCCATTATTTGGATTTTTTTCATCCAGCTAGTTTCTTGTTATAAAAGGTTGATTATGGAATGATTTTCCTAGGACAAATCTCATTTAACACTTAGTGAATGTAAGTTTATCACATGTAACAAGCCACTTGCTAACATGTATACATCATTATCCCTTTCATGTTACTCTAAAAATCATATAATTGTGAAAATGGCCACTTATGAAGTAAGAGCACAATTTTGGTGTATGTTCCCTTTAAGTTTACATCATTTTTCAGACATGTATCTTTTGTTGACTGTCCTGGTCATGATATTCTTATGGCAACCATGTTGAATGGAGCAGCAGTCATGGATGCAGCATTATTGTTGATAGGTATGTTTTCATTTAGTAAAGTGGCCTATGCTGTTTATCAGTGCAGATTTATCAGTAAATATTGAGAGGAGTCTCCTTTATATGAGTTCTCTTGTGATAATTACTGATATAAGGGAATGTCTGGAGTATTAACCTTGTTGTTGGATAATAATCTGAACAAATGTAATCTATTTCATATTCCCATTTGTAAAAATGACAAATAACATTGCTTGTTCTGTTTTAATTTTCCCCAAAGTAATCATGGCCTTATGTATCTGAACTGTATTTAAAAGTGTTCCATTTTTTTAAGCTGGAAATGAGTCATGCCCTCAGCCCCAGACATCAGAGCACTTGGCTGCTATAGAAATCATGAAGCTGAAACACATTCTGATTCTGCAAAACAAAATAGACTTGGTGAAGGAAAGCCAGGCTAGAGAGCAGTATGATCAGATACTCAAGTTTGTACAAGGTAAGCAGGTCAGGGAATATGGATATTCTCTGGTGTCATAAAGTTGGCGCAATTATGAAATGAAGAGGGTCTGGGCAGTAAAGAGGTTTTGAGATATCTGGTTATCTAATATTGCTAGTTGCACTATGACAGACTTTACGAAAGGCCAAAAAATCTGTCAGACATTCGGTCTGACAAGCTTGAAAATTCTGTCAGACCGAAACAAAATCTATCAGACCGAAGTAAAATAATAGAAATATGAACCATTATTCATGTTTTCATGTGTGTTTTCTAACGTTTTAAATCATTGACATTAAATCAAATATTAAATTTTTGATATACATTTATTTGTAAAAAAGTAAAAGAAAAAAGAAAAAAAATTGACAAAAAATTACTTGCATAACAACTTGTTTTTTATTTAATGAAAAAGACATTGTGGAAAGACACAAGGACTAAAAACAATACAAGTGTGAAGAATGTGTAGCTAGTAATATCAAATGTACATGTATGTCCATAAAAACGTCATAACCATTTCACACGTTGTTTTTGGCAATAACATATGCAACACAGTAAGGCGGTCTCTTTCATCCAATTGAAGCTTTGACAGGGACTGTCCAACCCGAGTCTAAGTTCCTTCTTCATTTTATTTCTTTTTTTTTTTTATATATATATATATAAAGAAACTCAAACTGTGAGTTTCCTCAAGTTCATGTGCCTTTTCTCCAACTGGTGATGAACGGAACATGCAAATACGAACATATGATCCATAATTTAAGAACCCGTAATAAAGCTGTAACATTTATGTTGCTAATGATCAAAATGATAACTTTAGTACTCCTGACACTCGGCACACATAATTTTCCTCTCCTACAGTTCACAAGTCCGCCAGGGCCTACCTTCTTCCCAATTTTAGTAAACTTCCATTTCTCTTCCTCACTTCGTTTTCATTTTTTCCACACTTTGCACCAACGAAGTGTAAATAAAGTTCAACAACGTCATTTTCTAAACAAAAGGCTTATCCATGTCCATGAGCACATGTGTTGCGGCCATATTGTCATGTAGGGGTATTACAAAAACGAGACTACATTACATCATCCAGGAATCCCCCAACCTCAGCCAGTCACAAAATAGTATTTGTGAGTGAAACTGAGGTTAATAAATTATGTATAATTAGCTGGGAACTCCCCGAGATTTTCACCCCGTCTCTCTTTTCGAGTAAAGTAAAATATATCGTCCAGAAAAGAAACAACAACGTATTCCTTATATTTACACATTTCCAGTCAGTTTGAAAACTCGCCAGACATAAGGTCCGACGATACAGGATTTTTTATCGGACCGAAACGAAATTTGCCAGGCATGTCCGACGGTCCGACGCCTTTCGTAAAGTCTGCTATGATGTACATGATGAACATCAGTAGTTTAAACATACGCTGTAATGGATTTGCTAAGTAGTGGGAATATATTACTCTTTTCTTTTTAAACATTATTATTTATTTATTTATTTATTTTTTATAATTTATTAGTTTTCAGATAGTTTGTGTTTATTGTAAATAGGTTTTGGCATTTGGGTGCTGTTCATTGTTTAAACGTTTTTCTTCATTCTAATACTCTCTGTTCAGGCACTGTTGCAGAAGGTGCTCCTGTTGTTCCCATTTCTGCTCAGCTCAAGTACAATATTGAAGTGGTATGTGAATATATTACCAAGAAGATCCCAATCCCTCCAAGGGATTTCACATCAGAACCAAGGCTCATAGGTATGTAACCATTTGGTTTCAAAAGCTTTCTAAATCATTTTTAAAATGGTGTAAATTTTAAGACTAAGTCTTTTCTTCATTTAAATGTTGCATTGTAGTGTGCCCTTGTATGAGTGTATGTGTGCATACTAAAGTACATAACTATTTTAGCTCTCTCATTTTTGTCTACATAGATCATTTACAACTCCATAGGTTTTAATTTCATAATCTATGAAATATGAAAACAGTGATTGCAGTTTTATAAAATTTAACAACTTAGATGCTATTGATTGACTTGATTTCAGTAATCAGATCTTTTGATGTAAACAAACCTGGGGCTGAGGTGGATGAGCTGAAGGGAGGTGTGGCAGGAGGCAGTATTCTAAGGGGAGTTCTCAAGGTTTGTTTAAAAAACACAAGACATGCGAAGTAGTGCGCGTATAATATTTGAAAACAATATAGGATGTTCTTAGCTCATGCCACTGTATAAGACTAAGGGTCTGGCAGAAAATGATTAATTTTGAGAGGAAGTGAAAAAGATGATTTTGGAACAAATTTGTTTCTTGATTTAGCAGAGTTACTTTTGAAGTTGTCGGTAAGGAGTTATCAGCTCCAGTAGCGTAAAGTGTCTCCTTGGGGTTGGAGTTTTAGGCACTTAGATCCAGTTTCCCAGCAGTAATTTTTCTTGTACATTGTGGTGTAAAATTTGAGTCTGGGGTCAATTTGGAATTTATACCCATTTGGTCTGTAACATATGAAGCAGTTAGTTCTGAATTTTGTGTTTTGTTTTCAGGTTGGCCAGGAGATTGAGGTGCGACCTGGTATTGTTTCCAAGGACAAAGATGGGAAGTTGATGTGTAAGCCAATCTTCTCGAGAATTGTTTCCCTTTTTGCTGAACAGAATGATCTACAGTACGCTGTCCCTGGAGGACTGATAGGTAATTTCTACTTATGATACCACTAGTGTGAATTTAAATCTCTACAAGCCATCTTCCTAATGTATATTAAAATCTTCACACACTATTTTCATTGCATCAGTTTTAATCCCCACAATCCATATTCCTGTCTATTTAAAACTACAAATTAGGTTTATTCAGCAGTTTTTATTTATTTATTTATTTATTTATTTATTTATTTATTTATTTATTTAAATTAATTGTTTTAATTAAATGTTAGGTCAAAATATCATTTGATTTTATAGTATTGACATATAAAAATTTCAGCATGGTAAATATGAGATAATTCTTCATGCTTGCAAAATCTTTTGAGATATCAGTCTAAGGTTTAATACAAATAATTGAAGTCTGAAGCTGTAAGTCTACGCGTTTCCCAAGAAAATGAATGTGAAGGCCCTATGATTAAGGATCCACTTCCTCTTCCAAGGTGTTGGTACAAAGATTGACCCTACACTCTGCCGTGCTGACCGTCTGGTGGGTCAGGTGCTGGGTGCCGTAGGAGCTCTGCCAGAAATTTACACAGAGCTTGAAATTTCTTTCTTCTTGTTGAGAAGATTGCTTGGAGTCAGGACAGAAGGGGATAAAAAAGCTGCCAAGGTACAATAACTTTTTTCATGGATTTTAATGGATGAACATAATATAATGGAATATATAAGAAAAAAAACTTCTGAATATGTTTGATTTGAAATGTTTAAATTTGTCAGAGTGATGTACCTTGAGAAGATTTTTTGAAGAGATCTGAATGGAAATGCATTTTGACTTATAAGATAAAGCAAACTGAACCTAATTGATCTAATTGCCGTTTTATTTAATATTAAAATCAAAATATTTGAAAGTTTCTTAGTATTGTAATGTGATAAGTATTTTAATGCACATACTGCAGATATTAACATATCTGATCTCTGTTGTATCATAGTCCTTTTCAGTATTTGATAGAATTGGAAATATGCCATTATCTTATTTGAATTCCATTGTTTGTATCACAGGTCCAGAAATTGTCCAAGAATGAAGTATTGATGGTGAACATTGGTTCACTCTCCAGTGGAGGCAGAGTTTTGGCTGTGAAGGCAGATTTGGCCAAGATTGGTCTCTTTAATCCAGTGTGTACAGAGATAGGCGAGAAGATTGCTCTGAGTAGAAGAGTGGACAAACATTGGAGGTTTGTAGTACTCTTTATTGAGTTTTACTTCTTGTGACAGTGATATGCATATTGCACAAATTTTTCAGCATGTGTTAAAAGAAATTTTTGAATAACAAAGGTATTTGTCACAAGTCCACCTGAGTGGCATATCATATGTCCCATGTGTCGATATATTTTTTAAGAGACATAGTTTTGTTTGAATACCTTTCCTTACTGCACATTTTTATCTGTCTAAAATCAATCGGCAACAAAAAATTTGTTTCTGAAAAAGGAAAACCACAGGTTCTTGACTGAAGGTTTCTTCAACAAATTTTGTATTTTAGGTTGATTGGCTGGGGTCAGATTAGAAGAGGAGTGACTATCAAACCAGTGAATGAAGACTGAGGACACTTTGTAGACAAATTACTAATTTGTAGCCATCAAGTTAAAGAAACAGTACAAGAAAGATGACTGAAGATAATGGGTATCGACAGATCAGCACCAATTTAACAGGGCACTTGCCTTGTTTTATGTTGATCCCCATACAGCAAGCTGATTTTCATTGAGGACAGAAGCTCAGGTTTCCATTCAGTGGAAATAAATACCACCTGTGACCAGTATCCAAATTTATAACTGACTGCAAAGTAGTTTTCTCTTTGAACCCCAGATTCAGATAATTGTTTGTCACTTTTGGGAAAAATAATGTCAAGTTTTACTTTATACGATGAAATGTTTTCTGACATGTTCACAGAGATCGTCAAAAACTTGACTACTTCCTACTCCAGGACTTAGGCATTTGATTGCAACCTCCTTACTTGGATTAATATTGTGTCCTCTGACGTGTATCAGATGCAGGTTTTATTTATTTGTGTAATGATAACATAAATTGACTTTTATTGTTATCTGGTTTATGACAGAATAATGATAACTAAGAATGCACGCTGATGGCATTGTTCCTGTCCACATTTGCAAAGTACAAGAGGCGAGTTTTGTAATAAAAAAGAATGAAGAAAATAAATGTAATTAGAAAAAAAGCCTATTTAATCCTAACCCAACATACCTCTTAATATTAAATATTTCAATAAAATGTTTATGCCATCTGAACTGCATCAAAAATCTGAATATATAAATTTTATGTAAACTATTCTGAATATTAAAAGTAAGTATAATCCTACATCATTAAAAGTTTTCCATTAAAAGGATATGTACTTTGATTCTTATGAAAAATGTCATCAAAAAGTTTTTAAACAACAGACATAAGATGGATAAGGTATTAGTCATTGTCTATAATTTTAATAGCATAAGGCCTACATAAAAACCATAATTTTCTAATTTCAAAAGCAGTTCTCAAACATAACAGACGTGCTCCAAACAGGTACGTAAATACCAAATAACCTTTGTCAAACATTTTATCTATATCTAGCTCTTTCATAAAAATGCAGATTTACTGTACGTGTGGAAAGTTTTCCAAATCTTCCATTATATCGGGACTGTCTTGAATATCTAGAGAGGTAGAATGCTTGTTCAGTGAGATGTGCAGCGGGTTTGAAGATCTAGGTACCACCGTGATATCTCGATCCAAAGCATATCTTATCAAAATGGACGCCGGACTTGTGCGGTACTTTCTAGCTGCCAGCATAACCATATCGCTATTGAGAATTGGATTATTTGTTGTTGAACCATCCTTCACCCACCCGAACCCAAGTAAGCTATGAGCCATGAACCGAATACCATTAGCGTCGCAAAATTTCCTCAACTTCGTATTTCTCTTTATTAAATCAAATCTTGCTTGGAGAACTGAGACGGGAACTGTGGCCTCTGCCATTAGCTCCTTCAGCTGAGAAATTTTAAAGTTACTGACACCAATAGAACGAATGCTTCCCGTTTTGTTCATTTCTTCCATCACCTTCCACGATTCCTGCCACGTGCCTCGATTTTCGTCTGCGTCACATTCGAACCCCTTAGTATCACAAGATGGCGCTTTGATAAGAACCAAATCAATATAGTCTGTCTTCAGTCTTTTCATTGATCTCTCAATGGACATTCTCGTTGCTTCTTTGCCCAAATTCTTAGGATGGACTTTGACAATCACGAAAACATCTTCTCGTTTACAGTACTCGTTTTCTGAGAGGATGGAACCTAAAGTAGTCTCACTCTCGTCCTCTGGGTCTGTGTCAAAGAGCCTGACAAGAGAAACCGTGAAAATACTTAGGCCTACTTAAGCTTTTCCTTGTATGTATATAAGTGAAATCGGGTACATTTTTTCACTTTAGATTTAGTGAATTAAGTATTTAATCTTAAAGTTAAGAAAATAATCATTGCAAATTTCATATTCCGTTATTGTGTATAGGAATTTTGAGACTTTCTATACTGGTGAAAAAATATTTAATGTCTATACAGCTATTTACCTGTTCCCAATCTTCAGCGCGTGTCGAATACCTCTTTCAGCTTCATCTGGTGTCATTCCTCCAACACCAAGGCCTAACACGGGCACTAAAATGGGTTTACAGATATCTTATCTATTTTCATTATCAAACAAATTTGTCTAAAACAAATGTTTAAAGCTGCCCACTGATTTAAACCGCCCAGAGTGATCCCCACACCACCCCCTTGATATTTACGTACTAGAATATCCACTCTTCAATATTATATCTTCTTCTTCACCATGGCCTAACACGGACACTAAAATGGGTTTACAGATATCTATTGTCATTATCAAACAAATTTGTTTAAAACAAAAGTTTTTAAGCTGACTACTGATTTTAACCGCCCAGAGTGATCCCCACACCACCCCCATGATATTTACGTACTAGAATATCCACTCTTCAATATTATTTCTTCATCTCTGTCGGTTCTGCTTTCCTGCTCAATGTCCATTGCTTCTGGCTTGAGGTATTTGTACTTGGAAAAAACCTCCCTGATGGGCATATCGTCTATGCGAATGTTACATTTTATCTCTGGAGAGAAAAAATATTGTTCAACGCCTTTTATTTAGAATACATTAACATTTAACTGCCCTTGACCACCAAAAAAGATAAAACACAATGTATTCTATAAAATAATTAAAAAGAAATTGTATCTCACCTTCAGGTTTCTCTTCTCGAAGCTTGATGCAGTTGTCAATATAAACCGAGTCGTTAGACGGTGGTGTGTTAAACATACAGAGAAGAAAGTCAATGAAGATGGCTATGGCGATATTAGGCGGTCCTCCGTGTGTTCTCACTTGGTGCCACCAACCCTCGGGGACGTATATAATGTCACCGGGTTCTAGTATGGCCTTGTAGATGGCGATTTTGGACACGTCGGGGTATTTTTGCAAGTCAACCGCTTCTTGATTAACGGGTGACATGCCTGGAATATATGTATTTACTAGAGAATATCTTCAAACTTAAAATTAATGGTCTATAAATTAAACTACCTTCGAAAATTAAAAGAACACTAATGAACATTCCCATTAATACCTCAAAGTAACGGTATCTTTTTTCAAAAAAAGTTTTGTCACCTTGTAATGTCTTTTAAACCTATAACAGTTTATCTGTTCTCAATCTTTCTTTGTTTTTGAAGTTTTTGAAAAGACTTTACAGATAATAACGCATCTTACCATCGTGGTGTTCAAATTCATCCGAGTATAGGTATTTTCCGTCGCTAGGAGTGGTCAATATCCACTGCCGCCCACCGGTCACTTGGGCAAAGATGGTCTCTGTGACGTCGAGATGAATGTCGGTGCTTGACCAGCCCGAGTTGAAGAAAATGGCAACCTGTTTCAGCTAAAATGATAAAGTAAAAGAAGAATAACACGCGATGCACCGAAGAAAGCTGAAGTTTCCACATTTTGCATTCCATCTATTTAATTAAATCCTGTCTTCCGGTGTTCATTATCTACATTTTACTAAATTGACCTAAGATTCACTTACAATTTTCAAGTATTCATCACATGCTATGTAACCTGGAAAAGTGAGGTCTTCTGCCATTTCTTCACACACAGTGGAATCCATATATATCTTATGCTCTCTGTAATTACTGTAACAAATATATGAATGAATAAATATATATGTTAAAAAAACAGACATTCTGACTTACCATATTCATAAAAGATAAATCAATAAACCCTTTTCTTGATACACTGCCAAAATGTGCTTAACAGGATTAAACCAACAAACTGCCAAGGAATTACAATGAAATGTAACAAAATAATAATGTATCCATTAAAAAAAATTTCACAAAGCATATATAAATCTAGGTGCTGGGTGAATCAAAATAAATTCAAAAACATGTTTTACCTGTGCCCAGTGACCTATGACCAGAGGTCACGTGCAGCAGGCTTCTTGAAATAAGTGTCATTATAAATCTGTAAATCATCATTTTTTGGACAATGCATAGTTGATGTATTAAAAGAACCAAACAAAAAACAGCTTCATACATTTAAGAAAGACAAATTTCTCAAATGGTTATACCTCTAGCAGAAGAGTGATCAAATCCAGAGAGAGAGAAAGATAACAGACAGATGCTTACTCCAAAAAATCAGCCATAGACATCATCATATGTGCCGGGTGATACGCATCGGTGATGTTTCTCCACATAGACAGAAAAGTACGGTGACCAAATCTCTCCCTCAAATAGTCTTCGTTCTTCCATTTTTCCACTGCAGGCCAGTGTTTTAGTGCACCTTTGACCACTAAAGGCACAGACTTCCGCATGTAGTCCCTATAAAATACCTCGGGTTCGGGAAAGTGGTCCAGTGTTGGAATTTCCGTCAGCTCATCGACTTGTTCACCGAACTTTTCCATATGGCCCTTCAGGTTACTATTTGTGTCTTTATTTTCGCCACCAAAACTTGCAGATAAATCTGGGAAATATTCCCCGACATTTGTTCCCCAGAAACCCCACGCTATGGCTAAAATAAGTGGCACAGCACCCGCGTAGAACTTTGCCTTGGTCTCCATTTTGTGAAAGGCTGCCTTTATGCTATGTAAAGGATGTCTTCAGCAGTGTTATATGTAGAGCAATGTAAGTTCATGTAGTCGGTGCAGTCGAGGTCCCAAAAAGGTTCCGCATCAATACCGCTTTTATGTGTGAAGACAGAAAATTCTTTGCCCGCAGTGAAGTGCATTCTAAACACCATTCGGGCATACTCAAGGGGCCGTTTTGGGAACTAAATTTATTTGGATGTATAGGTGGGTGCAACAGCTTTAATGGGGCTATGTGGTTGGTTGTGGATGTCCATCTCTTTTTGATATTTATTTACATACTGCCAGTAACTGTGGAAGTAATTTGGAAGGGGATACATGAATATCAATTTTTGTCAAGGCGAGTGTCAACGGTCCACTAAAAATAGATATAGTTATACTATACTAAAAGGCATAATATAAGTTAATTTTTATCATTCTTTTAATTGAAGCAATTGTATTATGATAACCCTTTTTTATGATTTTGTTAGTTTAGAGATCATTTAGTCGAGCGATCCTTGTATTTTACGGGTCAATGATTGTAGAGTGGTAGGCAGTAGTCGCACTAGACCAGGGAGAGGGGGAGCTACAAGTTTTGAGACAAGCCCACTCATATTTATCGTTCATTTTTATTAGTGAACTTCAGAAATATTTGTACATAAACGGCAATACTTTAAGTTATTATTTAATTAATTTTTTATTATTCGTGTTTATATATTTATTATTTTAGTTTACAAATTATATACTTATTTGACACAAGCCAGAAAATTATTCCTCAACGTACGTTAGCTTGTGGTCGTAATCCTTCGTGAGACTGACTTGAATACATGCTGTTACTAAAACAGGCTTTACACTGGACGGCGTCCTTTCTGCGTCCTTAGTACGATCATGATGCTGGAATCGCTGTGGTCGTTGAAAGGAGGCACAAGCATCGCTTTGGTTGCAAAATAAATGCTCAATGATCGGCCAGTTGGCGGCACACAACAGGGCCGTACTACGGACTAAGACAGGATACCGTCCAGTGTAAAAGGGGCTTTGCTGACAGCTAGGTGGTAGCGCGCCAGGACCCTATTGTACATGACAGCTTCTGTAAAATAACTGTAAGACTGATATTCAAATAGCAAGCTAATGAACATTTTGCTCTTGTTTTGGTTTGGTTTTCAACATATGATATCAGACGATGTGAGAAATAAATGCTATAGAAAAAAAAAACTCATGGGTTCGATAAAACAGTTAATTAACAATTTTATTATTTTTGTAGTTTTATCGTATATATATATATATATATATATATATATACTTTGAAGAATGAGAAAAATAAATAAAAACCCTACACGACCCCTTGGTGTGTTATTCCGAAATGATGTTCCTTTTCACACCAAGCTATCATAAAAGGACAAAAGAGTCCGCTCACCGTGACGGGCACATTGACAACAGGATATAATGCTTATAATGTCTAATTCCTTGCTACAACTAATCTATTGTCAGTGCTGCGATAAAGCCACTTGCACAACATTATTTCAACATGTAACAAAAACATACACCTAAGCTTCTTATATATATGTCGAGTTGATGTATATTCAAATTTTCTTTAGCTGTGATGAATCATCCGCTACCTTCATCCATTAATGTTATTTAAATTTATTATTATTACTCTTTAGTTATGAATAATACAGGTCAAGCTTTTCATCAAAAGCTAATTGTTTAGTCTCCATTCTTTGCGGTGGGGGAAAAGCTATGACACTAACTCTTGAAAATCTGCCACGGGCGGTTCTGATCTGTGATTTTTTTTCATAAGACATTAAAGATGGGTATGCTGTATCGTTAATTATCATTATTATTCTTCTTTCTTTTATTTAAAAGCGATTGTTTTCATTTTATTAATGCATTCCATTGCATGAGTTTCAAAGAAGTGAAAAGTTCATTTTAAATAGTCCTTCCAAAGACCTATATCCAATTTTAAAATAAGTGAACCAGAATTAGGAAGCAGCGTGCAATGTGTCTGGAAACAAACACAGTACGTTTCTTGTCCTTTTTCATGCTATGCTTATATTGTTAACATGTCAACTCAAAATAAAGCGCACTGCAAGGCAAACTTTTGGCGAGTGAAACACTAAAACGCTTTGTGATTGCGTTTCGATATTTTCCCAGTTATGAAGCTCATTGTCAAATTAACGTCACCTTCTCATGGCGGATTTTTGGAATTTATTTTTCGCATTCTTATTGTCCCCATCAAAATTTCCTATTGTTAATCGCCATAACAGAATTTCAAAATTTTAATTTCATTTCGTTTTATTTACAATTAATGTAGTTTCAACCACAGCGTATTTAAGCAAATCTATAACTTTATTTAAACAGAAAAAGCTTTCCGCCACGAAAGAATGCCGGCATGTACTTTAAAGTTCCAAAAGTCATGGAATATGTGGGAAATTGTCCAAAGCGTCAAGTGCATCTTTACTTTCACGAAGGTTCATTATCAGAGAATTTTTGTTCAGTACAATGTGTAGTCGGTTTGATGACTTAGGTACCACCGTGATGTTCTTTTCCAAAGCATATCTTATCAAAACTGAAGCTGGACCAGTACGATAAAATCTAGCTGCAAATCCAACCATCTGGCTGTGTAATATTGGGTTGGTTTTTGAAGATGATTTCGCCCATTTAAAACCAAGTAAGCTATGAGCTATAAATCGGATACCGTTCTTGTTGCAAAATTCCCTCAGCTTGGTGTTCCGTTTCATCAAATCAAATCTTGCTTGTAAAGCTGAGACTGGAACAGTGGTCATCGTTAACAGTTCTTCCATTTGCAAGATATTAAAGTTACTGACCCCGAGAGAACGAATGCTCCCTGCTTTACTCATATCTTCAAGTGCCTGCCACGATTCCTGCCATGTGCCTGGATTCTCGGCTGCTTTGCAGTCGATCATCTCCTTATCACACGATGGAGCTTTTATCAAAATTAAATCTATATAATCAGTATTCAGTCTTTTCATGGACCTTTCCACTGAACTCTTCGTGGCATTTCTGCCCAAGTTCTTTGGATGAACTTTGGCAATCACAAAAACGTCCTCTCGCTTGCAGTATGGATTGTCACCCATAATGTAACCCAGTGTTGCTTCGGTTTCATCTTCTGAGTCCGTATCAAAGAACCTGGCAAAATATTAACAAAATATGATTCACGAAATATCATTCAAACTTGAAATTTGATTTCAAAAATTGTTTTTATCTAGTCACGGAAAACATAAGTTCCCAGAAAATAACTCTATACGAATATAAATGATCCATACCTGTAGCCGTGCCTCATTGCATGGCGTATGCTTCTATTGGCCTCTTCTGGTGACATCCCGCCAAGACCGAGACCTAGCGTAGGCACTAGAATGGAATTTGAAGAAATATAACAAATGTCAAGGAAAACACACAATGAACAAAACGACCAATGCACAGCTTTAAAACAATGGCAATATCAAGATTAACGTAAATGTCATATTTTCTTCCCTTTGAAAATGACAGATTTGCAACTTTTAGAGCACGGCGAAATGACGCGCCAAGTTCGCTACAAAATGTTCAGGTTAAAATCAATGCATCAGTTCCACCGTTAATTTTGTAATATGGTTCTACTTACTTGAATATCCACTTTTCAGCGGTTGATACTCAAATATGTCTTTTCTAAATTCCGGAATTGTGAATTTCATAGCTTGTGGTTTGAGATGACTATAATTATCATACACCTCTTTGACCGTCATTCCATTCAAAGGCATGTTACACTTCATCTCTGATGTAAGGAATATATACAAAAGTTACTCTCTACCAGAGGTCCTTTTAGCTGTTACAAAATCTGTTAAAGGACGGATTTGGTAACTGCTAGAACAGCTAGAGCCTCTGGTCGAGAGTAAAGAAAGGCAATGATTTGTTACTCTGTAAGGAACAGAAACAAACTGATTATATTTAAATGAATATCTATGTGGTGGGGCTTAGACGATATTGTGCTGCTTACTGATATTAAATCGTCATCAAAACTTTAAAAAGTATTATCTTTCAATAATGTTGAATCTGAATTAATAACAAGTGCCATTCGTGTTAACTTTGGGCCCATTATACATGTATTATGTTCAAGTGTTAAACAAGTTTATTAACTATACACTAAAGAAGGCAATCATAGTTTTTCGTTTGTCAATAGATATAGCAAAATGATGTTAATCCCTTCCCATTTTTCTACTCGTCGACTCTATTGCCATTCAATACTGCGTGTTATAATACAAAAAAAAAATCAGTTGGAAATGTTTACTTCAGATAACTTAATTTTCAAAAAAAAAAAAAAAAAAAATTAAAGAAACTGCCTTTCACCTCTGGGTTTGTCTTCTCGAAGCTTGATACAGTTATCAATGAAAACCGAATCGTTAGAAGGTGGTGCATTTTTCAAACAGTGCAGAAAGTCGATGAAAACGGCAATGGCAATATTCGGTATTCCACCGGTCACCTTTGCTTGGTGCCACCAACCCTCAGGGACGTAGATAACATCACCCACGTCCAGTGTGGCATTGTAGATGGCGATTTTAGACACATCCGGGTATTTAACCAAATCTATTGCTTCCCAGTTCACCGGGGAAGTTCCTGGAATAAATATGTACTTATGAAAAATAAACATCTATATTAAAAGGCGTTTCACCATTTCTTAGTGACGTTCTTTTAAGAATAAAAAATGTGTGGAAGGTTTATCATGAACATAAAAAGTACAAAAGTAATCAGAAAAGACCGTCTTTACGTTTTACATTTTGACACATTTCAAGATTGCCTATGACACCACACTGGCGCAAAGTCCCTTGTTTAAATTTATAATTTTCGCCTTAGCATTTAAGTCATAAAAAGTATCATTTGCTTCGTATGAAATCCATGTATCTTTTGCCATTATGAACCTCGTGGCGGGATCTTAAATTCAGATTTTACATCAATTTTAATGCTTTAAAGCAAAGTATATTCAAAGCATGTAATACATAACTGCACAATAACCCGACTTACTTTTTTTATACGAATAATTCGTCCATTTGCTTTAAAGGATCCCATACCCCAGGACGGAATTAATTTGAACTTCCATGAAATACTTACTGTAAAAAGTTGTTCACATTCTTTTAAATGAAAATATTTTGTTATTGGACTAAGAATACAAAAAGAGAACTATAACCAGAATGGTATGGAAATTCATCCGAGTACAGGTATTTTCCATCAGTTGGAGTGGTCAGCAGCCATTGCCGTCCCCCGGTCACTTGGGCAAAGATGGTTTCTGAGACATCAAAGTGGATATCACTTCTTGACCAACCAGAATTGAAAAATATGGCTATCATCTTTAACTGTAAATAAAATGATTCAACAAAATTAAGCATTAGATTTACAAGTCACCAATTGTTTAAGTATATTGTAAGTATACAGTTCAGGTATAATTTGGAACTCAAGAAAAAAGCCAGGTAAGCAATCGATAAAAGAATTAGGAATTTTAGAAAAAGGTATGAATGCGGCAAATTTATACAACGATAGATCTACAACGCTACTTACCATTTCCATATACTCGCCGCAAGCTACAAAATCTGGGAGAGTGAGGTCTTCTGCCATCTTCTCAGAAATTAAAGAATCCATGTAAACCTTTCTTTTCTTAAAATCACTTAAAGAAAAGAGACATGCCTTAGTACAGAATTGAACGAGAATAGTTCACACATTCAGAACTTACCTAAATGTGTGTAGAGTAGCAAAGATGTACATAAAAAGCAGTTAAATTTCAGTGTAGTCCCCATAATTTTGTTTATGGATGTGGGTATTTGAATACGAGAAAATTGGTACGAACTGAACCTAGAGCTAAATGTAATTTAACAGTCCGTGTATTCCAAATTGCATATTTCTTTCATACTTTAGACGTGTACTGATTTATGACGCTGTGTAAATTACTGTTCACTGACAATGAGAGCGAAAGTGTGACGGAATCACCGTGGTACTCGTTTGACTGTCATTTTTTTTAATGTTTGTATCTTGTATTTTCATCAAAATTTAACAAAACATCAACCCAAACAACTGTGTATGTTTTGTTGCTTTGATACTGATTGCACATAAATTACGACCCTTTATTTTCATAGAAATTAAGTTCGGCGTATTGTTTTGTATACATTCTTACAATAACATCAAAATTTACAAATATGTCAATCAATTCTAAAATATTTTTTTCATGAAGTCTATAGCTAAAATATGTTTCGTCGAATACACGTTACGACTATTTCTCAAATATTGAGGAGATTTGATACTCACTCCAGAAAATCTGTCATAGACATCGGCATAGTGTAAGAGTGATATGCATCTGTGATGTTTTTCATATTCACCATAAATACACTATCACCAAATTTCTCCCGTAAGAAGTCCTCGCTTTTCCATTTCTGAACAGCAGGCCAGTGTTTTAGGGCACCTTTCACCACCAGCGGCACAGACTTACGCATGTAGTCTCTGTAAAACACTTCTGGGTCGGGGAAATAGTCAAGAGTTATGATATCATAAATCTTCTCGGCTTGATTGCCAAATTTTTCCATATGGCCCTTTAAAACATTGTTGGCAGTTGTAGGGGTGGAATCTTCTTTCGTAGACGAAGAAAATCTGGGGAAAAACTCTCCAATATTTGGGCCCCAGAAAACACACGCTAGAGCTAGGAAAACTGGAAAGACTCCGGCATAAAAATGGGTCATGGTCTCCATATTGTCTCTGACGCTTAATCTAACAAGCAGAAATGGCAAACGATAGACCTAGCATACCTGGCCACTGCAATTGGCGACCTCCATTGTCCGTTTATCATTAAGTTGTCACTTGCCAAGGCTATATTTTTGGACACACATATGTGCTTAATGTAACGCATAAATGACCAAAGTGCAGTCACACCTAGTGTAAAAGAGGTACCTAAGTCGTAATGCCACTCCCATAGGCCCAATAGTCGAAGCCTGCAATGCTCTTTCTTGTAAGTTTTTTTACATAAATGCCTTTTTAAGGCTATTGAAGTAAAATAAGCTTGGTTGCTACTTACGAGACATAAAGCCGAAGCCGCCAATTTGTGAGGGAAAATAGAAAAACAGCCTAATGTCGACATATACACTTTATCTGTGGCTCTAGTGAATGTATTTTCTGTCGAAAGAACACAGTAGGATAATTGACTACATCCTAGCATGTAACTGGTACTAAAAATAAAAATGGCCACCAAAACAAACAACAGAAGGCAAAGAAGAACCGCAAGATCAGTATATTTCTAGTATACTTAGTATGTCCGCCTTTGATTTTTCTATTCATTGTGATTTTCGTTAGCCATTATTTAAAACTATCATTATACGCTTGTTGGACATTCAACCTGTTGAGGGGGTGAGCCACCTAGTAGTCGAGTTGTCATTTCCAAGAGCTCTATAGTCGGACCATGCTATGTTATTTCCTATGAGTAAAAGAAAGAATCTTGTTATTTGGGAGAATCTGGCTGATATGGCGCGCCATTCCTCTGGGGTGGTCGGGCAGTTCATCACTTCTACCCACTTCTTTATATGGACTGAGATGAGGTAGACTGTGTTGGTTCATTGCTCTATCACTTTGCATAATAATTCAGTTTGTGAAAAGGGTTGTTGTATTTATTGTTTCAAACTTTAACGAGACCGAAACAGTCCAGTTACTCAATGAAATATTTTACTATATTATTCTACCGTTCGAACTCAATTGTAAACAAACATCCATGTACATATTCCATATGAATTATTCTGAATATCAAAAATGAATACAATACCATTACGTTTTAATGCTACATGTATACCGGTTGTTTTCTTCACAAGCAGTTCTCAAACATTACTAACACAGTCGAGACATATGAGAGCAATAGAAGATAGATATACTATAGTATGTAGAAGTTACAGTGTAACTGTTGATTTACAATAATTAAACATATCCTGAATAAAACCACTGCAAGTGTTGACTGTTTTATGACAACACGATAAACTAGACAGCCCCTCTAGCCCCTACTCTACGCACCCCAAAAAAGAAAAAAGGCTACTGTCAAACAACTTGATTCTAAAGCTATTCGGCAAAAATATATTTATGGTACATGTGGGATGTTTTCCAAATCTTCCAATATTTCGGGGCTGTCTTGATTATCTAGAGAGGTAGAAAACTTGTTCAGTGCGATATGCAGCTGGTTTGAGGATCTAGGTACCACCGTGATATCTCGATCCAAAGCATATCTTATCAAAATGGACGCCGGGCTTGTGCGGTACTTTCTAGCTGCCAGCATTACCGCACTGCTACTGAGAATTGGATTATTTGTTGTGGAACCATCCTTCACCCACCCGAACCCAAGTAAGCTATGAGCCATGAACCGAATACCATTATAGTTGCAAAATTTCCTCAACTTCGTATTTCTCTTCATTAAATCAAATCTTGCTTGGAGAACTGAGACGGGAACTGTGGCCTCTGCCATTAACTCCTTTAGCTGAGAAATTTTAAAGTTACTGACACCAATAGAACGAATGCTTCCCGTTTTGTTCATTTCTTCCATCACCTTCCACGATTCCTGCCACGTGCCTCGATTTTCGTCTGCGTCACATTCGAACCCTTTTGTATCACAAGATGGTGCTTTGATAAGGACCAAATCAATATAGTCTGTCTTCAGTCTTTTCATTGATCTCTCAATGGACACTCTCGTAGCTTCTTTGCCCAAATTCCTAGGATGGACTTTAACAATCAAGAAGACATCTTCTCGTTTACAGTACTCGTTTTCTGAGAGGATGGAACCTAAAGTAGTCTCACTCTCGTCCTCTGGGTCTGTGTCAAAGAGCCTGACAAGAGAAATCGCGGAAAGGTTCTTTGGCACGTAGGTATTTGTATATTCATGGGTAACCGCATGAATGATTTTACCATGGCCCATAGGAGCCTACGCGTGCGTCTTTTAGACGCCCCTTNAAAAATATATTTATGGTACATGTGGGATGTTTTCCAAATCTTCCAATATTTCGGGGCTGTCTTGAATATCTAGAGAGGTAGAAAACTTGTTCAGTGCGATATGCAGCTGGTTTGAGGATCTAGGTACCACCGTGATATCTCGATCCAAAGCATATCTTATCAAAATGGACGCCGGGCTTGTGCGGTACTTTCTAGCTGCCAGCATTACCGCACTGCTACTGAGAATTGGGTTATTTGTTGTGGAACCATCCTTCACCCACCCGAACCCAAGTAAGCTATGAGCCATGAACCGAATACCATTATCGTTGCAAAATTTCCTCAACTTCGTATTTCTCTTCATTAAATCAAATCTTGCTTGGAGAACTGAGACGGGAACTGTGGCCTCTGCCATTAACTCCTTTAGCTGAGAAATTTTAAAGTTACTAACACCAATAGAACGAATGCTTCCCGTTTTGTTCATTTCTTCCATCACCTTCCACGATTCCTGCCACGTGCCTCGATTTTCGTCTGCGTCACATTCGAACCCCTTAGTATCACAAGATGGCGCTTTGATAAGAACCAAATCAATATAGTCTGTCTTCAGTCTTTTCATTGATCTCTCAATGGACATTCTCGTAGCTTCTTTGCCCAAATTCCTAGGATGGACTTTAACAATCAAGAAGACATCTTCTCGTTTACAGTACTCGTTTTCTGAGAGGATGGAACCTAAAGTAGTCTCACTCTCGTCCTCTGGGTCTGTGTCATAGAGCCTGACAAGAGAAATCGCCGAAAGGTTCTTTGGCACGTAGGTATTTGTATATTCATGGGTAACCGCATGAATGATTTATTTCTAGATCTCATTTCGCTATTGTGAATCTTATCTTCATAAAACGGATTGGACGTATTCGTTTTCTTGTACATTGTACAATGGTATGCAGAAAACAGTACTTGCTTATTGATGAAAAAAGCTCTTTTAATTTAGATATTTACCTGTACCCAATCTTCAGCGCGTGTCGAATCCCTTTTTCAGCTTCCTCTGGTGTCATTCCTCCAACACCAAGGCCTAACACGGGCACTATTTAAAAATGAATTTACAGATAAATCATGCATTACCATTCCCAAACCAACTTGTTAGAATCAAACGTTTTTAACCATCCATTAGAGCAAAAAAATTGAAACTGCATTTTGATTTAGTCAATCAAGGCTGACCTCCCCCACAATAAGTTCAGCCAAAAACACAGTATATACGTACTAGAATATCCACTCTTCAGTATTATTTCTTCTTCTCTGTCGGGTGTGCTTTCCTGCGCAATGTCCATTGCCTGTGGCTTAAGGTATTTGTACTTGGAAAAAACCTCCCTGACAGGCATATCGTCTATGCGAATACTGCATTTTATCTCTGGTGAGAAAAATGTAATGAAGCATAAAAGCTGAAGAAATGTGTATGACAATATTCATCATGAATGCAGTTTCGTCCGCCCGTGTTGTCAAAAACACTGCATGGTGTTTCTGTCCATCCACAGGACACAGCATGTATATTTCTTATTTTGGTTTTCGATGTAAACTTCCTCAAACTACAAAATTAAGGAAAAAATTCAAAAGAAATTGTATCTCACCTTCAGGTTTCTCTTCTCGAAGCTTGATGCAGTTGTCAATATAAACCGAGTCGTTAGACGGTGGTGTGTTAAACATACAGAGAAGAAAGTCAATGAAGATGGCTATGGCGATATTAGGAGGTCCTCCGTGTGTTCTCACTTGGTNTATGGGCCATGGTATGATTTATTTCTAGATCTCATTTCGCTATTGTGAATCTTATCTTCATAAAACGGATTGGACGTATTCGTTTTCTTGTACATTGTACAATGGTATGCAGAAAACAGTACTTGCTTATTGATGAAAAAAGCTCTTTTAATTTAGATATTTACCTGTACCCAATCTTCAGCGCGTGTCGAATCCCTTTTTCAGCTTCCTCTGGTGTCATTCCTCCAACACCAAGGCCTAACACGGGCACTATTTAAAAATGAATTTACAGATAAATCATGCATTATCATTCCCAAACCAACTTGTTAGAATCAAACGTTTTTAACCATCCATTAGAGCAAAAAAATTGAAACTGCATTTTGATTTAGTCAATCAAGGCTGACCTCCCCCACAATAAGTTCAGCCAAAAACACAGTACGTACTAGAATATCCACTCTTCAGTATTATTTCTTCTTCTCTGTCGGGTGTGCTTTCCTGCGCAATGTCCATTGCCTGTGGCTTAAGGTATTTGTACTTGGAAAAAACCTCCCTGACAGGCATATCGTCTATGCGAATACTGCATTTTATCTCTGGTGAGAAAAATGTAATGAAGCATAAAAGCTGAAGAAATGTGTATGACAATATTCATCATGAATGCAGTTTCGTCCGCCCGTGTTGTCAAAAACACTGCATGGTGTTTCTGTCCATCCATAGGACACAGCATGTATATTTCTTATTTTGGTTTTCGATGTAAACTTCCTCAAACTACAAAATTAAGGAAAAAATTCAAAAGAAATTGTATCTCACCTTCAGGTTTCTCTTCTCGAAGCTTGATGCAGTTGTCAATATAAACCGAGTCGTTAGACGGTGGTGTGTTAAACATACAGAGAAGAAAGTCAATGAAGATGGCTATGGCGATATTAGGCGGTCCTCCGTGTGTTCTCACTTGGTGCCACCAACCCTCGGGGACGTATATAATGTCACCGGGTTCTAGTATGGCCTTGTAGATGGCGATTTTGGACACGTCCGGGTATTTTTGCAAGTCAACCGCTTCTTGATTGACGGGTGACATGCCTGGAATATATGTATTTACTAAATAATATCTTCAATCTTCAAACTGGTCTATTAACTGGTCTATTTCTTCGGAAATTAAAAGAACACTACTGAACATTTCCACTTGATGTAACGGGATCTTATTTCATAAAAATTTTGTCATTTTGTATTGTCTTTAAAACATGTTTTTAAAGTTTTTGAAAAGAGTGTATAGATAATGAAGCATCTTGCCATCGTGGTGTTCAAATTCATCCGAGTACAGGTATTTTCCGTCGCTAGGAGTGGTCAATATCCACTGCCGCCCACCGGTCACTTGGGCAAAGATGGTCTCTGTGACGTCGAGATGAATATCGGTGCTTGACCAGCCCGAGTTGAAGAAAATGGCGACCTGTTTCAGCTGAAATGATTAGTGTGAAAAAAGAAAATACGACTCTGACATCGTGCATTCCATTTTTAAATTAAATCAAAATTAAATCCCGCCCCCTGCGTCTGTTTTCTACTTTTAAATGAATGAAGTCAGAGTGACATATCTATGTACTTTTCTATTCAAGAACGTTAGATTCACTTACAATTTTCAAGTATTCATCACATGCAATGAAACCCGGGAAAGCGATGTCTTCTGCCATTTCTTCAGACACAGTGGAATCCATATAAATCTTGTGCTCTCTGTAATTACTGTAAAAAAATTAAATATATGAGTGATAATGCAGATTTTCTAAAAATGACCCTTATAAAGAATACTGGACAGGATAGCTATCCACTGAACATCAGTTGGATAACCTTTCAAATGTAATCATGCAGTCTCTCCATCGGATTCAAAGAAAAGCATTTACAAACACAATGAAATGCAACAAAAAAATTCTTATTAAAGTTTTCATGTATGTATGTATAGAATGGAAAGAGTTTTGAATGAGGTACCAATATAAAACTTTATGTTTAGTGAAACACAGAGAAAGCAAAAACTGGTGTCAGGCCTGCGCCCTAAAGTAGTTTGCATTTAGACTCCTAAAACAAGTTACTGTAACTTTTTAAAAATCTTTTTCATACAGTTGTTGACAAAGAAAAAATGCATCATAAATGAGGAGAAGAATGTGAAGAAGCATTGAGAAGATTAGGTCGTGCTGTTAAAATAAGATACAAATCCTTACTCCAGAAAATCTTCCATAGACATCATCATATGTGCCGGGTGATACGCATCGGTGATGTTTCTCCACATAGATAGAAAATTACTGTGGCCGAATCTCTCCCTCAAATAGTCTTCGTTCTTCCATTTTTCTACTGCAGGCCAGTGTTTTAGTGCACCTTTGACTACCAAAGGCACAGACTTCCGCATGTAGTCCCTATAAAATACCTCAGGTTCGGGAAAGTGATCCAGCGTCGGGATTTCTGTCGGCTTATAGACCTGTTCACCGAACTTTTCCATATGGCCCTTCAGGTTACTATTTGTTTCTTTATTTTCGCCACCAAAACTTGCTGATAAATCGGGGAAATATTCCCCGACATTTGTTCCCCAGAAACCCCACGCTATGGCTAAAATGAGTGGCACAGCACCCGCGTAGAACTTTGCCTTGGTCTCCATTACGTGGCAGGTTGCTCTATTGGTCACAATACCAGAGAAGATGCTGCTGCCTTTAATTGCGTTACATATATAAAGAGAAGTTCATTTATTTGGAATTGCATAATGTTTCTCGCATCGGTACAGCTATTATGTGTATAACATAAGAACCATCTGGACATTGGTTCATATCATTTAACTTCATTGGGGCGTTAGATTAGATACAACGCCTGTTCACACGAGGAGCAACTCAGACCTAACCAACATATTCATGCTGAACACAAGTATTCATAAGTGATGAAAGTAGAAAGCGATCCATTTCAGCTGTCTTGACACTGAGGATGTAATACGACGGGCACCTTTGCTCTTACAATTCAACGCGCCATGCGGAACATCCTTTTACGTTTATTCGTGCGATACTCTTGATGACATAGACGGACATCAGACTATACTGGTGCATGTTCCCACTCAGCAATCTTGTACAGTGTATCCGGCGAAAACAATCGCGAAAACATGGAGAACAAGGCCAAACTGTACGCAGGAGCCGTTCCAGTCTTCCTGGCGTTAGCATGGAGTATCTGGGGACCAAATGTTGGTCAATATTTACCGCCGATGTCAACGGGTCTCACAAATGAGGTGCCAAACGACACGAGCAATTTAAAGGGACACATGGAACGGTTCGGAGAGCAAGCCCAAAAATATGAAAATCTCATTACTCTTGACTATTTCCCCGACCCAGAAGTGTTTTACAGAGACTACGTGCGTAAGTCTGTGCCACTGGTGGTGAAAGGTGCCCTAAAACACTGGCCTGCTGTTCAGAAATGGAAAAACGAGGACTACTTACGGGAGAAATTTGGTGAAGATTTTTTTAATGTCCATTGGAGAAACGTCTCGGATGAGCACCACCCAGCCTACATTGACATGACCATGGAAGATTTTTTAGAGTAAGAGCTCTCCCCCTTTTTTCGTCACAGCGTTGTATCAAATGGCAGTTAGTTGATGAGTTAATTATCTTTCATTGAAAACCTTTATTGATAACTTAATGACATTTACAGTGAACTTGTGAATCAAAAATTGGTGAGATTGAAGAGTAACTCTGTACTGATCATGGCTGAATGTATTCAGGTACGACCAACAACACACGTACCTGGGTTAATACATTTGTATCACCCGTTGAAAGCATGTTTTGCAGGTGGCCCATTCACAGCGCTGTAAATAGATTTGTGGTAGATATAATAAAGCTTTATGTCCTGTTGTCAATATTGGTAGTCACGGTGAGCCGGCTCTCTTGTTCTTTTATGAGTTCTTGAAATGAAGAGGAAGGCTGTCTCCGAAAAGCCTGACTGGGGGACGGATAGAGTTTTCATTTTTTTATTCCCCAAAAGATTACTCACTTGGAGACATATGTACTCATAAAATGCATGAAATATAAAAAAAATAAAACTATACTTTAATTCTATTCTATATATGTAAATAAGAAAAGTGCCAAAAAATAAAGACACTTTCAGTCCGCTCACACACACACACACACACACACACACACACACACAGAGGCGGATCCAGGCTTATTTGAAGGGGGGGGGGGGTCGGCGGATGCGAAGCCGACCCTCCCCTCCCCCTTGTCATGGGTTCGGGGCACTCCATCGGGCCCCGAAAATTTTTGTTATTTTAGAGGGCGAACGGTGCCATTTTGTACGTTTTTAGAACAATGATTCAGCTGGTCAAAATTCTGATTTCAAGAGGGGGCCATGGGTGTGATTTTCCCCCGACACCCCCTTAAATTAGCCACTGATTGGTGTTGCAAATGGAAGACCAAGTCTGAGTATGATACTTAATTTTAATGGATGTCATCACAGAGAGAGAGAGAGAGAGAGAGAGAGAGAGAGAGAGAGACTATAAATTTTTTTTATATATTACATGATTTCGTTATATAGTACATACAGGAAAGAAAAAATCTACATGGACTCCACAGTAAGTCCAGAGATGGCGGAAGACCTCACCTTTCCAGGTTTTGTCGCTTGTGAAGGGATGCTGAAAATGGTAGGTTGCGAATGAAGCGCTGGATCTCCTTGGTGTATGCTGCATATTTTTTTCAATTCAATATAAAGAGCTAACATGATTTACCCACCAGTTTCTATAAAAATTTATTCACTTATGAGGTTAACGTTAACACAGATTCTTCCTGCTAACAAAAATATGAAAACTATGTACATGGCGAGCGTTTGGACCTTTTTTTATTCTCAGTAACGTTTTTAGATAAGTATGTGAACAGCAAGGGAATAACTGGTTTTAGGCTTATTAAAACCTTGCATAATGTTAAGGACTACATTGCTCAAACGGCAACAAACCTGGTAATGAACTTCACAACTACCAGGATCTAGAGAAAGAAAAAAAGAGGGGCTGCCCAGAAGTGCAAATGACAAACTTTGAATATATATTGCATTTGGAAAAGATATTTATCAGCCTGAAATACATTTAAATATAAACGTTCCTTTAACCCACAGAAAGTTTTGGCAAAAACGAAGGTCAGTTCCTTAACAGCCGAAGTTAAATTTGTTAAAAAATGTAATTAAAAAACGCATAGCCCTAAACAAATAATAGCTGTCAATTTTTGTCCTCACAATACCCAATATATATTAGGAGGGATTTTATCTATCTACCATACGTAATATTGTATACTATACCATTTTAGTAATAACTGTAATGCTAAATGAATTATTATTATACTTTCAGCTGAAGCAGGTCGCCATTTTCTTCAACTCGGGCTGGTCAAGTACCGACATTCATCTCGACGTCACAGAGACCATATTTGCCCAAGTGACCGGTGGTCGTCATTGGATATTGACCACTCCACGCGACGGCAAATATCTATATACAGATGAATTTGCGCCCCATAATGGTTAATATTTGCATTCTATCCTTTTTATCTTTAAATCTCCCTCTCTCTCTCTCTCTCTCTCTCTCTCTCTCTCTCTCTCTCTCGTATTGCGGTAGCGTGTAATTCTCTCTCTCTTTCTTTCTAATTTTAAGCGAAAACTTAAATGACGTACTTCTATCTTCCAGGCATTTCCCCAGTAAACCAGGAAACAGTTGATCTGATAAAATTCCCCGACGTTTCCAAAATAGTTATTTACAATATCACACTGGAGGCTGGTGATATTATATACATACCCGAGGGCTGGTTTCACCAAGCGAGAACCAAAGGAGGGGCTCCAAATATTGCCATCGCCGTGTTTATCAATTTTTTGTTGTGTATGTGGGAGTGTCCAGACTCAGACGATGCTGAATACGTTGAAAACTGCATTAAACTCAGAGAACAGAAACCAACAGGTTTGTTTTCAAGGAAATTATACCATACTATATTAAAAATGACCCTTATAATTGGTCAAATTCGATTACACAGTGCAGTAGTGCTTGGCTGGATTTTTTTTTTTAATATTGACTTTTGATCGTGTCACAATTGGAGATTCATTGTAACATAAAAGCAAATGCAGTTAGTCTGGCAATTTTATTAAGGTGGAACGGCAAATGTGTACATCCTATATGGGGATTTACTGAATCCCGACAATCTCTATTTCAAAGTCGGCAAGCTCAAAATTACTTTACAACTGTAGGTCCACAAGCTTTTTCATTAGCAGATGACATATGTCATAAGGTATGATGAGTTGTGTCCTATGAGAACACTTATATTACACTGCCTTTACACAAATATTGCAGCATGCACCGAGAAATCAAAATGAGCAATATGTGGTATCAATTGTTTTTTTTTTTCATATTTAGATAAAGGGGAGATTTTCTGTATCACTGTTAGTGGCGCATGTACTATTTCATTAACAAGTGTGGCATTATATGCTTTTTAACGAGAAACGTGCACCGTTCTAATCCTTCAACATTATTGAGTCGCTTGTTGTATGACACTTTAGTGAGCATAGTGTAGGTGGAAGTAACATCAACTCTTTTTTTAATAATTATTTAAGACCAAGTTTTTTCTCCAAAGAAATGAATACAAACCTTGTCAACTAATCAATACTTTTTTTAATTCATTTTTCTTTGAAAGAACTGGAGTGTAATTTTCGGATGGAAGATTTGACAGTGAGAGAGGTGCTTGACAAATACAGTTATCTCGTACCTCCCGGTATGGTGCAGTGGAACAAGAAAGAGGAGCTCACACCTGTACTTCTTAAGAGTGGATATAACAGTATGTTCTATTATATCATTTCACATCCTCTTATATATGAGTACATGTACTTAAAAACATACTGCATTTAATCTGTAGCCTACATACATGCGTAAAAATATTAAGTAAGTCTATTGCAGAATTTAGTTAATTTTATTTGTATATCTCACTTCACTAGTTTGTTTACGCCAGATTATCGATAAAAGAAGGCGTTATTAGCCTACAAAATGACTTCAAATAAAAATCCTCGAGCATACGCCCCAATGGTAACAGACAACACAACGCTGCTAATTTGACTAATAACTTTTTATTGTAAAATATTTTAGTGCCTATGTTAGGCCTTGGTCTCGGTGGAACGTCGCAAGAGAATGCAGACAGAGCTATACGACACGCACTTAAAATCGGGTACAGGTAGGCTTAAAAGCAAATATATACGTCATATATATGTCAAAGTTTCCATTTATTACAGATATAAACAAAAGATCTGTGCTGTGCTGGAATAGCCAAGTATTTTTCTTGTAGAGCGATTCCAAAGATTTGAAGCAAGTAAATTAATGGTACATTATACACACACATAATGCAAACAATTATCACACATCATGTTTTATATTTTTATTTACTATATTTTACAGGTTATTTGACACAGATCCAGAAGGTGAGAGCGAGGCGGTTCTGGGCTCCATTTTAGCTCAAAATCCCTATCGCAAACGCGAAGAGATTTTTGTGATTGTCAAAGTTCATCCAAAAGATTTGGGTAAATATGCCACTAAGTCGTCAATCGAAAGATCAATGAAAAGACTGAAGACAGACTACATCGATCTGGTTCTCATTAAAGCGCCATCTTGTGACACGAGAGGGTTCGAGTGTGAAGCAGACGAGAATCGAGGTACGTGGCAAGAGTCGTGGGAAGCATTAGAAGAACTGAACCGGACTGGAACTGTCCGTTCTATTGGCGTCAGTAATTTCAAAATATCTCAAATAAAAGAACTACTGAAAAAAGCCAAAGCCCCATTGTCCGTTCTTCAAGCCAGGTTTGATTTAATGAAGAGAAACACAAAGTTGCGGAAATTTTGCGACAAACATGAAATACGATTTATGGCCCATAGTGTGCTCGGCTTCAAATTGACCGAAGATGGGTATTCAGGAGAAAGCCCCCTTTTCAACATCGAAATGGTCAAGACAGCAGCTAGAAAATACCGTACAAGCCCTGCCACAGTTTTATTAAGATACGCAATGGATAGAAACGTTACAGTAGTTCCTAAATCCACTAACCCGCTGCATATTTCCTTAAATAAACACGCTTTTTATATAGGTGTTGACAGTGATCCATCATATATGGAAGATATGGAAGAACTCTTTCCTCATGTAAATTAAAATGATATTTGTAGTGTGTTGAATGTTTCAATTTTCCCTATCAAAAAGGTACCAGTTAATAGAATAAGAACTACTTGAATAAATGTACTTTATTGCAATCCCTCTGATCCCTACCTGTACTTGCACTGTCGTTTTGCTAAATTTTGACAGAAATGGAAGAGAAATAAAGCCCCCTCTTCCTCTCAATGATATATTGTCAACACAAGGAAATTAACTGTCAAAAGAGTCACACAGCGTGTCCGCCACACTCTCGCTCTCATTGTACGTGAACACTAATTTACGCAGTGACAATAATCAGTACACGTCTCAAGTAAGAAAGAAACATGTGATTTGGAATGGACGCACTGTCAAATTCCCTCTAACTCCAGGTCCAATACGTGCTAACTTTCACGTATTCACTGGAACTCAAGTTTTGGCTCATACGTTAATCTTCTAGCCCTACACATTGTGTAGGGGTAAACTGTTTTTGTTAAATTCTGGCCTGAGGTATGTCTCTTTTCATTAAGTGAGGATCCTACTCTTCTAGATTTTGTAACTTGTATATGGATCGAAATTGTACATGTAGGTCGCATTTCCTATACTTATACTTATGTGGGCATGTAGGACACGAATATCAGAATAAAATTTATGAATCAGATTGACAGTCTCGAATATTCGTTTTTTTTTGTTTTTTTTTTTGGGGGGGGGGGCATTGCATAATATAGGGATATTTTGATGATGTTGGGAACGTGCCGTTTACATGTATAAGGTAACTGAATGCAGTTGATTACCGTATTCCTCCTATATCAAACCCAACACGGGTCGGCACAATATTTGTATAGGCCTATATATCATTGCCTTCTTGACTGGTAAAATGCAAAATTGTAAAGTAAATAAAGACTGATAATGAAAAATAAAGTAACGAATAAGAATAAAATAAATGCTTAAAATAAAATTATATAGGCCTATAAAATATAATTATATATAAAAATAAGAAAGTTTGATTTCAAGAATATTAGTAGTAGTAGTTGTAGTAGTAGTAGCAGCAGCAGCAACAGCAATAATAATAATAATAATAATAATAATAATAATAATAATAATAATAATAAATTTCATTTATGTGCTATGATAGTACCCTAGGTTCTAGATTCCGGTATTGTCAGCTCGATCTTGATTTCATATATAACCCATATCAACAATACGTAAAAGCGACTCCACCACGAGGTATATTTAGCAAGCTAGCTTTTACGTTTCTCTGACACTCAGGGTATATGATAGGAGCCTATACTAACTTTATTAATTTGTTTGACCTTGTGTGACGGAGCACTCAAAATTCCATGCATGATTAAGAACTCGGAAAGAGAGACTGGAAAATTGAGTAAAAAAATAAAATTGCATTGTAAAGTACGTGTTTTAGCTCACGTTTTCCGTTTTGCAAGTATATAATAAAAGTCTTTTGAAGTTCGCCGCGAGGAGCGCCTGTCCTGGTTAATGTTCTTAGACTTTAGTAGCGATGCATAGTATGTTGCCATTTTACAGGTAAAGAAAGGAGGTATCGGAGCACTGACTTCGGTGTTTCGCCAGAATTACTTCCAGATGTACCTCTAGATGTTTTAGCGCCCAGGCAGGCCGTGCTTTAGGTGAAAGCTAAATTTTGGTTGACTCGGTGATTTTACTTGTAAAGAGGAAAGCATGCCGTCCATCACAAAACCATTAAAAGCGAAAGTTGTTTTAAAGACCCGTCGTTATTGTTACTTAATATTTCTTTATAAAAATTAATAGATTGTCAACAAAGGTACTATAATCTACATGCATAAAATTGACTTCAATTTGTAGAATGATAACAGTGCTTGCATTGACTAACCCACATGTATTGCATTTTGAAAAATGAAGACAAACTTAGCCATTCAAGATGTGGTACGTATTACATGTAAGATCTCATATATTTAAGTGCAGTGCTAGAGCAGAAGGGAAACTAGGAAAACTACAGTTTCATCTCACTAGCATGGATGCAAAGGAGCTCAAGCAAACATTGAAAAATGCCAGAGAGGCTATCCGCAACAAGGACTACAAAGAAGCCCTCAAACATTGCAAGGTGAAGTTGGTTTTTAAAAAGTTATTATTTCTTTTTTTAGTAAAATTTCCAATACATGTACTGATTGGAAAAGGTTAAAAATACTGGTTAAGCAGGCAAATGCTAGCTGGCTTTTCTTTATTCACATATTTGAGATAGACCAGTAAGAAACAAGAAAACTGAAAAGTTACAAATGCATCATGACCTACTGAGGAAGACTACTCTTTTAAGAAGAACTGCCTTCATTTGATCTACGGTAGGTAATTGTATTGCATTAAGTTAAACTGCTCTTTGTACACAACATAGGCCATCCTGAAAGTAGACAAGACCAATTACAATGCCCTAGTGTTTGTGGGGGTGGCAGCAGAGGGACTAGAGCAGCCAGAACAAGCTCTGTCTGCATATAAGAAGGCCACAGATAGTGCTCCGGATCAGCTCCTAGCATGGCAGGTGAGTAAGACAGTTCTTGTTGTTAAGATCTAAATTTGCCACTCCCATGTTTTTGCCACACGCAAAGTATGCACTTGTGATGGCTTTCTGCAATACCACCTTTTTTCACTTATATTCTGATATTGTCTTTTACAGTTATTTTACTCTTTGAATGGTTTGCCCTTTAGTCATCAATTTTTTACAATAACTTCTATTCAACTGATGAAAAATATTAAAATACTGTTGGAAATATGTATGTTGATTGTGAAAGTCAAATTCAAGTCTTCATAGGTCCCCAATCCTGTCAAAAAAAAAAAGGCCAAGCTATGCAGAAAGAAATCAGTATACATGTATTATATTTCAGGGACTTTGTAATTTCTATGAAAAAAATGACAAGGCAGAATACAAAGATGATATGCTTCAAGTTTATGAGAAATTAATGGCTTTATATGAGAGGTATGGTTTGTTTACAAAGTGAATGAAAGAAGTTTTCTTAATGTTCTGATACAAATAAAGTTAAATTTTGTGTATTTGTGTTAAAATAGGATTATTGATATTTATAAATTAAAATATTGATATGTGCCATGAAAGTCATAATCATATATCAGTGGGTCATATGGTAGCAGTTTATCTAACCTCAACACTGCAACACAAATAAGAGACATTACTTTTACTATTCTTAATTCAACACTGCAACTTATCCTGTTTGTTTTCTTTGTACTTAGTGATTTTGAAAAGAAGTTCGAAACTGGATACAAATTGTGTGATGTGTATGATGGGAGAGGTGACTTTCTCAAGGTAATTGATTTTCAGATAAAATAATGTTGATATATATATATATATTAGCACAGTTATGGTATTGTAGATACACCTAATTTTGTCTGTTTAACTGTGTACTGTTAGAAGTTTAGATCTCATTTAGTCACTTTTTATTTTATGATTTTGTGTTATTGTGGAAATTACTGAATATCTTTGTTTATTTTAGAAGAAAAATGAACTGCTTTTGTTCTACTGACATTCCAAGGCTTCATGTAGGGTGATGATGTTGGTCTAATTCCTAAAGTCTAAACATTACATTCAATGTATGTAGTTTCAGATTTCCCTGGAAACTCTTCTCTCTACTATCAGTATGCCTTTGCTGTGGTCTTCTTATATACAAAGACCATGAAAAATATCCACACACCTCTGAAACTCAGGTTTCTGGGTGAGAAAAGCCCAGTATTAATATATCTCCTCATCTATAATTTGGTGTGAATTAATGTGATTGTGATACATTTATTGCAGGCAGTTGAAATAGGACAGAGCCTATTGAAATGTTGCCAGGAAGACGGTAGAAAAACTCTTAATGTCTACAAAAAACTGGTCAAGATTTTAGAATCGAAGAAGAATTTGCCAGATGATTTGTTTGAGTTGGTGAGTATTATGTAAAAAAAATTAAAGGAATTTTTCACTTTTGAAAAATTGTCAATGGATGTCATAGTGCATGAAAATATTTTTAATTTTGGTAAAGAATAATTGGTGTGATGTATAAAAAACAACAAATACGTAATATATATCATGATCTATTTTAGCTGCATGTTGCTTGTGAAAAAATTGTCCATTCACCACCAGATGGAAGTGAGAAAGATTTGGAGTCCATATGGAAAATCTACATTAATGGGCTTATACAAGTATGTGCAAGAATTGTGATATATACTATTTCCTAATCAGAATGAATAGATAAGCCTGTGGAAGTAATACTATGTACTTTGAGATAATTTTGTATTCTCAATAAAATTTACATTGAAATAACTACTTGAAATAACTACTTGATTGTTGTTAATGTAGTGAAAATAGATCGCAGTAACTACGTATGTAGTACATCCACCTAGACTTCCTCTGCAAGGTTTGCACTGTATTTATTTGGTTTGCACTGTATTTATTTTGATATGAATCTGGTTTCAGAAAACTTCAGAGAGTGCAATTGTGATAGAGAAGTGCAAAGCCATGGCAAAACTATTTCCAAAGTCTGCATTTCCTTTAGAAGTACAGTGCCAGATTATGATGAATAGCTTTTCAGGTGTTTGTTGACTTTTTATTGGGCGTGGTGTCTGTAATCTTTTTGTATAAAGACACTATATGCTTCATGTACCAAATATTTAATTTGAATGGTACAAACAACACTTATTAGGTACACTTGGAAAAAAGAGGTGAAGTCATTCTCTGTATACTATAATTTTCATTTTTAATGATATCATAATAGTGTAAGAGGATTCAACTTGTATTCACAATTACATTTATAGCTGAATTTGATGTGAAGGACATTTGTGACATCAGCATGAAGTTGGAGGAACTGTCAGGTTCAACACCGATGGCAATCCTTGCAAGAGGATGGACTTCTTATTACAGCAGCGATTTTAAAGAAGCAAGGGCTCTTCTACTGGAGGGTAGGTATAATTCTTTGTGTTTGTTTGCGCAGGTCATTTCAAAAGAAGGATTGGTTTTCAAATTGTAGATTTATTGGAGTTTAATAATCTTGTTTTGAATGACAACTGGCAAAATTACATAATGCTGTTCTATTGATATGGTAAATCTCTTATTCAGGTGTAGGTATGGGCAGTCAGAGTATCCCAGCAGGGGCATGGTTACTGTTAGCTAGGTCCCAGCTAAAACTGCATGATAACATGGGTGTGGTGGAAACAAGTGAGAGAGGTAACAACACCCAGATTTGTGTACATGTTTTTTTCTTTTCTCTTTACACAGTACTTATTGCATTGTGATTTTTTATAGAAACAGTATCTTTTTCTCTTAATGAACACAATTTTATCAGTTGATTTTGAGTGAAAGTCAATATACTAACCTAAAATTGCTCCTACTGTATGTACCAAGGATGACATGTTTTCTATGTTCATTGCAACATACTACTTCTCTCAACTCCCCATGACGCCATTAACATTCAACATGCTGTCAAATGTTAATGCCTTGTATCTGTTTCAGCCAAGAAAATTCTTAAAAAAGAAGCAACAAATAAACATGCTGCATTGATTAGAGAAATTTTACTCTGCCAGGCAGCAGCATTACTGGAACTAGGCAAGGATACTCATTTAGTGCAGGCCAAGGAGTTGGTACAAGAGGTATTTGGATCAGATTTTATTTGTCTTGTTTGATGTTTGTTGAAAAATTCTACTGTTATGACATACATATTATATACATGTAATATTAACAACATTAAAAAAATTAACAGAAGACCAGTTGCAGAACTGGATTAACTCCTGGGATTTTGTGCAAATAATCTTTTGGTATTGCATTTTCTGATACACATACGAGTACCTTATTCAAAATTCCTGCGTTTTGGACCTTAAAGTTTTTATGATTGCCTGAAAACTATATATAAAGCTGATCAAATTGTCACCATTTTACATGACCAGGTCATATCCAAAGATTCTACCTGTACCACAGCTAAAGAGCTCCTTTGTTATATTGTACTGGCAGAGGGAGATTTGGATCAAGCACAAAAGGTACAAGTGATCATTATTATGAATGATTTAAATGTCAAATCTGTTCTCCTATTAAAAAACAATATTTAAACTTGGAAAATTTAGTAAAGTTTTACATTCTAATAATTCATCAGCAATGGTATAAATTAATCATCAAGATCAAGGTTATTATAACCAGCAGGATAGAAGTTGTCAACTGATGTCTTTACTGCAGTATTTGTTACATTTCCAATTTTGTTTTTCAGCTGTGTATGGGGTTTTCTGATTCCTCCAGTGCCTCCATGTTGGCTCTAGAAGGATGGTGTCTGTTTGTTGCTGGTCAGCTGGAGGAAGCCAATACTAAGTTAGTATTGCAGATCCATGTGCACTGTCTTCTATTGGCAAGCATTAGAAAGATGTTATGTTTAAATGTTGAATTATGATTAGTTTGGAAATATAAATTTTGATATTGTGATGTGGTCTGTAGACAGAATGATTTCAGTTTTCAAATTGCCAAGGTATATTCTCTTTCTTTTTATGATCTTTGGAAACCTAGAAATTAAAGGCAATTTATTGTCACATTATTTCATATTGTTTCCTATAGAAATGAGATAAGAAACAGAGTTTCAACAATAAGCTTTTTTTATGAAAAAGAAAACTACCAATATCTTCAAACATTTCAGATTGACTAAAGCAGTGGAACTTTCAGCTGGGGAGGATGGCAAAATTCTGTACCAGCTGGCTAGAGTCCAGTGGAAGCAGGGGACCTGCCACAAGGAGGCACTGACTAACTTCCTCAAGGCAAGATGCTCCTTTTCTTACATATTTGAATATGATAATAATAATATTGAACATTGATTTAAGATCACTAAAAATTTGTTAGTTAAATTTAAGGTAAGTCTTGTACCATTTACTGGTTACCATCTTACAAATTCTATTTTGATTAAGTTACAGAATTTTCCTTCCAGGCAGCAAAAGTAGACCCTTACTACAGTCAGCCATTTTTATACCTAGGGCATCACTATGCACAGGCGGGAGATCAAGTGTTAGTTATTGTTTACATTATCTAGTCTTTGAAACAACATACTTATCTTTCTGGAGTAAAAAATATTTACATGTGAAATATTCATGAAATTTTAGTTCAGTGCTGTCAGTATATATATCTTTGAATAATTTGTCAGTAATATTTGGTAATATTTGTTTGCTTTACTGTAACTGGCTGTAACTGGCTATATAGAAGATTTAATTATATACTCATTTTGCAGAAAAGCCAGACGTTGCTATCAGAAATCATTTGACCTTGACAGCAACAATGACGAAGCTGGGGCTGCTTTTGTTGACATTTTGAATTCTCTTGGAGAAGAGGTAGGCTCTGTTGAACATGTATTGATTTAAAGTTGATGTTTTCAGTATAGAATGTAACTATCAAAATATCATTGTGAGAATATTAATTATTTGAACCTCTTTTGTAAACTTAATATAGTTTACTTGTCCAGAGTTTTATCTGCAGGTTTTTAAAACAAAACATGATAGATTACTCCAGCAGAGATCAAGTTCTAGGATGGGTTTCAAGCAGGTGACTTTGAACCTGTACCTGTGTGGAAATTGAGTTTTAGCTGAAAGATTAACATATTCTTTAAATAGGATTCTGTTTTTAATGCTTCAGGATGGTGCTCTGGCTGTATTATCAAGAGTGACAGCAGCAGCCAGTGCTGGCAGTGTAAAGTGGGCCTGGATGAGATTAGGCTTGCACCAACTGAAACACATGGAACCCACAGCTGCCATAGCCTCATTTCAGTGTGCACTCAGAGCAGATTCTAATGATAGGTAAAGATATATGTTCATGATTTCAGACAATATAGACAATTTTATGTATATTCTTTGAAAAGATGTATGTATAAAAAGTATGGTCTGTGATGTAAAAAAAAGAAAAAAACTTTTGGGATATATGGATTTTTATTTTCTTTTTAGACATTGTTGGGAGTGTCTTGCAGAGGCTTATGCCACCAGAGGGAGCTATACAGCAGCGCTAAAGGCATTCACAAAGGTTGCTGAGGTATGCAATTCCAAATTCTACTAGCACATATTTGAAAATGATCAAACTATTTCAACAGATCCCAAAGACATTGGATTCTTTCATTTGACTACTTGCAATTATGTTCATTTTGTTTCAGATGTCAGAGGACAACATGTACGGTCTATACCAGTAAGTATCCACATTACTTGTGCAAGACATTTGAAGGTTCCTCTTTTACATTGTTGGAAATTAACACAGGTATTTGAATATAGAAATCATGGTGTCATATTTAAATTTTAATAAAAACGTGAAAAATATTTCCTATTTACTAGGTTTAGCACAATGCCAAAATAGTTTTCTTTTGTTGCCTTCACAGGATTGCCTCTATCAAGCAGACCCTGGGACTATATGCAGAGGCTGTTCTGGAGTACAGGGCTATCCTGACCAAGTCACCAGACTATGTGCCTGCATTGAAAGGTAGTTGTACTATAGTGTCTGTTGTCACTTATTCTGTCAGCCATTACAAATTTAAATATTCCATTAGGCCTGTGCTCTAGTTGTGGTATATTTAAATTTTTGGGTTGCATTATTGGTGGAAAAAAGGATTCAAATGTTGACCCAAAGTAGAAGGACAGAAATGAGATATGGAATTAATTTTATATGAATGTTTTTTCTTTGTTTACCCAAGGTCTAGGTGAAGCTTATGTCCATCTTGCAAGGGACTCACTGAAGCAGGTTTTCTCTGGCCGGGCAGTTGACCAGTGTCAGGAGGCCATTCACCACTTGACCAGGTATATAATATGTAAGCAGATACTGAATCCTTGCTGAAACTCATACCCATGTGGAGTAACGGAAGTAGAATATCTAAAAGTAGTGGAAGGTGGGGCCTGCAGATTTTACCTGTGCATCAAGAGCATTTTAATCTGTGAAAAAGATATTTATGTAAGGTTGTATTAATTTAGTACAATAACTGAGAAAAGTATATGCTTTAAAGTACCCAAGTATATGATTTGAAGTACTTAAATTTTACCCATGATCCCAACTTAATTGATAAAATTAAAATTTATTGAAAATGCTGAAGATTTTTGTAAGTCCTTGTATTTCAATTAAAAATGGTCAATTTTAATAAGTCTTACTTTATTCTTAAGAGCTGCCTCATTCAGACCAGACCTGTCATGTGTGTGGAAACTGATGGGAGATGCCTGTACTCTGATCCATGTGGTGGCAGCAGAGCGGGTCAGGTAATGGAAAGTACTGTGATCACACTGCAGGATTGATATGTAAAAATTGCAAAAAGCATGTACATTACTAGTGAACTACAACCAGATGTCATTGATATCCACAATATTACAAATTGAAATTAGAAATCCCATGTAAAATTGGAGATTAAAAATTGACTTGATCACACAGCTTTCATATGTACACTCATGAAAAAATACTCTTTGTTTTTAACCTATAATGAATTGGAAATACACCCATTTTTCAAATGACACAGACAAACCTTTACCTGTCTTATTCAGAACTACAGTGTGAACGTGGCCCTAGTCTGCCCAGTAGACTGCCAACTATATTCAATGAAACAATATGTCACTTTTCCCTAAATTCTTACTTGTTGTTTATAAATAAATGGATAAAAAATCAGAGAGATAAGCACACATTACCACTCACAACTACCACACTTGATAGTGACTCTCAAGTTGATTTTTATCACGCCTGTGCTTGATCTTTGTAGATATTGGAACAAAGGTGGTGAATATTTGAAAAAATGAGCTTTTGATTAACTGAAATAAAGTTTTTTTGTTTAATGGTATGGCATTACTTCTTTTGAAGCATGAGAGTCCCAGGCATGTTGTTGGAGAAAGGAAAGAGTGCAGAATCAGAGCATTTGAGTAAAGCACAAGTTCTTACCCTAGGTGCCAGGTAAATAAACACTTTTGGATTAATGAAGAATATGGATGGATTTGTTCTGTTTTGTGATACGAATTAACATCAGTGAGTCATCTTATGCCAGTTGGATGAGATAATATTGTAGAAATACAGTTGTATTGTTTGTGCCCTTTGTGTCCTTTTTTTCTGATCAGTTTTTGTTCATTGTAATCATGTTTTATATTTTCAGTAAATTCTTATCTGCTGTGGTATTTTACAAATTTTAAATGACATATCTAATATACATGCATGTTTGTCAGTATATATTACTTATATTGGTACATTTCTAGGTGTTATGGACGGGCACTGAAACTGCTGCCAGAATGCTCCACCTTGTGGCAGGACTTGGGACTAAATTACTACAGACAGAATCAGGCCACAGTTGACCTCCAGGTCAAAAAGGCAACAATGGACAAAGCAGTCCAGGCACTGAAGAGAGCTGTCAGTTTAGACCCTAGAAACCACAAACACTGGACATCACTTGGTGTGGTGGCAGCAGATATGGGTAAATATAAAAGTTTACAAAAACTTTCTGAGATGTGTTTACGTTTAATTTAACAGATAGATTGAGATAGATAGGTAGAATGATTTATTATTTTATGCAGGGTAAGGGTTTATGGCATATGTATTATCTTTAGTTTGAAACACTACATTGGAAATCAAGTCACTTGCATGCATTTAGACTTGTATCTATGCTGAATAAATATGTTATATTGAAATGCATGTTAACATTTTTAATTGAAAAAGAAAATCTAAATGCCTTAGTTGACAGCAGCATGTTGCTTTATATTGACGAATGGTCAGAAAATAATGCTTTTTGCTTACCTAATTTTGTCTGTTTTAGTGGTAGGTGATTCTGCTCTGGCTCAGCACTGCTTTATCCAGTCTCTGAAGGCAGAACAGAATGTGAGTTGACAGATATTGTCAGATGGTAAAATACCTGTTAGGTCTGGGTGATACCAGATTTTTGTATAAGTCAGCCAGTCATGAAATGTATGTAAACTGAATGATTTTATATCTGAATTAGTTTAATGAGATCATCTGTTTAATTGAAATCCATCATTGTAATGGGATGAGTGATATACCCAAAGCAATTTTCATTTAATATGTAATTTGTTGTTTTTGTCTTTTCTGTAGAAAGTAACATAATAGTATTAAATAGAGGCATTGGGTTTTGTTTTCATATTTAATTTAATTTAATTCCCTGTTTCTTTAAACTGTGTATAAATTTTCCAAGTGTCATGTTTACTTGTTTTCTAGAATGTTGTTGCTTGGACAAACCTTGGAACATTGTATTTCAACAATGGTCAAGTAGAGGTAGGCAGTCCTTGAATACCACTTCATTCATGTTACTACTTAAAATTTCATAATATCCAGAAAAATCAATTTGATCTATACAAAAGTCAAAGTTTTACCGAAGTTAAAATGAATTTTGGTGTTTCAAAAAGAAAATTTTGATTGCATTGCTAAATATTAACCATTAATGGTGATAAGATGAACATGTTACTTCCAATTATATTTCTGGTTTGTAATATGTCAGTCATCTCTAAACTCCACTAATGATGTTGACTGAAGAGGAGACCTACATATGCAATGATATTTCAGCTTGCCCATGAAGCCTTCAAGTCTGCCCAGTCTCTAGACCCTGGTTATGTGGCATGCTGGATTGGACAGGTATTTTTACACTGTTTTTGTTATTTATATTTTTTATTGTTTTTTTTATTAAAATTGAATTAATCATTATTATAATTTTCTTTACAACATACTTGAAAATGTAAATATAATTTGAATAAATTGTGAATAAATAAATTAAAAATTCTTCAAATACAGTTTCAGTCATTTGGAATTAGTAAAGCCCATATTACTACTGAAACAACAAAAATGTAGAATTTTAAAAGTACTACATACATTACTGCAGTGGTAATCTTCTTCTGTCCAGGCAATGATAGCAGAGACAGTGGGGCATGAAGATGCCATGGATCTCTACAGACACACAACTGAACTGGGACACCATGTAAGTGAGGGTTTGGATGTTGACTTCTCATGTGTGGAACAATTTGTAGACTGCTTTATTCATATTTTATTGAATATACTAATACCGACGTCTTTGTCAATGTATAATTGTATTGCCTTATAATTGTATTTCCAGCTTGAGGGAAGTATTGGGTATGCTAATTGGGTGTGTCGCACACTGGAGGATAAGAGTAACAGAGATTCTGAGGTGTTCAAGTTTTCAATTGTGCAAATGGATGCCATTCCAGCAGCATGTGATGCTTTGGCAAAATACACAGGTTAGCAGTTTATATTGGGAAATTAGTCATGTTGGTAAACACTGTCAAATGAGCTAGATGTTTTTGTTAAATCTTGCATCTTGTTGTAGGTGGCTATAAAATATAAATATAAATATAATAAGGTGTGCATGGGTTTGCATGATAAAGCAGTATATATTGAACTTGAGATAATATGTTATATTATAGGGTGTCAATGGTATTAAATTTTATAAATATTTGTTTAGCATTCATTTTCTTACGCTCTGATATATTAAATAATAAAAAACAATATAACTATTTTGCATTATAAGTCTACTACATGACCAATATAGTGTGAAAAGAATTGAAACCTTGGTTATTTTATCAGCTGATGGGACTGTTTTGTGAACTTGCTTACATCTTAAAACTTTCAGATCTGGTGTGTACCAATCCAGCAGCTTATATGATGTATGGATTGCTGTTGGAGAGACAGGGGCTATATAAGCTGGCAGCTCAGGCAATGGGGAAGTAGGTGTGATTTTCTATGTATATAATATGATTACAGTTCTATTCTGGTGTCACATTGAATTAAGGAAAGCTTGCACAAGTCTTGTTTTAATCATGATTATCAGTCAACCTGAATGTCAGATATAAGAACATGATATAAAATGTATAGTTTGTTTGACAGATGTGTTTGATATGGTGGTAGCCAGTTGAAAATTAGATTGTAACTTTCTACATTCAAACTTTTTATTATGTACAGACACANGTGTGTGTGTGTGTGTGTGTGTGTGTGTGTGTGTGTGTCTATATATATATATATATATATCAAAAAAGTTGGAATGGCAGCATCATTGGAATTATATTTACCTCTGCCAAGGAGGTTATATTTTCACCCCTGTTTGTCTGTCATCAACATAACTCAAAAAGTTAAGGTCCGATTTTGATGAAATTTTCAGGAACTGTCAGAAGTGGGCAAGGAGGACAATGATTAGTTTTTGGTGGTGGTCCGGATCAATAATCAATCAATAATAATCAACAATTGCTGTCTTGGCAGAGGTCTGCACTCTTGGAGTGCTTTTCTAGTTTTGTTATGTTTTCCTTTTTAATTTTTTCTCAAACACTGGCATTTGTGACTTTAAACTCTCATCTGCCTGAGGCTCTGCACATTTTCTATATTTCCACATAAGCAGCTGTATTGTTTTTTTTGTCTTTAAACATTATGTAATATTATTTTATGCACTGTCATCATTTTTCAAATATTGAGACTTTCATCATGAGAATTTGAACTCTCATGGTCCTGAAACTGTAATCTTACTGAAGGGGTGGATTGAGACCATCTTCTGGGTCTTCCGGAAGACGGTCAGGTTATTAAGTTTATATTGACTGGTATTTATTTTTTTCTGTTGGAAGACCATAAAAATGGAGGATGGATCAACATAGATACTTTGGAATACTGTCAGAAAATATCTCTGGGTTCGCTCCTGTTATTGACGATGGTACCTGTTGTGCATGATTAAAATTCAGTGTTGACTGACAGTGCTATTATAAGCATTATTTATTATAGCATCAAAATTGACAAAATGACCTATTTTGCATCTTTATTTTCTGTTTTTTGTCTGTACATTTGACAGCTTTGCTGCCTTGTTGCATTTATTTGACCATGATGAACCTTTTTATTGCAGTGCTGTAAAACTGATAGACTTTGTACAGGATCAAGATAAAAGAAATGTCATTCACAGCAACTATGCTAGGGTTTTATGGTTTGTAGTGAACAATTATATGGTATAATTTCCAGCAATCATATTTGAAATTTCACAAAATATGCTAAGACAATAAAAAAGGTTTAACATCAGACATATTATAGTTGTATGTTAAACAACTTTATAAACACTACTTTAAAAGGGTGTAGGTGTTTTCATCAATATAATAATAATAATAAGTTAAATAAGAAAGATTGAAATATGCCATATATAAGGGTCTGCCCTCCATTGGGCAAGAGTTGAATATTTTCCATTTTTAAGGCTGATAAGGCAAAGAAATCTATTGTTTCCAGTCATGTGGATCAAGCTACAGAAGCCGTTGCCCAGTATCAGCTAATACAACCATTGAATAGATATGAAGATGTGTGTGGCCTGGCTTTGGCACTCTACAGAAGTGGACAACTGACAGAGAGCTACCAAGGTAGATCCCATGTGATGCAATTGCAATAAAGTGTTTGTTTTTATTTCATTAAAGGTTGATTTCAAAAACAAACACAAATTCTTTTTAACAGAATTATTATCAACAGAGTGCTTCAATGGCAAGAATGTACAAGTATTATTATTCAAATAACAGAATACAACCAAGTTAAGACGGTGTTATTTGTCATCAAGCTGACTTGCATTCCTACAAGAATATCATATTTTTTAAAAGCATGTAAGATGTATTAGAAAGCCTCATCCTGTGATGTTCCAACAGTCAGAACAATTGATGAAAAACAACTGAGACATTTTTTTAAGAGCTGATGCTCCCAGCTGTACTGCAACACTTCAAATATGATTTGCTTGTTTTTTGTCTACATCATTATGTATCATGTTTTTATTGCTAGCCTATGACCAGGCATTGCACTTGGCCCCCAATGCTGAAGAGAAGTCGCATGTGTTTGCTGCCATGGGGATGGTGGCATATAAGGTCAAGGACTTAGATACTGCCAAGACAGTTCTATTCCAAGGGTAAGTACAGCTTCTCTCATTCTTTGTACTCAGATAACGTCAGGGTGTAATGGGACAAGGGATGACAGGTGATAAATTTATTTAGCATCCAAATTAAGTCAAAAGAACTGACCGATAGTGTATATTTTTATGAAATCAAAAAATTGGATAATTGAATAATTAATGTGGAGACATAATTCAATTCATTAATTTCAAAGCTTGAATATGCTTGATTTTGAAGATGTAAAAATGCAGAAATGATCACATGAAAAAAGTCTGCATGTACATTGGTAGGGTTTTATAAATACCTAGTTTAATATCAGCTGCAGATATTGACTGAAATGTTATTCCTGAGAAATGTCCTATGCCAGTATCCATGCTTAAATAATTCCCTTTAGTCTGGGAGCCAAGCAACAGCGATGACTTCAATGGAGTTTTTAGTTTACCTTTAAGGCTTTTACAAAGTCTAGTTTTCATACATTTGACAAAATAAAAGATGTATAATATTCATAAAATCTACCAGGTCCCAGTGCAGCCCTCCCTCAAAGCTTGGCCTGAAGGCTCTGTGTAGCCTAGGTCTTATCGAGGGAGATGTCACTCTCAGTGCTGCTGTGTTACAGGAGATACCACAGCTGGAGGAGGATGCTGATATGTTGACTGATATCACCTGGCTGACAGCAGCTCTAGCTCTGCTACAGGTGAGGCTGAGAAATAAATGTAGATAGCTTGTGGTAATGTATGTGGGGTCAAACAGTGATTATATATTTTATATTTCTTATGTCTTGTTTAATTGTCTCTTCATTGTGTAAGGGGGTTATTACACAGGTTTCTCTGCTGTCTAAAATCAAGAACTTGTTTATATTGAGTTATAACCAATATGCTGCCAGTCTTCTTCTTTTGGTCATTCCCCCCAAAAAGATAATTTTATTAAATATGTTTTTTTGGAGTCACTGCCTAATAGAGTGAGCATAATTCAGTCCATTGAATTATAGTAAATGAATTGATTCAAAGATTGTTCAAAAGGAAAGAGTTATAGTTTATAAGCAGCAGAGGTTTAAGACATAAGAGCTGCAAAACATCTTTTTGTGATCTGGTTGTCTGTTGGGGTAAGTTTGTCCCCTGTCCAGTTCTTTGTCCTTGTCTGATTTTATTATCATATTTTGTACTTCAGGGCAAAGCCAAGGCTGGGAGAAACCTTATCCTGAAGGCTGTCCATAAAAACCCAACATCAAAGGAGTTGTGGAAGCTGGCAAGCAAATACCTTCTGCAGTTTTTGCCATCTGCCTGTGGTGGCGCCACTGCTTGTGCCTCTGAGGTCCATGATGAGCTGACAGGGAAAAATGTATGTGTAGGATCCAATATTAACAGTGTGTTCTACTCAGCTGAACAAAAATTCAACCTTGAATTTAGTTATATTTAGTGGATAAAAAGTATCTGTTCAAAATTTACACCATAAAATTTATTATTTCTCATTTATCTCTGGTTACTAACTTTTACCTATTGTAGCATAATGATGTACTACTATATTTGGTGTTTTGTTGGTTATTTCAAAAGCTGCCAATGTACAGAGCCCTTGGCTGCTTGGCAAAAGGATTGCATTCAAGAGTTGACTGTCACAAGAATGCTTTGAAAGTAGCACAGAAAGCATTGCATCTCCAACCAGGTAATGAGATATGCAGTGATGTCATTTAATGAAAACAGATGTTATATGCTGGACCGTCCAGGGTTTTTCTTCAAGATCAGTATCCAGATCAGTATTTCCATTTTACAACTAAATTTTAAGTTCAGACATTTTGGAAATATATGAAGGCAAAAAAAAAAAAAAGAAAGAAATTCACAATTTTACCATTTACTTCAGATAAACTAGAGCATCACATAGTCCTGCTGTCTGCTATGTATGCTGAGAAGATGATCAGGCAAGACCCAGAGTCTCTGTCCTTTCATTCAGCTTACTGGGAGTTTGTACTGTGTTGGGGTGAGTAATAATTGTACTGGTAAAAAGTAATGCAGTGTGTTATCGTGTGTGCATGCATGCACATGTTCATGCATGTTTTGGTAATTATTTTTATTAAAAAGCAATAATTGTAAGGAATATTTTCTGAACATACTGTGAAAGAATGTGTAAAGATAAAGAAAAATTATACTAATTTCAGTTTTGGATCTAAGAAAGCATTAGCTATTATTTTTCATGTATCCCTCTAAAATATGTAATATATTATGCTGTGTATTGATGTTATTACTTTTGTATAATAGTGGAAAAGGCGTTAGAGGAAGACAATACCAGTGAAGAGATGGAGATGTCAGTCCTTCACAGATGGTGTTTAAAACAAAATGTTCTTAATCTTTTGTTATTTGGACGAAAAGAAGACACAATTGATATACTAAAAAAGGTTAGTTGTTTTGTTGACATAAAAGGTGCAAAACATAAAGAGACTTAAAAATTAAGATATCCATCACAGGAATTGACAAAATGCCTTGTAAAATTTATGTGTCAGTGTTTTAAGTATGCTTTTCATGTAACCTTTGAATCAAGGTTTTTTGTTTGCAGTCTTACAGCATGATGCTGTACAGTTTAGAAATATAATTTTGATGCTACAGTAACATTGTGAAGGCTTAACTGATAATTACCAAATTTATTTTCTCTCACATTTTATCATAGGCCCTGGAAATGTATGGAACCGATGATTTGCTTGGCTCCCTGGCATTGTATGCTGACAACAACATGGCAGCACTACAACAGTCTTTGCTTCAGGCCCCAAATAACTGGCTAGGCTGGCAGGTATGAGTAGGGGAATTTAGAGGCAAATTCAAGATTTACATGCCGTTTTTTTTTTGTGTGTGTGTGTGTTTGTGTGTGTTTGTTTCATGGAAAAGTTTTTTTTGTGTGTGTGTTTGTGTATGTGTGTGTGTGTGTGTGTGCGCATACATGTTTTACTATACTTCAGATTCCGATTTTATAATTGTTTAAAATGAGTCTCGTTTCATATGTGGTCGAATATAAATGCAAATACTCTTGCTTAAAGCTGGTGCAAAAAATTGAAACCCTCATTATTTTTACTATGATTCAGCCTTTAGAACAGTTTTAAAGCTTTAAACATGATTTAACAGAATGATGTGTATATATTTTTCTCTCCAGCTACTGACCACCAGCTACCTAACACAAGGTTTGATAGAGAATGTGGAGGTAATCTACAAACAGTTTCTGGAAGTGTCAGAGTAAGTTGTGTGGAAATATTTTGTCTCTATACAATTTTCCAGCAATGCAATATAAGTATGTAAGACATTCATTATTTTAGTCACCCCAAAAGAATGTTATTGTTTGGATTGTTTGAAAAAATTAGGAATAATAAAGAAATGCAGGTCACGTGTTTGCTACTTGAAGTAGGAGGGTATTATGCAAATGGTCATGTATTACAAACTGTTCAATCAGGAACAGCATTTTAGATCAAACAAACAAATGGTATCTTCTGTAGATGCTTTGCTTAAGTATTCTAATCTTCAGTTCCAGCCACAAACTTCACTGTGCCATCCAGTTGGCCCACTTGTCGTTTACACAGTTACTTAAAGAGGGCGCTAGTGACAAGTGGGGGTCACTGTGCCAAGACGCCCTTGGTGAAGCCTTCAAGTTGGACCCACAATGCATTCCTGCAAATCTTATGCAAGGGATTTTATTGATGAAGGGAAAGAATCCCAGGTGAGGTTTAGGTTTGGTCTTGTGTATATATATATATATATATATATATATATATATATATATATATATTAGAATTCTTTATTCTGCTGCTTCTAGTCATCTTGTCAACTCAATGGTAAACTTGTAATGATACCAACTCATAAATGTTAATATTTTCCATCAAGGAGAATACATTATGGATTTTTTTTTTTTGAAAAGATTTCTTTTCTTTTCAGACAAGCCAAGAGATACTTTCATTCTGTGCTGCAGGCTTCAAGTGTAACCAACCTGGCTTCCAGGATAGCCAGGCGTCTGCTACTGCCAATATACAAAGCCAAGAATGATACAGAACATTTAGAGGTAATGGTTCATTTTTATTATTCAGAACAAAAACAGTTAAGTTATTCTTGGAACTTGTTCTTAGGTTTGAGGAAATTGAAAATTCAACATTTTACAGAATGTATTCAGACTTCATTCTGGTTAAAAATGTACCAAACTATGTCAAGCATGTGGGATGTCAAATGGGATGACATTATTAATCACACTAATCATTTACAAATAAATGTAAAAATAATGCCCATTCAATGTTAATTGTTGTTTTGGTCTTAGAACATTAAAGAGAAGTGTATAATAATGAGTAAAACCATGTTACCTCTTTTGATTTTCTTTTATTGCAGGAACTCAAGGTCCAGGCAAATCTTGAAAAAGATATGGAATTTCTAAAGATATGTAACAAGTGATGCAAAATGACATAACTCAGTTTAATATGGATGCCTATTTAAAGTGATCAAACTTTTTTTGTGTGGGGATGCAATCCTTAATGTACTGACGACTTGAAAGAATTTTATTAATAGTATGAATATTGGACAAGCAAAAATATTTATTGTACAAATACTGATGTAATCCATCATGGTGGTAATTTTGATCCTTGATTAATGAGCATGACTGCTCTGAAACTTGTCTAAAATATGAAAACGAAAATAAATTATTAAAAAAATATGTATTGCTGTACACCAGCTATTTCAGGAGTTGCACTAAGATTGTAATTCCTCTGCTATTCTAAAAACAATATTTTAAGAAACTAATAATGATATCTATTAAATTATATATGTTCCAATTTTATAAGTTTGGGTTTTGGTCCTTCCAAGTGTTCATTATCCTTGTTAATGCCATCAGCCTGTGCACAGGTGGACTCTGAACTTTCAACAAAACCTGCTGATTTCATTGAATTCAAATCCCTTTCTGCATCTTGTTCTGTCAATTCTAGAGATTCCGTATTGAGGTTGTTAAGTTTAATGGATTCTGAAAGAATTTCCTGAGTTTTGCTGTCTTTTTCAACATTCTTTGAGGAATTGTCATCCAACTTATTCTCTTCCTTGACTGGCCCTATCTGCCTTAATCCGTTTGAAGTATCCATAGTATTTGTATCTTCCCAAAGCTCCGAATCGACTAAAATAACTGGTCCTTTTTTCTTAGTCTTTTGTGTATGAACAGATTGGAGGGAGACAACTGGCCTTTGAAAGTCCATTACAGTCACGCCAAGTATGCAACACAATTTCTTCATAACGTCATCCACAAAGGCATTTATTTTTAAATTGCACTTTTTGTCATGTTTTGTTGGTTGAAGATTAACAACTGCTAACTTCCCCCCATTCTTCTTGACAGCAAGAGGCAGATTTCCACTTGGTACAATTTGAAGGGTGGTCCCTAGAGTGAGACTCAAGTCAGCCATCTTAGAATGTTCATCAGCTAAGTCTAAATCTCTCTTGGGGAGAGAATCCTCCCAATCAAGAATGGTATCATAAAGTTTCCCTCTGAAATGTTAAGTAATGTAATATAATTTTATTATGAGTGAACTTTTGTACTGTTTGCTTCCCAATGTGAACAGTGTGGTAAAAGAAACATCAAACCTGGTGAAGTGTTGTATTAGATAAATTTGATGGTGATGAAAATGTGGCCTTCTGTAGCATTTAATTTAATTCTTTTTTAAATAACACATAATTTAATTTTACTCATTATTTCTACCATGTTTCAATTTAATAAATAATTGCTTTAAAGTTGCTCCTATAGAAATGTTAATTGTAACTTTCTTGGAGCCTTACCTGCACCTGATCCCTTTAGCTTTTGTATATGTGCATGAATTTCCAGTTGGTTTCAGTGCCATTGTTGGAACAGCATGACTTCTAATGTACTACAAAACAAACATTTTTAAAATGGTAGACAATAACTACACAGTGTTAAATTTAATGTTGAACCAAGAAATAAATGTAGCAAAACTTATGTATAAAATGCTTCTTTTTTCCCCACATTACAGACAGTTAACAAAGCCTTGATGTAACCAGAAATCTCTGCCCTGCCCTGCCCTGCCCTGCCCTGCCATACCATACCATATCATACCATACCATACCATACCATACCATACCTGTGCTCCACACTTGTTGCACTCTTCCACAAACATGTCGCCATGAAGCTCGGACAACCTGTTCCTAGGAAAGCCTGACCTTATGTGTAGACCATCAACATTCTGTGTAATCACATAATGCACCAACCCTGCAAAATTATGAACTTAGGTAGATGATTGTGTGTAATGTGATCTGACACAATGTATGTAATGTGATCTGACACAATATGATAGAGTATTTTTGTTTTGAACAAGAAAAAGTCTGCATAAGTGCAGAACAAACCAACATGTAAGACTTACCAGCCCTCTCTAAAGCCACCAATGCCATGTGTGTGAAGGTTGGCCTGGCACTATCAAATGTCACATTTAGTTTTGGTGCCTGTCCCTTCTGTTCCAATGTCCAAACCCCTTTTATAAAGAAAATGCCTGGCTATCAGTTTATCTTTTTTCTTCAATAATTTAGGAAAGACAAAAATCATTTTGCTGACGTTTCTTCAACCTATGAATCAAATCCATGACTAAATGAGAACTAATAAGCAAAATATAATTCTTACAGTACATTCATGAGCAGTTATAGCTCAAAATGCATATTTAATCCAAATCCTCACATCTCAAATAATGCAAACATGCATAGATAATCATACTAATCACATCACTTTCTATCCTTTAATTCTTATACAAGAATGAGATGAATACACTTAAACACTGAGACAACTGAATACATTTTGCACTGAGACCACATATTTGGTTTACAAGTCCAGAATGCCATTCATACCATTAGGTCCCCTAAAATCTGGAATTCCTGCTGCAGTGCTGATGCCTGCCCCTGTATGTACCACTACATGACGACTACTACGAATCCACTCTGCCAACTGCTCTACTTTCCCATGTACCTCTGAAGGAGAATCAAATGTCTCTGGCAGCCCACATTTCCCCTTGTGTTCATACTCTGACAGGCCCGTAGCATAGTTGACTGACATCTTGTAGGTGTAGAAGTCTTACTAAAATATAGTTACACCCTTTCTTTAGTTTCCTGAAAGTGTGATGAATTTCTTTAAATGGCATTGATAAAAAACTTAAATGCATTTTTTTTTTTTTTTTTTTTTTTTTTTTTGCAAATTTATCTATCTGTTATGGAGTGTAAAATTTAGATGGTGCATAATACTATAACATGTAAGTTGTACTTAAGTGATCGTAACTGCAAATACTGCAGGAATTAAAATAAAGAAAACATTTGAACTACATGTACATTGCCTTGACATATCATGATCTTGTCTGTACACCCTATGTATTTATTTGCCTTTTATGCAAAAAGAGAATGGTCTGCAGTCTTGTTTTTTTGACCGATTTGTCTGCATGATCACTGTATCGGCTGAATATGAACAGTGCTCAGTGGCTTTTAATTATGAAACATGAAAGAACTTACCAAACCTGTAACGTGCAATGTATCTGGATTATATATTTTGCCGATGCTTATAGCACGGCGTTAAAATTAGCTCAAAGAGCTTAGATTTAAAATAAAGCCGCCGAGAGAGTTCGACCAAGTTGTTCCTGCAGAGATGGTTTGTGCCTTGTCGCTCAGGTATAAAGAAAATACATATATCTTCCCATTCTTCTACCTTGTTATGAATATAAATCTTAGTATCAAGTTTCATTTAGTCCACACATCCGTGCTAAATCATGTTATTGACAATTTGTTAAAGAGTTGCCCCGAAAAGGTGATTTTGCAGTAAGCCAAAAAGCGGTACTAAAAGTTTACATGACAATGTGCGCCCCCACGCGGTACACAGTGGAGTGAGAACAGCAACCTGTTCGTGTATTTATTTCTGTACCTTCTACTTCTCGGGGTTTGGTACAGTCTTACAGCTACATATATTGAGATCAAGGCTTGTTTGACTTTTTAATACGTTTACATGATGAATTTGATATAATTATCACCAATTTCATTTAACGGCGTCGTTTCTCCAAGGAAGATTCCGCCATTTTAGAAAGTGATTGAACACCTCTGCATTTAGTTTATTGATTGGTCTTTGTAAGAGTCATGCATAGGGTGGCACTATAACAGACTTGGGAGAAAGGGATCTGAAAGTGAAATCAAGGTAACACATGTCTTTTATATACATGATGTATTTTAACGTACTGTTAATTAATGTGTAGGGAGGTGTAGATTTCCGTTTGTAATCTACATGATAGGTAACGTTATTCAAAACGCATGGAACGTGAGACTAATGCAGCAACAGCTAAGATCTCGAGCAAGAAGTCACGTAGAACCTAGATATGCAACAGGAGGCACATATTGTTTGGTTCAGCTAGTGTGTTTACTACCAAGACTGTTATAAAGTTTATACATTTTTTTAGAAAATGAATCGTGCCTGACGTTTTTGAACTTGAACTTTCTGAATTCGTTTACAGAGCAAAGGCTAAAAAATAATGTCCCAGGCTAAATATAGCTTTAAAGTATTTGTCAACAACAAAATTAGACCTCATTTATATAGTCATCATGGAAAGTAGTTTGATCGCTTGGGTCTGAAATATATTCAGTAATTGCCACATTTATGAAAAGAATATATTTATTTATTTTCTAGTCAGGTTGAAAAGTTCTTCCAGGGGTCATGCCAGGTCATTCATTCAAAAGCAAAAGAGAGCTTCCATATACCATATAAACCTTGGCAATGTCAGTTTTTCAGTATTTTCTGCTGGCATGTACAACACCAATAGAGAAAATTAAACATGCATGTAAATTTATAACACGTCTTAAGGGTTTTGTAAATATAGAAATATGTAAAATATTATTGAGAACATTGTAATATGTAATTTTTTCACATGGTTTTGGATAGTTTATGGAAGGCAAGTGTCTAAACACTTGGTTTTAGCTTATATCATTATCTGTGCAGTATTTAAAAAAAGAAAATCAAATAAGTTATCTGTGGGAAATTAGAAAAAAATATACTTATTTCATTATAAAATTTCTGTTTTTAAAGTATGTTAAATTACATTTTAGTGGAATATTTACTGTATACATAGTGTGTGGGTATCAAATGAACTGCTTCGAGTCAGTGTGTCAGCTTAACTAAATAATAAACAAATATTGACCAGGTGGGAATTCTATTGTACTGGTCTACCAGACCAGCACACCAAGCAAGACAACACCCATTTCATATAAAGAAATCAATATTTAGATGAAACATTTGCATTGATGATTAATTCTGCCCATTGGGCCTAAGTTTTGCAGTTTGAAGGACTAATCTGTTTTATTGCAGTATTTGCTGTGATTATTATCAAATGAATGAATGTACCAATCTTATATTAACATTTAGAAAATTTAGATTTATCAAGCTTTATGCTATGGTTATTTGAATTTGAGTCATATTTTTACACCTATTGATGTGGAATATATCTGATGTTCTCAGTCATATTATATGTAATCATTCATAAATTTAGAGGCAGATATTTTGTCTTATTATCTAATTAAGATAGCTGCTAATTACCATCGTTTTGATTAAGAAAATTAAGTGGTTAGCCGTAGGCAGTGCTTATTATTCTCCTACACAGGTGTGATGTAGTAATTAAGGAGATGACACACCCTCAGGTACACATATAGTACATTTTGGCAATGTTCTCTGTAATGACATAAATTAAGATTAAGGATTTAATATCTTGAGCAGTAGAGAAGTTTAGCTGAAGAAGTCATGTACATTTTACTTTAGACATCCCTTAATTCCATTAATTCTGTGAAAATATATACAACTTTTAAAAAAATTTGTTTTATGATTCTGACACTAACAACCTAAATGAGAGATCTATGCCATCATTTCTAGTTACCTTAGTTACCTCTGCAAAACTTCATATCAAGTCTTCTTTGTAGCTTAGCAGCCACAACAGATAGAGTTCACTCGGGATAGTGTTAGCTAATCACTTATCACTAAATTTCTATAGAGTTGTCAACAGACAGCATGTGGTAGACAGTCTCTGCAGCATAAATCAGCGATAAGTGCATTTGAGTTTTGGGACAGTTTCACTGCATTTAAAAGAGGAAACACTATTTTGGTTTTGGCATTTAAAGGTAAGGGTAGGGAATCAATTGTGGAACAATTGGCCTCTATTACTATCTTAGTGAAAGTCACAATTTCCAGGCTCTGTCTATATCTGCACATTCATGGATTGAGAAGCCTAAAGCTTTGTAATAAATCAGCAGTCTGTAAAGTTACCAAAACATGTTTTGGACACATTACATTTAAACCGTTAATATAAGGAAACAGACCATACTGTTTAGAATTTATTGTTTTTCAATTAGTGAAAATGTAATTACTAGGACTTCTAAGCACCCAGTTAGGTGAAGAAAGGTTGAGTTGGTTTTTGAGGGTTTACTCAGTTGGTTAAAAAGAAAGCTCAGGTACAAGAACAAGCCAAACTGGCATGATAATGTTTCTCCTAGTATTGAATCAGCTGTAAGCAATTTTTCAGCCCAAACAGCAGTTGACTTTTGTGTTTTCTTAAAGAATTATCCAATATTATTGAGGTCAGAATGCACAATTCTTAGGGCTTGTTGAGTGTATCATCTAACTGCGTGGTTCTTTGAAGCTGGTAATTAACACTGCTCTGTTGCTTATTTGTTTTATTTATTTTTTTGTATACTCAGTGGGTTGATGTTTGCAGTGTAGCTAATTAGAAAAATTACATCATGTTACTTTAGTTAATACTAGGTTTAAGTCATTAAAAAATCATTTAGTCAGTTCACCTACTTGCTTTTCTACATCTGTATCAAAATCATAAAATGGTATAATTAATCATACTTATAAATATACTAATTTGTATGTATTAATACATACTTACTAGTACATATTTGGTGTCTGGCACAGACTTGCTAGTATAGCCTAGTAGGGTAGAGCATGAAAGACACATTAAAAAGCAATTGCAACGCTGTTTTGGAATAGATATATAGTACCGTAAGCATAATTCCCAATTACGTCAAGGTAGAAATCACAGTTCCTACCTTCCTAATTATTTGTTATTTGGATTTATGGCAACCAATAGAATTAACAAAACTAACCTTTTACTTAACCACAAGAGTGTATTAGTAGTAGTTTTACTGTTTACCTTACTGATGGCTGAAGGCACCTGTGTGGTGGACTGTGTCCAGTGGGTCTTCATTTTTATGATTGTCCAGATTTCTGTGCTGTGACCCTGAAACAAATGTTTATAACACAAAGTGTCATGTTCAATAATAGTTTAGGTGTCTGGAGTATGTTTTGCTTACTAAAAGTTTCTTAGCCCCTTTATAAGTACATGCCTGGAAAAAACAAAAAAGATTAAAGCAGTGATATTTTTAATATATATATATATATATATATATATATATATATATATATATATATATATATATATATATATATATATATATATATATATATTTTTTTTTTTAAATTCAAATTGAAGGCAGTGAAGTTACAACAGATGGATACCACCATGTCTTTTCAAACCTGTTAATCAGATATTTCTAGTGTTTTGGAATTCTAGAATCTAATTTCATTTCAGATGATTCCATTGCAAGCATTTCCCTTGAATTTCAAGCACATGACCCAAGGGGGTTGAAAATTCTCCATCTCTTTGTAATAGAAAATTAAGAGACCTTTGTCTGATTTCCCACATTGCCAAAAGTCAGTAAGTGTGTAGGGAAAGGAACGAAAAATGTAGAAAAGTTCAGGAATTCTCTCCATCTTGTGGAGATGAAATTTGTCTGCATTATTTAAGGTACTGAAGTCTGTGTCTCAATAGAAAAGAGGGGATATTTTTCCCAGCATTGTTTATGTTAGCTTAATGAGGTAACCTGAAGCTGTGAAAGTGAACACAAATCATTGGTGGTGAATAAGTTTCTCAAAGAACCAAGCAAGATATTATGAACTTCAGAGTGGGGAACACAAGTGGAAGATAATTAACTTTGGAGAAAAGAAGATCTAATAGAATTGAGCTGAACAGGTGGAAGAACAGATACATTGATAGAATGGGAAGGGGCATACCCTTGTTGGAATGGCTCTTACAGGTAGTCTCTTTTACACAGTTCACAGGAAAATGCACTTGCTACTTAAGAAATGTGTTTATGTGAGCCAAGGAAGTGAGTGCCTTCTCTGTGCTGAATGTATGCTTGCATAACATTAAAGAGAAAAAACAGAAGAAAAAAGGAAAAGTGAACAGTTGAAATGAATTATCAGCACAATTAGATTATAAGAATCCAAGAGTTACATTTTTATTTTCTTAAAAGATATGACATTTTAAAAGATTTTATCGGTATTGCACATATTCATCAAAATTCAGTGGGACATAAAAGTGAAAGTACCAAAATTTAAAAAAAAAATCTTAATCTCAGTATTTGACTTTAGTTATGAATGCTTCAGAAATGAGAAATAAACTAGTGGTTCTTTTTCCACTTGTGTTTCCTGTGTAAAAGGCAGTAGTATATGGTGTTTTTTTGTGTATCACTATGTTAAAACACAAGAGTCAGGTGTTTTGATCTACAGTAGGACAGAGCCAACAGGCTAAATAACAAATTGAGCAATTGGATTGGAATGGATGTGCCGGATAGATTTCATATGTGGCACTAATATCAAAGTAAATGAGAATAGAAAGAGTTTAAAGAAAAAAGAAAAGATTTAATTGATAAGGAAGTGTGAAAGAAAAAAGGAAAAGAAATGCCTTCCATCCTGGACTGTGAGAAATAACACTTCCACTGGTCAGTGTACTGAGGTATGGTATTGATGTGGCTTGATTGTTGTCTGGGTGGTGAGCTTTTCCACATAGACTGCTGAGTGCAGTTTTTTTGAGCTATAGAAGGGTGATTTACTGAACAAAGGAGATTTTTTTAATCATCTCTCTTCATAAAATATGTTTGATCACCCCTGCAATCCAATCCAGTCTACTGGCCTGCCTGTGTCTGTCTGTCTGTCTGTCTGGGCTGCCTGATGAACCATCTGTCTCCTTGTCTGTCCTTTGGTTAATTTCCTCTCTAACTCATTATCTAAATGTTATATAGTTTCCGTGGTACCATTTCACCATGCCCCACCCCTTTCTCCCTTCACAAGCCCTTTCAACTCGCACCTTTTATACATTTTTCTCTTTAGGGCATGTAATTAAGAGCATTGATCCCTCATTAAGTTATTCTATCTATCCATCCATCTCTACCAGGGTTTGATCTTCAGAAAGTGATTTAACAGGCCAGACAGCCTTCCCCAGCATGCTTTAGATTGGAATTAAGCACCTTTAATAACCAGTAGCATTTCATTGGTCTAGACCTCTTTTGGTGACAAGTAAAAGCCAAGTATCAGATTTCTTTCCTGGAGTACAAATGGTTTGGAGCAAGGTGTGGCTTTGAGTTATTGCATTTGCTTCACAGAAGTAATTTTAGGTGATTTGCTACTGATGTAATTTGTAAGTATTTATATATATATATATATATATATATATATATATATATATATCGCATGTATGTGTATTTTTGGAAGTTGTTGCAATGGATATTTTAGTATGCAACACAGAATTTGATATGGGTTAGAAAATGTCTGCAGACTTAATTAATTTATTGTGCATAATGTTAGGAGTTGGGCCAAGTACCTGAAAGAATTTGAAATAAGAAAATAGAATGAAAATACTCCAAAAAGTGATAAGTGCGATTGAAGATGAAATTTGAAAATTTTAGCTTAGTACTGATGGAAAGTGCTTCGAGTATAAACATGCTGAATTAAAGTGTTTGTAAACTTAAACAAATCTTTTTTGGCACCAAGAAACTGAAATTCCCTTCCAATGTAGCTACTGGGTAACCACATTGTTTTAAGAATGTGGGTTGAAAAACAAAGCCAGACATTGATCAAGTATAGATTCAGCACCAAAGGCCATTAATCTAGGTTTATGTGACATACAGTTAAGATAGTGTGGTAATGACATTAAAAATTGAATTATTTATTTACACACTCAGTGAATAGTATTTGGGTGAGGCATTTTTGTTTCAATTAAGTTTTAGATCATCATTCCTGGTTTTACTTATAAGTTAAAAGTAATAGCCTTAAGTTTTACAAAACCACTCCATTTCTCAAATGGATACAAGACGACATTCCATGAAAGTAAAATATGCCATATGAGATATGTGTTATAAACATTAATGTAACACCTGTCAACATAGTAAACTAGGGATTTTTTGCCACTCCTCCTGTGGTCAACCTCAGTCACTGACTGTCCCCTAGCCCCCTTTACCCTGCTGCCATCAGTTGGAATAAATAGTGTTTTCTTGCCTAATTGAATCAAGTAAGGACAACTATTAAAAAAACAGCAATTGTTTTCTCATACATTGGATGCTTGAAATGTACTTGACCCTGGTCTCAGACTGCTATCAATCAAGTTTCACCACTGCAACACATCCAGCCTCCCTTTCTTTGTGAATCACTTTTATTTTAGAAACTCTGGCAAAAGTTGTGTTGATTTTCATTTGGTAATTCTGGCTGCACTCGCTTTTCATTCTTATTAAATAGTTATTAAAACTTTGTAAAAGCAGTAGCCTTAAAGTTTCGAAGGAAGAGACCTATGCATGTTCACGGAGACACTACATAGACTTCATGCCATAGAATTTTGTTTTTGCACCAATTCAGATTCCCTTAAGGATATATGTGAAGGTCTCTCAGTGGTAGTAACAAATGCGTTATAAATATACTGGTACATGTATTTGCAATTTCCAGAAGTATAATTTTAGCTTCAGTTTGCAAGATTTAAATCAGTATGTCAGTGAGACCCTCACAGGGATTTAATTAACAAGCCAGGTGACTCTCTTACGTAATAGCCAGGCTATTAAGTTGTCAAACTTCTTAAGTTAACTGGTACAGACTGCAGTGTTTATGTATACTACTGGATGTGAAATGGGTCTAACTAGTGATATTATTGAAAATCTGATGTAATAGTGAACTGGTCATGGTCTGTTAGTGTCAGGTAATCTGTTTCCAGCCCAAGTCAGCTGTATCAAACTGTACTGTCCACCTGTCTGAACTAAAGCAATAAACTCAGATACAAAAAGCACTGTATTGCAAGATTTATGAGGCAAGCATGATGGTCACATGTCAACGACTGATTAGTACAGGGTAGTGCAAAATAATTTTTATTATGCCACAGTAGTGCACTTTGTTTTTAAGATATGTGAGAGATATTTCAAGCATTTTTTATGTGAGAAGCAATTTGTCAAGACCTCTTTTGTCCTAGAAAGGGCCCAGCAGGCATGCTGATTCTTGATGAGTTTTTTTATTACAGTACATCAGTCTGATATAGAGCGCATTCAGAACAACAGTCTAATAGATCCGCACATCAAATATGGCGACCCACTAGAAAGCTTGCCACTTAATTCCCGATTAGACACTAAATAGATTCCCTGTGGTGATTACACAACAATCATTCAAGTTGGTTGATCATATTTGATCCGCAGATCCGCCAACTAAATATGGCCAACCAAACTTCAAAAGTGATGCGGCTGAATCCCAATGGTCTCCCCGCCTCCACACGCACAATTAAATGGATTAAATCTCGGCACCGAGGTTTAATTGCTAGGCCCCTGCAGCGACGGTGCGTGTAGAGGCAGGGAGACCATCATGGAATTAGCGGCATTGCTTTCGATGTATGCCCAGCCATATTTAGTCGGCAGATCAGTTAGTACTTGGATCATCTATTCTGAATGGCCCCTTAGTCTGCTGTTCTGAATGCTCTCATATGTTATCCAGTTTTAAAAAAAAGGTGGTCACAAGCACGTTTGGGTCCCAAGCCTTGTATAATTTTCACTGTTCCATAGCTTTATCCTGAAGGGCAGGTTGTCAGTTTAACCTCTGCCATGCAAAAGGGTCAGCAGATTTCTAAATCTTCACATTACTGTTACTTAACATTTCATCACTATAATGTTGTTCTATCAAATCATAACATGTCATGATACTATATTTGTTCAACAGCAGTGTGTGCAAGTTTTCATCTTCCCACTTAGAATATTTGTTACAAGTGTACTGTTTCTTCTCTTTAATTTTTTTTAAAATTTATTTTTCAGTAATGCAGCAATGACAGTACACCCAAGCTTGTTGACAGTCTTGTTGCTGTCACTGCTCTGTCCATCTGTGGGTCAGCAGCAGAAGGCAGTGATCAAGTTTGTCCAGACTTCCTATGTCGTTGATGAGGGACAACAGGTGTCCATTGAAGTCTCCAAGACAGGATTTTCAGCACCTCCACTCAATGTGGTCGTCATGGTGGTACGTGAATGAAATTTATTAGATTTACTGAAATTAATTAAATTTAATGAGTGCAATACTTTTTTGTTAGTATGTTTGAAAGGCAAAGATTTCCTTAACCCAGTCACTATTTTATTGTTGATTTGGAATTTGGGGATTTGGGTCAGACTTAATAAATTTTGTAATTGTTGAGTGATATACTCAATCAACATCTAATGTCTATCAAAAGCCTATCAGCCCTAATTCAAGAATAAAACACTATGCCAATTTCAAGCCAATTTCTGTCAAATTGCTGTCAACTTTGACTGAGAAAACAAAACTAACTCCTTGTTTCTGTCAAACACAATGTCATCACTAATCAAGAGACAGGACGTGTCAGCATTTCCTACAAAATTATTTTGTTTATCAAAAGTTATTATTGTAGATTGAAAAAAAATTCATCTTGCTCATGTCATAGTCTTTATTTTAAGAAGTCCCCATCATAAAGTCAACTGAAGTGCTCAGCAGAATTACATTACTATCAGCAGTCTTTTTTTAATGCACTTTACTTGTTGATTGATAACCAAATAAGAAATGTTTGTCAGATTTGCCCCAGATCAGGACTGAATAATGAGAAAAGGGTGTAATGTTTTAGGTATTTAAAAGCAATTGTTTATTTTTTTGGCATTTTTGCTGTATACATGAAAGACACTAATGAAGGGTGGAGATTTATGGTAAATTTATTGGCCATTCTTCTGTAGATTTCTCTCTTACTCCTCATATGCAATGTATGGTTGATGTTGTTTCGCAGGGTTAAACAGATAAGGATTAACTGTTCTTAATTAGCTATCTAACGAGCTTAACTATTAGAATCAACTACCTTAGAGTAGTAGAAGTTGAATCCATTTATTTTTTCTAAGTGCAATTATTCTTCCATGTTTAAGATACAAAAACCAGGGTCAGTCAACAAATGCCACACCATAAAAACGGAATTTAAAACATTTTAAAAGAAGGGAGGCAGGTCCTTTTATCTTGATTGCATTTTTTGCTGTGCACTTCAACATTCAATGAAACATTTATTTATTGGGGCCAATACGAACATTTTTTACTGGTTAAACGCCCTACAAGAAGCAGATTTGTGTAATCCATTTGCAAAAGTTTCACAAAGCCAAAAGGTAGAAGCCATAGGATGTAATTTGTACAAACTGATTCCTATAATGGCCCACATTTCTCTTAGTTTCATACAGTTAACTTTCTTTTCCAGTTTTTTCAGCTCACTTAGGGTTACAGTATAGTAGTAGTGCATAGTAGTACATGATCTCCAGTTTTCTTTCATCAGAATACCTCACATTCAGCCAATGAAGAATTTCAAGCAGTTTCTGCACCCTAGATAAGCTACTCATGTGGAAAACCCATGCTTTGATTATTTTACAATTAAACTGAAATGCCAGTCATGTTTTCATTTTTGGAAAATATGCTATGCATTTTGTTCTTAGCCTTCTTGTCTAGGTTTTTATGTAGTTTATTTGAAAGAACAAGTTTTACAAATTAGGTAAGGAAAGTTATATTTGTTATTTTATACGAAAGGTTTCTTGAAAATGAATGATGAATTGAGTAAAAATAAAATCTGCTGCTGTGAATAGCAATAATGTAAGTAAAATGTTACTCTGAATCTTTTCTCAGTCTCTCTCTGCGTGAAATAGTTCATAACACTAGGAAGTTAAATGGCAGCATTTGCACTACTCAGGCTAACCTAGAGAGAATAGAAACAAAATCTTGATTGACTTTTATGTTGGATTACAATGTGATAAAACTGATGACAAAGAATGTCAGCAGAGTTGATAGGAAATATGGAGAGATTGATAGTTTCTTCTATCATGTGTGGTTACCATTTGATATTTTAAAGCCATACATTAAAGACCAAAACAGGTACCTCGATAAATTCAACAAGTTTGCACATTTATGTTATTTGATTAAAACAAATTTCAGTTGAAATTTGTTAGAAAAATATTGGAAAGAAAAACAACAATTTAACAGATCAAAGTTGTATTATTGGACTAAAAATATCTGTTGGTGCTCTCTTCTGAACATAAGATTCAATGAGTTTAGTCAGTTATGGGGCCTTTCAGCTTGTGACCCATGCAAGATTTAACCACCCATCAAATCACTTTCTCAGGGAAAAACAGCAAAAGGGTCTCTTTGGTCATTTTAATGTGATCAGAACCAGATTTTGGTATTTAAGATGGTGTTTGCCAAGTCAAAACAATTTTTTGTAGCAGGTGATAGTGATGACCACTGAGTAGAAGCCAGATCAACTCCTCTCTTACACTGTATATCAGAAACAGATTTTGATAATTAAGTTGGTGTTTTTGCAGGCTTCAGAAAGTTTACTCTTTTGCTTTAAGGGGTACTGTGGGGGCAGGAGGGAGGGGGGGGGGCAAACCTACCCTTTCGTTAGACCTGTCCAGAAAAGGACTGAGTCGGCTGGGTGGAGTGGCGCATTTCTTTTTTACCCCAAATGTATTATGATATTCTTTAAACTTCTCCATTTTTAAAGTTTTGAACATGGTCTTTGATTTCTTTTGGCTTGCAGCGAGTTTTGATCTGTTGGTCATTGCAATTTTATTAGAACCAGACCTGGTATGTCATTTGTGAGATAAAAGTGAAACCAGCTGAAGAAGGTCACCAATAGGGTCCCCACTATTTTATCAGAAACACATTTGGTGTTTTGAATTGTGCTTATTTGATCATTAACACATTTGTAACTTTATAATGTCTTTGCCATTAGAAATGTTTTTTATATTGGCTGACCAAGGAAAGCATTATATCACCTCTGCTTGACTACAAAGTCAGATATCACATGGCATACACCCCTATCCAAATGAATTTGCTATTTTTTGGTCCACATCAGATGATGTTTTTAACCTTTTCAACTCCCAGATTTTGGAGATTAAATGAAAATTGTTTATACATTTTGTCTTGGTTATTGTAATTTCATAAAAAGAGTTATATATGTTAAACAATATGCAGTGGCCAAGATCATGTTAATATTTAATGATTATTAATAATTGTGGTACCATTTTTAATTATTACAGGTGATGCTCTCTGACCAAAATGGCAGCAATGACTTTGTGGGAAACAGCCAGGCACTGACTTTTCCTAATAACAGTTACAACATCACACGGTCTGTCAGTTTCTTTGTCCTTGATGATGACATTCCTGAAAGAGATGAGGTATTCACTCTACAGTTGTTGCTGTCCACTAATTCTTCAGAAAAAGCTATGAAGGGGGATCCATCAGAGGCCACCATTACTGTTCGGGCCAATGATGATGCATTTGGAATATTTGCCTTTGCTGAAGTGAGTAATAAAATGACCAGATTTTACGTCTTTCTGTTAAATTTATAAAAGGTAATCTGAAATTGTGTATTCCAAAAAACCTTTTTTATTTTTTCTAAAAATCATAAACCTCAAGTGCTGAAATGAGTTTGTCGATGCCAGAAAGCATTCGATTAGTTGTGAAAAATGTGTTATTGGAATATGTAATATGTTTTAAAGTGCTATATACCCACACAAAAGGAATAAGTACACTTCAGTGATAATTCATTCAGAGAGCAAACAAAAATTTTCTTACACTTTACAAACTAAAGAATGGTTTTCCATCTTCTTCTTTGCATATATAAGGGGGTTTGCACCCCCATCACATATGGGGGACACTTATGAACTATCACAGTTTAGATATAAGGCTTGGGTGCACAAACCAAACTTGTACACTTCTGAATATGTTTTGAGTGCCACCAGCCTTGTGAGCCTTTTTCTCAGTGTTTATTGCTACCGAGTGGTACGTAGAAAAATAATGCGTTCTACAGGACCAGTAGGGAGATATATGTACGGCATGATCATTATGTTTTATATGATAATGCAATCCCCACACATAATTCATCGAACAGCTGTTGTGTAATAGTGATGAGTATTTTGGTACTTAAAACTACTGTGTATGTGTTTGATAATTGACTGTGACTTTCAAGAGAAAACACTGTGTTTTCCCATCTTGCCCATTGTTTTAACTCTAATTTCACACAAAAACATAAATTTCTTTTGACTTGATCTGACCCTTGATCGTCATGGCAAGATTGATATGGCTTCTTTTCTTTTTGTTGTAATTTCAGTTCAGTTTTTTATTTAAGTGAGAAATGCTTGTAGGTGACATTTATTACAACATATAGATCTCAAATTACTTAATGGCTTTATCACAGGTTTTTTTTTTCAAATGATTACAGGTAATGGTTGTAACAATAAATTTTTTTCTTTTTGTGGAAACAAAGGGTAAGCAAAGTTTCCGAGGGAATAACCAAATATTGACAAATTTTACAAAGAAAGAGTTTTTTGGTGTACATGAATTTATTGAAGCTTGAAATGTCAATGTGTTCATTTTAAGCAGTGAGTTAAATGTTGGCAAAATATTTCTCTGAGCACATGTGCTTTCAGAAAACTTTGGTAAATTGCATTTAACAACCAACCTCAACTTAAATTTATTCATGCAAATTGCTGGGAAGCTTTCATTTACTTCTTCAGCTTGCAATGGCCAAACATTATTCTAATTTTTCTCAGATATCCACTTTACCTATTCCAGAACACTGGAATGCTGTGACAGTTAAACATCAAAGTTGTAAGACATCAGTTTGATATTTGTCTTTAAGATATATCATGATATTAGATCAAATGTTTGGATATTATATATAATAAACAGGTTTCTTCTGATGGTTTTATCCCTTGGAAAACCAGTACCAGTAGGGTGGGGAAAAAGATCTAAAAATTGACACCTTTACTAGTATGCTGGTGTCTCTTTCATCAAAGAAACTCCATACATTATTTTTAGAAATACTTCTCATTCTTCCTCCAACAGTCTAAAAAAACTTGTTCTAGATAATAGAAATAGCTGAACTGAAATCTCAGGGAGTTGCTGATTTCTAGCACATGTAAAGCTGCATCAGTTAAATTGACACAGCAGTGCTCAGCTGATTCCTTGATAGGAGCCCTTGCAAATGTCATGATGTTCCAGCACCCTGAATCCCAGACCAAGTGTAATATTGATTTGATTGCAATGTTTTGCCCAGAAGCAACTCGGAGGCCACTTTCTGGTTGATGCAGCAATATTTACTGGAAAGCCTTCTTAAAACTGCTGCAATATTAATCTGTTCTTGCTCCCCTAGATTGAAATTAAAGACATTTTTGTCAATGTCCAGTTGGAGCTTTAGTGAAAGCTGAGGTAAAACCTTGGGTTTATGTCAAATTAAGTATACTGTTTGTAGTGCTGTAGAACTCTGCTATTGTTGTGACAAATATCTGTAGGGAATAACATACCTAGGGTTTGAATTTGCCCTAATTTACCCGGTCAAAACTAATTAACAGACAATAATCAATTCCTACATGCTCCTGTGAACTGCTCTATATATTAGTAAAAAATGTGTGAACACTGTTGCAAATACCTCTTTGGTGCTCACTGGGTTTCAGAAAAAAACTGAAGAATTAAAAAATCAGTGATTTAATAGGATTAATAGCAGAGAATCGGATGTAAATATGTTAGCAGTTAAAATGTTTTTATAGTGTTCAAGGTCATTTGAGAGCTACCTAGAAAAAAATATAGTTGTTCTTGGAGTTACACCTTGTCAATTTCAATGAGTTCCAATGTCACCTTGAGTGATATTTCACTTGCTTCCCTCATTTTGCTTTGACTTAGAGCTCAGTTAATCTTCTTGGTGAAAAAATGAGATAAGGAGATGTTGTCCACTTTATTACTGGTTTATTAAACATCAGATATTTTTAAATTTTAATTTGATAGCAATATTCCTTTTGATGGCTGTTTAGTTCCATTAATGAAATGAAAGACAGAAAACATTGTGGAACTCAGGGTTTAAAAAATGACCTTTAATATGAGATTTTTGCTTGACCAAAATGGAACATCAGAACGTTCAGTATATAAGGAGGTGACTTGAATTGAGATATCATGTAAATCATTCAAGTAAAATGAATTCATTTTGAATTTGAAATTTTATGTTTTTGAGTAAAACAAGCAGCAATGTCATGTATGTCACACTAAAATAGTAAAAAGAAATAGGAGTGAAACTTTCTTTCTCAGTTATCCATGAGCTGATTGTGTACAACAGAACCTTGCTCAGAAATCATGTGTATCCACATAAGCAAGTCATTGAACTGCACAGCTTTATGTGGAATTATATCCATCTGGACAGAGAAAAGGGATGAATTGAGCTAAAAAAAAAAAAAAAAAAAGAAAGGGAAAAAAGAAAATGAGCTACTAGTACTTTCAATTAAAACTTATATTTTTGCATATTTTAACTTTTATATTTCATAATAATTTTAAGCAATATCCAATTCTGTAAAACATATATTACACACAATTATACTATGATTTAATTTATTCATGTGTAATAGGCTACTGGTAGAATCAGGCATAGTAATTGCTATCAATAATCAATTGTTGCCAGGTTGATTTTGTTTTGTATCCATCTACCCTCCTGAATGTTTTTTTTTCACTGTTCTGCATAAATCTTTTCCTTTTTCTGTTTCTTTTACCATTCACTTCAACCTATGTTGCTGTTTAACCCAGATATGGTGCTTGTAAATGTGTGGTAGCATTTTACTTGTACATAATGAGCTGAATGGGCTGAAGACAGTCTTTTGATATGCTGGTTTGTATGGTCTTTACTGCTCCACAGAGTGGAAAGTTGAAAAATATTATTGCAGAGTATCTTGTTGGTTTGATTGGAACCATCTGAATCTGAATCTCCCTTGGATGTCAATTGTACAAGTCTCTTGGAACCTTTTCTTTCCCAAAATCTACTCACATTTTGCATAAAAAAAGACAAAACAAACAAATCAAGAATTATACTCCAACCTCTGTACAAGAGGCTCTGGGTGCCACCCTGTACTTCAGTTATCAATTACTTTACCTCATGTGATTAATTAATGCCTTAATCAGCTACTGGGAATTACTTCTTGAAAATGGGCTAGAAAGCCCCCTTGGGGTTAACACAGGTAGTTTTCAATATGATACTTTCATTTCTATATGGTACAGTGCAGGGTTTATGCCTGGTTAACCAGTGATTAATGAGAGGGTGGTAGTTTCTGCTTTGTCTTTGTAATATTGAGTGTCTGCTGCTTTTACAATTATATTGAATTATTTGGTTCAAGGTAGTGATGGTGGAACAAAAGTATATATGGGAGAAGAAGTGAAAAAATATGCAAATGATTTCTTAAAGTTTATTTTGTAGATAAAGATCCAGAGTACAAGTACATTTGACTTTGTTTATAAGATTAAACAAGCTGAAGCAGCCCCCCCCCCCCCCCCCAGCAGTAGCAATCAAAAAATTTTCTGTTTACACTAAATAAAGATGCCAATGTAACAAAAAGTATGATTTAGAAAAATAAGTTACATAGTGATGCTGTAAAAGAATCATTGTCTTCCAAAAAGTCTGCACAAAGCCTGGTACATTATCATCTTGGAAGACAGGAGAGGATTTTTTAAAATAAAGCTGCATACCATCCTGGTTTTTAGCTCTCAAGACTGAATTATTAAATTCTTTAATGGATCATGGTCAAGAAAGGATCAAAAGTAAGAAATATTTGCCACCTTTTAGAAAGTATGATTTGTTCGGATTTTCAGAGAAGCTCCTAAAACACTGTGGCTATGGTGCCAGGTGACCACTGGTAACCTTAAGTTCAACTTGCTTACTGTACTGCATGAACTCCATGAAACCCTTTACATGTTATGTTGCCAATAAATTAAGTGGAGCTGTTTGATTTAGTATTGCAATTTCTTTGTAATCTAATTTGAGAACAGCTGACTTGAAATAAATATCAGTCTTTTGATGACTGCCTGTGCGAAAGAATTGAAATTGCACATTTTAAAAAATCTGGACAAAATTTCACATCTATTAAAATTGAATTGGTGTTGTATATCTAAGCTGGAAAAAGATGAAATTGAACTGTTTTTGCACTTCTGGTTTTCCACATTTCATATAATTGTGATTTATGTCGATTACATATTTCAGCCCTCCCCATACACGGTCAGTGAGGGTCCATCCAGTGTCCAAGTACCACTCACTATACAGAGAAACAGAGGCACATTTGGAAATATTTCTGTCAATTTTGATGTAAGTTTTATGACTTAGTCTTTTAAACATATCTATCCATCAAAATTTCTGTCATTTGCTTTGTAAAGTCTGTATATAAATATATATTCTTGAAAATCATGTAAGCATGATATTAGATTATGGAATAATGTAATTTGCCTAGTTTGATGCAGTTCACATTTTTTAACATTTTGTGGTACTTCTTTATTGCACCTAGCTTTGCTTCTTTTTAAAACAAAATTTGGTTTATTATACATAAACTTGTACACAATTCCCAATGCTGAAAAGCAAATCTTTTGGGATTTGTTTTATATTTGTATCATGCATTAAGATCCGTTTTCTTTCAGTTGAGTGGCAGTGCTTTAGTATCTGAAGATATCACTCCTGTATCTGGAACTCTACTCTTTTTGGAAGGAGAATCCAGCAAAGACCTCATACTGACAATTTTAGGAGATAATGTAAGTTAAAAGGATCTATACTATGTGAAATGTCATAATGATATAATCCCTCACCTTTACTTCCTCATGTCTATACCAAGAACATTTGTCTTCCTTAGTCCTGCAAAGACCTGATTCTGGCAGTTTTATGAAATAATTTAAGTTGAAATTATTTATAGTGTAAGTAATAAGCATGTATAACATAAATCTGCATGATGTAATGCCCAATCTTTACTTCTCTCTCTGCATGTCTGCACATGTACCAGAAAGTTCAGCTTAGGTGTAACAGGAGGAACACACACTGAGAAAAATCAAACTTTATCATATGCATTAGGATTCCCATTTATCTACTGCAGAAGTTGGGTTGCAAGGGATAGGAGGGGGAAGGGGGTGAAATATATGAGAGGAAAAAAACTGTGAGACTTCTTCTTATGTCTGATAGTGGCACAGGTAGTCATATGTTTATGCCTTTCTTTCACTGGGTTGCAATTCAGCTCTAGGGGTCAATTAATGCCTTTTAGAGATGGAGAAAGTGGAAAATAAATGAGACAAATATTGACTTTTTGGGTTTTTATAAAGATGAAAGTGACATTTGTATTTTAATTAGCAATCAGTCTGGATTTTGCAAATATTTTTTCCTGTTTCCCATTTTTCAATCCTTGATTGGCAGTTTCAATTATTTTAACAGATGCAGGTATGGTGTTCTCTCTGTCTTTGAGGCTTATGTAATGGCCTTGGTAAAATGTCAGTGCTTTTCATCTTATGGGTTCAAGCAGCGGTTGCAGGTCTGAACTTCTGTTGCGTGCAATAAATTTCCAGAAAAAGTGACTTTCAGACAGTGTAATGTTAATGGATACTTATTGTTTACCCCCTGTTGTCAGTTTTAGTTGGGTGATCATATTTTATATTAGGCATAGAGTTTCAGACTGAACATTTGTTGCCAGTAATGGCCTTTTCTAAAAAATGCACTTGCCTTTATGTTTTAGATAATAATTGGAGGCAATTATTTTGACAATTCCCGTCTTTTCAAAGTGTAATACATGTATTATCTTGAACTGATTTGTAAAATTATTTTTAAATTGTTATTGTTATTATTGTTAAAACAGCTGAATACTGTTTTTCTTAAGGGCAAATCCTTATTTTGAAATGAAACAATAATATTGCCTTGCAAATGTTGTGTCAGTCAAAACAACAATTTCAAAACCAACACTATATTTTTTCAGATTCCTGAAAATGATGAAACTTTTGTTGTCACCCTCACATCAGCCACTGGTGGAGCCAGCATAAATCTTACTCAAGACAGGCTGCAATTGGTAATACCTGCTAATGATGCACCAGTTCGATTTACACAGGTTTGTGAATGTCATTATGTTTATGATTATTTTTCCTTATGGAATGTTGGTATTATATAGAATGTATGTATTCAGGGGTGATTGCGCCATGAGACCTTCATCCTTTATTCCTGACACAGTGCCTGTGATGTCATACTTGGATGAGGATGATAAGTATATCTGAATGGACTAATAATATCTACACACTGTAGATTATGATTTGAATTTCCCAAATTTAATTATAATACAGACAACCTCTTTGATAAAAATGTATAAATGTATTTTAAAACTGAAAAGCAGGATGTGGATGTGACTTTGACTCAACTGAAAGTAAATTTGTCTATGATATTGGTATGAGAGGAGGGAGGGGGAAGTTATTTAGCAGCAAAAGAGCTGGAGGACTTCAAACAGACGCAGTGCAGTGGGTTTAATTATCACTGTGTGAACATCAAAAACAACCCGACTCCCAAGAACATTTATTGAGTCTGAAAACTAAATATTTGGTTTGTTTATTAACCAGGAAAGAGAGAAGATGCAATACTAATGCATTGGTTGGATTCTTCTCAGCTGTTAAGGTTACCCAACGATAATGAACATGTGGAAACGACTATTTTTTCTCACATATTTGCTTCATTAACACCCTAGAGTGTAAAAAAGTTAACATGGTTTTTAGAAATCTCTTTGAAAGATTGGTTGGGACCAGTAAAGGAAATGCCTCGTAAATTTAATTATCTTCAGGGTTTGATTTATTTATCAAAAAGGGGAGTAAATCTTGGAGAGTGTTGCACCTCAAATATTTTGGTATGAAATTAAAGCAATGCCTTGTTATTTTGAGTGCTCGTGCAGCTTATTTCAAACAAATTTATCATGGTATGTTAGTAATAAGAGTTGTTTGTACTGTTTAGCACTGAACACAGCAGCAAATTGTAGCAACTGTAAAATTTTTGTTGAATTTGTATTGGAATTACTTGGTTATATACTTTGAAGTTACTGTAGAAAATCTTTGAGGTTTAGAAATGACTGGAGAAATAAAAATATTGCATAGTTCCTAGTAACAAGATTTCAAATAGTTTTGATCAACATTTTAATGAGGAATAATTATAGAAAGAAAATTACCTAAATAGAAAGTAAACAAAATATGTATTTTTATCTTGGAATCCATCAGTTGTTGTGGTCATGTCTTCTTGAAAATAAATAGTATCTTTCTCATTTTTCTCATTTGTAGTCTTTTTTTATGGCAACTAAGTTAACTATCATTTAAAATAATCTTTTCAGGGTGAGTACAGGGTAGAGGAAACTGCAATGTCCATAGATCTTTCTGTCACAATAACACGAGGCCTTACTGAGGACGGCCAGACATTTATTGGGCCTATCACTAAAGATGCGTATGTGTATGTAACTTGTATATCAGGCTCAGCCACTGCAGGACAGGATTTTTCTTGTGCTTCTAATACTAGTTTGGTTTTCCAAGCTGGTGAGACCAGTAAAAGTTTTACCATACAGATATTACCAGATGATGCTGCTGAGATTGCAGAGGAATTCTACATTGTGTTGTTTAATCCTAGCTCTGATGTTGTTGTAAGTGATCCGTATAATGTTAGCGTTATAATTGGAGCCAATGATGAAACACATGGAGTGTTGAGCCTCAAATCACCCAGTGCTACGTCCTTCCCTCAGACCTATGTCAATGAAGACACCACGTCCCAGCTGACTTTCTTCACAGTTATCAGGAGTGGTGGAGCATTCGGCACTGTCTCTGTAGACTGGATTCTTTCTCGCAATGACAGCAACCCAGACTCTGCCGCCACTGATGTGACCCCCTGTATCTGGAACTGTTCAGTTGAGTGAGGGCATGAGAGAAGTGCCCATAGTTCTGTCTATTGTTCAGGACTCCAATCCAGAACCCATGGAGATGTTTTTTGTGCGGCTTCTGCCAGCGACTGTAACAGGAGGAGCGAGAGCAGAAGGAATATTGGAAGGGTCATTGATTGTTGAGGATAGTGATGATGCTTATGGCAGCTTTATTCTTGGAGATGATAACTTACAGGGTTTAGTTACAGTAAGTCCATCTTAATGTTACTTGTTAGTAATTACAGAAAGAAAGTGGAGAAGAAAATTCATTTGCCATAAAAATAATTTTTAATATTGCTGAATTTAAATTATCCAGTTTTTAGAAGCATTTAAAAGCAATTGGTTTATATTAAATTTTATTTACTGAAAACTGGCAATTATACATTAGATTAATACATCTTCTCAATGTGCACATGCATATGTGCTTTTACACATTGATTTTTATACATATCTTTAACTTAAGGTATCAATATTTTTTTACAATTCAAATTGAAATTCAAAATTAAATGTTGAAACTTACAAGTTTTACAATTTTATAATTTTGATGATTTTTTACCTTTTTGACACTGCTTAAAGATATTTATATCAAAGACATTGTATTGTTAGACATCAGCCCCAAGACGCCTGAGAATGACCATTGTGAGAAATGGTGGGCAGCTTGGAGAGGTGGTTATTACATACAACATTGAATATAGTGCTGTTGGAGTAACAGATCTCAGTAAGTTATGTAAAAAAATTGTAATATTATATACACCTGTAAGTACTTTACAATATGGAGATATTTACAAAATTATAACCAACAAAGATCATTATCCTTTTATGTTACATATGTAACAGCTACATTATGTTACATATGTAACAGCTACATTACCTCTGATATTGTTAACTGTGTCAATAATTCCACTGCTGTAGCAATTGCCAAACATGGATGTATCTTGTTCCTTCGAAATATTTGAAATGGGAATTATGACTTAAAATTGCCTTATCCTTTAAGACATATTCAACATCAGTATGCCATCAACTGTGACAGTGTCAGAAGGCACAGGGAGTGTGACGGTGGAGGTGCCCATCAAAGAGAATGCCTTCCTGAAGGTGGGAGGAAGTATAAGTATTCAGTTGATTAGAGCTACTTTGGCCAAGGGTAAGTGTGACTGATTTAGAACTTTGTTTTTTCCACCTATACAGGGACATTGATTGATAACTTATGGTTTTTATGCAATTTTTTTCTGCCAGCTCCAGTCCCCCTCTCAGCCTTTCTTCTGTCAGAATAATTTATTTTGTGATGATAAAAAGAAAGTAGTTATTCCACTCTATTTGAAAAGTATTGGAGAAGCTTAACTTTGCATCTAAGAAATAAATGGCATAACAATACAATTGTCAGTACAAGAAGTATGTAGCCTAGTTATTTTACATTATTTCCTTTCAATTTATTGATTTCAGCTTTGCCAGTAGGTCCCTTCAACAGTCCAAGAATCGGAGCTCAGAACAATTCAACATTTCAAGTAACAGGGGCAGATGGCAATGGAGAGATTGGATTTGCTGTTACAGATGTGGTTAGAATAGCAGAGCCAAATGCTACTAGTTCACAGGTAGGACCCATGTTTTTGGTTACACTGAATACTTTTAACATGTTCTGTTTCAGCGCCAGATTGTTATCAGGTTTTTAAAAAATATTTTGATTAAGGAATGTAGTGTAAAATAAAAGAAAGAAAAAATGTAGTCATTGATATGCAGATGGTACAAGATAATGATTTCCTAAATGACCCAAGCAAACCTGGTCTCCGTAACTCGAAAGCATCGTGAATTGCGAATAGTGATATCACCTTTTATTTGGAAGCTATTATATGAAGTGAGTAAATCCCAAGTTATGGAATAGAGACGCTTGGGCTCGGTCGCAATTCGCAATGCTTTAGAGTTAGGGAGCCCTGGTGTAAATTAGATGGATTGTGGTTGTTGAGATGCAGGCACAATCTAACACAATTTCCTTGAACAAGACTTCTTTTAAGATCATGATTTTTAATGATTGTGGACATTGATGAATTGTCTTTTTATCTTGAAGGTGATTTTTTATGATATTATTAAGATATTATTATAATAATAATACAAAGAACTGATAATTTTGAAGGTATTAGTATTGTAATTATTGTTTTCATAGAAATTGGAGGTAGCATTGATAAGAGACGGCACTAATGGAGCAGCCACTGTGTACTGGACTCTGGCAGGATCTGGTGACAATGCATCATATGTCACAGCTGGGGATGCAGGGCCCACCAGTGGGACAGTGGTGATGACTTCAGGTAAGACAGAAACATGGACAGATCAAAAGATATTAGCTGAAAAAAGTTCAGAATATTTGGTGTTTAACAGTTTTATAAGGTTGTATGTTGTGTGTTTTGAATTCTTTGTTTTTTTGTTTTGTTTTTTTTGAGGACCCAGTTTCAATGGAGGGTTAATGTTTATCAGCATGACAGGATCTCACAATCAGTACATGTGTTTCATTATCTAGCTCTGTGATAATTGATGTAATTAACTGTTTTGAACTAATGGTAATTAAGAATTAGCAGTAAAAATATATACTAAAATTGAAGACTCATACATCATGTCTATCTCTGATGTGTCATGCAGCTTCTTCTGTTGTGCCTGTAAATAAGTCTATTTGGGAAGTAATTCTTCCCAGTTGTCAGGATTTTACAAATTGACATAAGAGATATAAGCATGAGCTTAATGCATGATATAATCCATTTCAGGTCAATCACAAGCAACAATCACCATCTATATTTACCCAGACATCATACCAGAGATTGACGAAGAAATGACCTTGACCTTAACACGAGTGGAACCTTCAAACACCCAAAAGTTACGCACTGGGGCTAGTGAACTGAAGATAGTTATCACAGAGAATGACAACCCAGGAGGGGTGTTTGAGTTTTCAGAGGCAATGAATAGTTATTATGCAGTGCAGGTGAGATTATTATGGATTAGGGTAGGAAGTTGTTGTAAAAAGTCTGGCATTTTCTTCTTATGATTGTAATCAAATAATTTATTTGATACAAATGAGCTACTTACGCAGAAAAAAATGAGAGAATTTGGGTATAGTTCTGAAAATAATATAAGTGAAGCAACTGGTGAGCTGGACAAATTTCCATGAGGCTTTTTCCCATTTTTGTATGAATAATTTACCTCACATCTCTTCAAAATGCCATTTTTAGGCAATACATTTTAAAACTATGATGTCAGACATTAAAAGTATTTGTGTCCACCTGCCTTAGTGATGTCTCAGTCTTGGTAATTAATGATGTTTTCTTAAGTATGTCATTTTCTTTGTGTGTTTTAACAGTTAAAACCCTCTGTGCTTTCAAGTGTTTTAATGATGATTCATTAATTATATTTCCTCCCCTCTAACAGCAAGACACTGACTATGTTCTCATGGTGGGTTGCTATCATATAAATCTTTATGTAATATCCCTGTTCTCTTTAATATTTACATTTACTACATTCATGTTATCATGGAATGCTGAATATCTTACTATTGGCGGGCATGTGCTTGTTTCTTTAATGTGCATGTACTTATAGCTTAAATGATGTATTACATAGTGAATGCCTATCCTACTGCATATAGAGCTCCCAGATGGAATTTTATTTTTTCTCTGTAATTAATGAATTGCTACTGAAGAGTTGGGAAATCTCATTCCTCTGTATATCAGGCTTTAGCTCTTACATTTCTTTAATAGCTTTTTATCTACAGAGTAGTGAGTAGGACTCAAAATTAATATTGGTCCTAGGTAATGGTTATCTTACTTTTTTTAGTCACTTAATGACATATTTGCTACACTTGCAACTTAAAAGTCAGCACTATCCATGAAGGTTTTTCTTCATAATATACAACTTCAAATGACTGAGCAATGCAGAACATTGTATACCTGGTGATACCTGTAGTTTCTGTCATTTTCCTTATCTTGTTGTTGGTATTGGGTAAAAACTTGCATCTTATCTTATTTCTGCTTGTACATTTACAAGATACTGCATTTAGTAATGCAATACTGCAACTTTTGTAAGAACAAAGTATAAAGGTGGGACATTCACTATTTAATATGTGTGTAGATATGTAGTAGTGCATGAACATAAACATGCATTTCACCATCACACATCTATGCATCATCTTGCTAAAAATATTGATTGAGTATGGTCATTTCTACCAAAATGTTACTAAAAACAATATTAGTTAATTGAACTCATTTGCTGCTTGTTGTATTGTGATATATGAAGAAAATATGATATGGTGATTGCCCTCATTATATACATTGTATACATATATTTTTTCAAACTCCTAATTGTATACCAGTTTTAAGATTTGTTAATAATATAGAATAAAAAAGATTGTATCAGTGAATATGAATACCCAGTTTTAACACTGAAAACCCTTTGACAGTTTTCATTTCACAGCAGTTACATGCATATACACATGCTTTGATCTGCATGCTAGGTGATTACTTTTGCATATGACAATCTTCATAGCTTTTCCTATATAACTGAAATGGCTAGTCTATGTCTATGAAATGTTTATGACATTTTATCATTGTTTTTCCACATAAATGTTTAGTTTGTGCACAGTTTTAAGTTAGATTTATGAAGATTTTTTTCAATGTTCAGTTTGTTATAATATCACAGGTTAAGCACTATGTTTGTGTAAGGTGCACTGACTTTGTTACAGTTTCTGAGTTATTTTGCACATGAGAGTCCATGGCACTGGAGAGATTTAAGATTTTAAAAGTTGAATTGTGGCTTGTAAAACAGTTTATAATGTTTTCTTTCCAACCTCATAGGAAGAAGGCCAAGCTGTGGAATTCTCTGTTGTGCGCACAGGGGGTGACTTGGTTGTGAGAGAGGTGCAGTATTACATTGAGCCAAATGGTGATCAGGAATTCTATGGAGCAACAAATGTGCTGAAATTTCCACCAGGAGTTCATTCCCAAAATTTTACAATAATTGCAAGAGGAGATAATGTGC